ATAAGGCATACGCATAAGCAGCATAATAGACATACTTAGGGAGGGAGAGGGGCGTGCAGGGCGGGGAGGACCCCTAGTTAGGAAGCAGAGCCCTCCTCTTATTATTATTATTATTATTACTGCTAAAGATAAGCTAGCTAGACTTATTTTTAACTATAATGTTATTATAGTTATAAGAAGAGAGCTAGCTAGGCTTCTTTTTACTATTCTTACTTTATAGCTTAAAGGCTACTAGCTATTTAGGGTGGCTAGGCCCTAGGACTTAGGCAGGATCTACTGCTATATGTTAGTTACATGCTTATTTAACATATACATACTCTAAAAATAGTAGGAAAACTTTAAAATATAATAAAAATAAAGCTAAAAAAATTATTAGTCCCCTACGCACATAAATTATAAGTGTAGATAGACATTAAATATACTAGCTTCTAACTAAACATAATAAAAGACATAATAGATTAAAAAAAGAGTAAAACATAATGTTTAAAGTAATAAAGATTAGTATATATATAGATTTTTTTAAAAAACTTTTACTAATTATACTTACTAGCTAAGACCTAAGAAGTAAGTTTAGAATATATATAAAAAAATAGTGCTATTATGCAAGAAGTTTAAATACAAGACTTACTATATAAATCTAAGTAAATAGTTCTTTTTACTATATTATGCTTAACTGCTGTTACTATAGTAATAATATTAATAATAATAATACATTTACCTAGCAACTATAACTATTATAATTAGGCACTAACCTACACTTGCTATTAACGTGTGTAGGAAGTAACTCTATTTTTAGTACTAATCTTAACACATGGAGGCGCAGATGCATGCCTTGCTAGAGATATTGTGCATTATAAGTTTTTACGCACAGACTATAGTGTTAGAAAGCCTACCTCTTACATACCCTAAACACAGTGCAGACACTGCATATATATACAAATAAAACTCTACAGTAAGCTGCGCACACAAAATATTAGCACAGCTGCCTAGTAAATTCTACTTATAACTTTATTAAGTGTAAGTAAAAGAAACTAAGAGTAAAAAGTAAAAGTAAGCAGAAACTTTTACTACTACTATATAAGCTATAATGTAATACTACATAGTAGAAAAACATAACTTAGATGCTATAACTTTTATATATAAAAATTATTATATCTGTACATTACCTACGCATGTAAATTACGTGCGCATTTAACTTCTAAATTACACTAATAAAAAGAACAGACTTTATAGCATAACCTTAATATTATTGCACTTATTAAAGAACTTATAATTAACTTTTAGTAAATAAAGCTACTTACTAATTAGCTTAGGGTTAGCTATAATATTAAAGACTAGAGCTATAACATTATTAGTAAATTTAATAGCTACTACTATCTTATTCTTAGCATTTTTATCTGCAGTATATAAAAACTTATAATTTAATACATTTATAGACTTATATATTACTTTTACAGCAGTAGTTAGATTAATGTTAATACTAAAAATAGTAGCATTCTTTTAAGATAGATCTAGAGCTATTGTTGTACTTAATGCCCTTACTAGCAACTAAATAACAGCACTGCGCTAGACATAGTTATGCTGCCCCTAAGCGTTTACACCCCACATTCTATAAAGCGCACACCTAAGAGGCGTAAAAAAAATAGTGTTAAAAGTGTAGTACTTAAAAAAATTATAGACAGAAGTAGTTAAAGTGCGCTTATTACTTTACTAGTTTTTTATATTATAGTTAAAGAACTTATTTATAAAGTTAACTAGAAACTAACTACCTTTCTAACTAGTTAAATTAATAAGTAAAGTAAAAGCTATAGCTATGTAAGCAGCTAAGCTGCTATAGTTACTGTTAATAAGGCGCTTTAAGTATAAAAACTCTAGGGTGTAAGCACGCTTTCTAGCGTAAGCATATAGTTATAAGACCTTAGGGATAGCCACCTTTAGCAGGCTAACATCCCTATATTTAATAGCCTAAAAGAGAAGCTTATACGCATAGTAGTTCTAGATAAATATAAAATTAACCTAACACTTATAATCTTTTATATAATTCTTAGAATTTTATAGTAAATCTACTGTTTTCTTAACTAAACTAGTAAACACTTTTACTATTAAGTTATTTACTACTTTTACTATTACACTTAGTAGAGACTGCTAGTTTAACCCTAAGCTATGCTATTAATAAGTAATTAGATAGTAATAAAACTTAGTAATAATTTAAGCTTTATAGTTATCCTACATAAATGTTCTCTTATAAGTGTATATAAAGGACTTTAGCGTAATAAACTTTTAGGCTATTTTACTAGCAGAATATCTTAGTGTAGTAGGGTAAACCTAGTTACCTGCTGCTAGCTTATCTCTAAAGTATAATTTAAGTATAGCTCTAATGCTATGCATTTAGGCGTAGAATAATCTAGGCAGAGGTACTACATAGCTTAGCTTGTTGTACGCAGTTATATTCTCTACAGCGCTAAGTTTAGCAGACTACATCTAATTTAGCGTCTTATTATTACTAGTAACTAGAAACACTAGCTTATCTTTTATAAATAGCTTATTAGTAAGACTTATCTATAACTAAAAAAAGTTTTAAAGTATTTTAATATTATTTACTACTATACTTTTATCTAGCTAGATAAGCATTATTAAAGTTAGCTTCTAGTTTCTTAGGGGCAGCATAAGTAAGTAGTTAATTCTTAGCATCTTTAAGCACTTCTTAAGCCCTTAACTAATAGTAATAAACTTATTAATAATAGCGCTATAAGCTTTATGTATAATGCTAATAGTTTACACAGTATAAAAGGCCTTTATAATATTACTATGCTTAAAAGAAGGGTTTATTTTGCCTATGTCTAGTAGGATTGTGCTATTAAAGTTTAACTAACGCAGATAGTAACACCTCTAATTAGTTATAACACTATAGAATCTATATATTAGCCTAGTAGTAATTAAAAAGGTTATACTTTTTTTTATATAGCTTTACTTGCTAACACTAAGGTGCATATTATAGTTATTATATACTAAAGCGCATAGTGCTAAAAACTAGCAATAGCAAATAACTTCTTGCGCAGTAGCCTTAAGCGCACTAATTAAGCGCTGCGTAGAGTTATATAACTCTATTAACCTTAAGAACTGTGTTACTTTAAAAACATGTTGTTTTACGCCTATAGAGTAAAGAAGAAGAGATAGTAGAGATAAAAAGTAGTTTAATAGCTTAAAATGCTATAAAAAGTAGATGTTTAAGATAATAAATATAATCTATAAATAGTTTTTATTATTAAGTGTTCTTATACTTAACTAGTATAACTAGAACAAGAGATTAAACAGGGTGCTAGCATACTAATAAATAAGCGCTGTAATGTTAGACTAAGTACACTAGATAAAGGCACTTAATGCTTATTAAAAGTATTATCTAAACAACATTATTTTTAACTGTAACATATTAAGCTTAGCCTTAAGCTTTATAATGTAGTCCTAGATAGCAGCTTTAGGTGTTATAATAGACTATAAATGTAGCTTTATAGCACTATTCTTGTCTACCTTTTTAAGCAGCATAGCTTAATATTATAAGGCTTAGAAGGCAAGCTTAATAAACTTAAAGAATAAGCCTCTCCTCTAGCTATTATTATAGCAAACTCCTTTAACTATAGTTATATATAAAGTAAATTACTTTTACTTCTTTGCTATAAAGTCTAGCTTTAGTAGATCTTACTATGTAAGTATAAACTTTAATAATTTTAAACTTTTAGGCTGTCTAACACTATGTACTAGCAGCCTTAGTGTAGTAGTAGCAGCAACAGGTAATGTGTGCTGCTCTGTTTTATAGAGCTCTGTCTTATAGGAGAAATCTACGTTAAATAGCAGCAAAGAATGCATATTAGTATATAATGTTAAAGTAACATTAGCTGTACATAGTTAGCAAAAGGACTATGCAGCTTAAGTATAATTAAGAATATAACAGCTACCTACGCATATAAAACATAAGTGCAGCTAAAAGAGGCTTTTAACTAGGCCTTTTATAACGCACTTTATAAAGTAAACTAAACATAATACAGCATAAAGTAAAAAAATATGCTAAAAAGATATTTAGCTAAAGTATAATTATAAATATAATAACTACCTACACATATAAAACATAAGCGCAGGTAAGGGAGACTTTTAGCTAAGCCTTTTAATATTACTAAGATAAATTAAAATACTATAACTAGCTATATATATAATTTATAAGTGCAAGAAGCTAATAAATTTATAAAGAGTTTATTATACCTTATATATGCATAAGAATTAAGGCAACGCGCGTAGCTGTATTATTGTCCTTATATAGTTAAGTTGCTAGGGGTGTGAGAGAATCTATCGCACAAACGCTAGGCCCCTAAGGTAATTAATTAAACATAGGGTTATCTCTGTAACCTATAGTGCGATTTTGCTAAAAAGTATACTAGTTAACGCAGAATTAAATAAATTAATTTATTCTTACACTAAGCTAGGTAATAGAAGCAATAGAGAGATAGTAGGTCGCGTTAAAGTTAGAAGAAGGTGGATTTTCCTATACAAATCTGGGCCCCTAAGCTACCAAAAATTACACGGGCGACTAGACCCTCCTGCGGAGGACCCCTCACAACACGTGACCCCTCACGGCACGTGATCCGGGCACGTGACCCGTGACTCGGGCCAAGACAGGGGGGTTGGTTATTACTAGACTATGTCAATACGATGAATATTTCTACTCTAAATTAGCCACTTTCTGATTGGTGGCCATCGATTGCGGACCCCGCGATGTCATCCTGCAACCCGCAACTCCAGGTCAACCTCACAAGTGCTGACGTGAACTTCGACGAGAGAGAAGTCACTTCAGCATCTGGGTCTTGACTGGCGAATAACAGATGATGGAATCTTCGGAATCGGTGATTTGATTAGTGAGTGCAGACGTTGATCTGACGACTTGGGTGCGACTTTATAGGAGACACTTTCATATACTGCAATTCCTCTCAAACTCACTTACGTTCAACCAACTCCGGACTTCGTTCAAGATGCTGCTCTTCCTCCATTCGGTCCCCGTTCTATTGGTCAGCTCAGCGGCAGCCATTCTTCTCGGGACGATCGTATACAGACTCGTCTTCCACCCTCTCGCGAACATCCCAGGACCGAAAATCGCAGCAATCACGAGAATATGGCTGGCATACCACTCTCGGAAGGGAAATAATCATGAATTTGAACCTGCGCTGCATAGAAAGTATGGGCCGGTTGTTAGGATCTCGCCGAATGAGGTTATGGTTTGTTCGGAGCAGGGGGTGAGGACAACTTATAGTAGGACCTCTTCTTCTCTCTGGCCTTAGGGTTCCCCTACGTTCTAGATTTGCAGATTCTAGCTGGAGGTATAGTGGAGGGTTTAATTGGTTCGAGTTCAGGTGATCTGGATGCTAATACACGAATCCCACAGGTGCAGGAAGCCTCTTCATAAAAGCACCCTGGTACCAAGTCTGCGCAGCCCCTGATTCCCGCCGCAAAGGCGTCGAGCGCTTCGATCTATTCACCGAAATGGACAAAGAGCGTTACCGTTCTCAACGTCGAGCTATCGGACCTGCATATTCGATTGCCGGCATGGAAAAACACGAACATCTCCTCAACACTTACCTTGCCAAATTCCTCGCCAAGATGAGAAGCTTGAATGGAGACTGGATAAGTCTGTCAGAATGGATGCATATTTTTGCTCTGGACGCCCTATCTACGTTTACGGTGAGTAAGAGTGTTGATTATACCAGTCAGGGGAATGATGGTGAGAATATGGTGGCGAGTGATAAACATTGGGGGTATTTCACTGTTGTCGGCTTATTTCCATGGATCGTGTATATCACGCAGCGGATTCCGAGATTTAGCATGATCCTCATGGTACCTGTCAGCTTGGTACTAGGCTTGAAGATCCCAACTGGCTTGCCTATTTTCCGCTTTGTCGTCCCTAATATCATCACCAGACTCTCGAAACTCGAATCCACAGCTAGCGCGAGAATGCCGGCTGATCGTCCGGGCTTGGAAACTTCGAGTTCTGTTTCTGAACCTATAAGTGGAAAGCTCGTGGAGGAGAGCATGGAAGACGCAGAGGGAGGAGGCGATGGGCCAAAAGATTTGCTAGCCAGTCTAATGCAACTTCACACCTCTAAAGGAGCGCGTTTCCACCCATCCTGGGTACTCGGCATCGCAATCACCAACTTCGGCGCTGGACATGACACCATGGCCATCACCTTATCTTCCTGTGTTTACCAAATTGCCTCGAATCTCGTTGCGAAGGAGAGACTAGTAAAAGAGCTCCGCGAGGCGGGAATTGGCCAAGGTACTGGATACACCGAGACCGTAAACCGCATCCCATACCTCTTGGCCTGTGTCAAGGAAGCTATGCGTATGAACCCAGCCATCGGCGCCTCAATGCCTCGAATTGTCCCTGAGCCTGGGGTAACCTTCGCCGGCCACTACTTGCCCCCTGGTACCACGGTTGGTGTGAATCCTTGGGCGTTGCACTACGATCCCACCATCTTCTCCTCACCCGAAGAGTTCCAACCGGAGCGCTGGCTCTCCAATGGCACTGAAGATGACAAGAGCAGAATCGGGCGCATGGATGCTTGTTGGTTGGGCTTTGGCGGCAGGAGTCGTAGTTGTCCAGGACAGTATCTTGCGAGGTTTTTTGTGGTCAAGGCGCTTGTAGGGATGTTTGGAGTTGGCGGGTTTAATGTTGAAGTTCGCGGAGAACCAGAGTTTAAAGGGTGGTTTAGTGTGCATATGAATGCAAGGACGGAGGTCAGGTTTGCGGTGAGGAGATAGGGGTGAATTTTTGGAATTTCGGATGCGTGTGGACTGGGGAATGGTGATACCTGGACAACTCAAGGCAAAGATATTGAAAGGCGGAAAAAGGTTGTCAAAGCTTATAGCTTATAGCTTTAAGCTAATAATTGTGATTTGTTCCACGCACTCACTCCTAGTACTCGACTGAATTTCTCGGTCCCCCACTGCGTAGAATTCAGCACTAGGTTACTCACCCTAGTCTACTTTCGAACTCGGAAAAGTTTGGGTTTCCTTCGTCCCCTTGCGTTTCAAGAGCCTCATATATCAGACATCAATTGTTTCATGACGTCATGAAGGCGACCTCTCTTCGCTTTTCGACCACCTGTCCTTTGTAAACAGTTCGCCGCAGACGTTTAGTAGAAGTCTATCTTTCGAACCCTCATCCGGTCCAATTACTGGTTCTATATACTGCACCCTCGTATCCTCCTATTCCCAAGATGTCTGCTTCCGCTTCCACTGGCTCGCCAACCAACTACCTAGGAACCATACTCTTTCTTTCCCACATTATTATCACCTTGCTATTCACGACTCATATCACCCTATCTCTATACCATCAATACCAATCCCACAACCCCAAAAACGCCCGACCGATCAAGCCCCTCAGATCCCTCATCCTCCTCTCTGGAACTAGTTTCGTAACCCTCTCATACCACATGCTCATGTTCCTGATAACATCGTACCAAAACTGGGACGCGAATTCAAGTCTACAAGACTCCGAGAGCAGAGTGTCCGTGAAATCAATTTGGAATTGGATGCTCTCATCCGAACTCTTTGGCGACTTTGCAAAAGAGCTTGTGAGCGATGGGCCGAGTGTGTTGTGGACGCAAATTGCAGTGCTTGGAACATGGTTTTGGGAGATCTGGATTGCGGGGAAAGGTATGCTAAGTCCTATTATTCCTCCTCACAATCTCTCATATCAATCGTGTTTGAGAAAAGTTGGAGTGGTAGCATTGCTGATTACTAGATATGTAGCACACGAGAGTGGACTATCTCCACGAAAGATGTTTCCATTTTTAATTTTAGGGCAGATGTTGCCGATATCTTTTACTGCCACTCTCTTTATTCTCCACCTCCGCCTTCGACTTTCATTCCCTCTCGGTTCGAAATTCCAGCAACCCTCGAGATCACAACGACGTCATCAATCCTCAAAAGCCCAGAAATTCCGGCAGAGCCCCTCAAACCCCCAAAATCCATCCCAGTCCTCACCTAAACCCTTCGCAATCCCCCTCACAATCCCAACCGCTTTGCTAAATGCCATCCTCCTTCTCCTCCCCTCTCTCCTACGCTCCCGACACTATTCTCACTTCTTCATTCCGGGTCTCCTTCTCACGCGTTTAATTCTTCTGCTCCCTTATTCTGGTTTCGTACTGTTGGCAGATGAGGATATATTAAGATGCATGTTACTCTCAGGAGGCTTTGTTGTAGCAAATATGAATATTTTGACGAAAGGTTATGGGATTTGGGATTTGACGAAGGGATTGTGGGAGAGTGGGTATGCGGTTAGGGCGATGGGATGGGATGCTGTGGTTGGGGTCGTAGTTGCAGCGGTCGTGACAAGGGGCTTCTACGCAGGACGATAGAATGAAGACGGGCATAGAGCGGTAGATATAGCCGTAGTGCTTAAGTAAAGTGATCTATATTAAACGGGGTCCTGGCACAAAGACGTTCCTCGCATTCTGCCATATGGTATTTCCGAACTGAAGTAGCCCAGTCCTAGGGTCGCATATCGAGCACCAGGACCACTACATACAGTAGCATTTCGATGAAGTTGCCAAACGATTGCAAGGATCCTACGCGGCCCATGCACTCAGTCATTCATGCGGGCCATTCTTAAAGAGAGCATAAATCAGCGACTTGGTCTGAGCTTCAAGTCAAACCCATTGAGCTACCTCGGTCCCAACCTTCCTCATCAGAATCCTCACTGTCACAGACAAAGTCACTATCCGAAACCAGATCGATCTCACAAAATTTCTAACCTTATAGTAGCAACTTCGACTAGAATCCTCACTCATCGCTCGTGGAACCGTCGACGGAGTCAAGCCTATAAAAGGACTGAAGCACAACAGTAACATCAGTTCCCTAACTATACGAAAGAAATGGATTTCTAAAGCACTTAGAAGCTCCTACTTTCCAGAGTTGTCAACAAGCAAAACAATCAAAATTTTCAGCTCAACTTGATACGAATTAACCAGTAGAATTAACTTAATTGACTTGATAGATTTTAGAGCTGTATTTAATTGTAAATTGGTTATTTGATTGATAACTAAATGCCAAGGAGATCAGGTGTAGTACATATTACAAAACGTTCATATCCTAGCCGCATCCTAACATGTGCACGTGTATCACGTGATACCATACCCATACACTGAACTATTCACCAATTAAGACTAGCTCCTTTCTCGTACAGTATACTGAGGCGCTTAAGCAGCGGCTGCAGTGCTGTTGCAGAGATGCTTAAGGTCCGTACAGACGATATTACTGTATGCAACCCAGCATAGCTCCAGAACGTCTTTCGCTATCAATTATTCAATCAAGTCAATCAAAATTCTGAGCGCAGCTTGACTTGATTGAATTGGTAACAAGCCATCAAAACAAGCAAAAGCTATCAAGCTTCTTGCTTGTTGACAAGTCTGCTGCTTTCTTGTAAGCCTCGTCGAGAATGTATGCGGTCATTGCTTGCAAAAGGTTCGTTTCGGCATTGATTACCCCTCCCGATAGTGAGGTGTAGTGCATATTTTGCATTACTCCAGTGCCACGGGTTACGTATGAAGTTTGGTAGAAGGGTTTAAGATGCCAAAGTACATCCACTAAGCCTATGTTGATGGTATCTTTCAGACGGTGAAGACTTGATGCTTCAAATTTATCGAATAGAGAGGTAATTTCCGGGTGGGAGAGCATTGCGCGGAGAAGCGCGCGGGATAATTGTTGTGCTTCGTAATTCCTCCGAGCGTAAGATCTGATGCATTAGAAGGCTAACCGTAGAAGCGTTCGTTTCGCCCCTGAAATAGCCGCTTCGCGTTCGCTAGCTTAAGGAATGATAACTAAGCTACGATATTCCTTATCAATCTTAAGACTGACATCATTACCGTCGTTGGTGGGTAATATTAGGCAGATTCTCATATATGTAGAGCTAGGAAGGAGCAGAGTTGGTATAGTAAAGGAGCCAAGTGGGCTTGCAACAGGATTCCTCTAAAATGCGGATCAAGCACGAGAGCTTTTTGGGGCTCAATAAAAGGGCATGATTGAGTTGTGCAATGAACCCGGGGATGTCAATCTTATGTGACAGTTGGGAATTGTAAGTGTGAGATTAAGATCCAAGTGTTGGGTAGCACAGCATCCTAAGCAAGAGGTTGTTGTGGGTGGGGCTGAGGCGTCGAAACGCCTGGAGTACAGCGAGAGACGGCTAATCATAGGATAGGGTATCCGGGAGCGATAATACTTTTGACGACATTTTGGTTGTCGTTCGAATTGGTCAAGATCATGGCCTCGCCCAATATGGAGCTTACTCGAGGGGTGACGAAGATGCAGAATAGGCCTGCATGTCACTAAAAAGAGACTTGAGTGTCCATCCCGAAGAATGACAGGCAGGGTCGTACGCCAGTGCACCAGTCCAGAACTTCTGTTACAGAGATGGGGATGGAGACTGCGATAATATTAAAAGGAATTTCCCGCCGGTACCACCTAGCTAGCTTTGGCTCCATCCATCTCAAGTGGTCGCAAAGGCCGTCCTGACTCACACCATAAGCCATCAGTAACTGTAGAAATGAGTTTATACAAAATTTATGCATCTAGAATAGGGCTGAAGCCAAGGTCGATATTCTCCTTCAAATTTGGACCATTCTTGTCGCACGGTTCGAAGATTCCATGGGCGAAACTCAAAGGTGCCGATCCAAGGTAAGAATTTTGAATTGCCCCAGCATGAGGGGGTCTGAGACATGTGTAACGTATTGGAAGTGAGGACCGGTTCCACTCGCAGTACCTCATCTCTTGGAACACTATTGTGCAACACCTCGGGAGTACGGCTGAAAGGAAATTTGACCTCATACGATTTTCTCGGCTTTATCATGACCCGTGGCAAACTAATGCGTGGAAACTTTGACCAGCTACACTTCAGAGTCGGAGAAGGAAAGATATGTGTTTGCATTTACGGAGCTTTCCGAGCTCCACCACCTGCTCGTATTCATCTACCACTGCCGCCTACCCTAGTTATATGCTGCATATTTGGCATCACGGTACCTCTCTCACTCTCTCGGGTACATTTGGTCCACAGGCACGCTCCTTTAGCAATTATCTCGGTTCCTCATGATCATAGCGCTCCTCAAAGCTTCATAACATACAAGGCATATTTCTGCAATCTCGAGGTCCGTAGCAGCTAAGCCAAAATGAGCAGATGATAGATTGTCGCCAACTTTTTGAGGAAACCCCCAGCACAAGTATTGCTGAACGATATAGTGTGCCAAGGCAATCCTCTGTGGTCCCTGTGGTAGATTGCTAGATTGCCAGAAATGGTAATAAGTTTTCGGCCTGCGTTGGATGCCCCGCGCTTTGAATAAAGGTGCTTATTAGTATTCCGTAAACCGACTGCCTCTTCGAAGCTCATCAATGCGTAATGGGCGTCGAGAGCGTATCATCCACAGAAAAACTTAATCAGGATTTCGACCTTACGTGCCCCACTTGGTCTCTTGTAAATCTTCTAGAATAGTTGTGAATAATTTTCTTCCAAGGGTCTCTGAAGATGGCGTAGAGACCTCCGAACCACATCCTCAGCCAGGGCTTCCAACGAGGCGTAGTACTGTACGATTGGGCGATTTTGAGGCCTGTACGGGTGAGATTTTGTGTACGTTCGTATGACAGGGAGGAGGAGAGGTAGGTGTACGTATCGTAACTGTTACAGCTCACGTGATCTGTACAAGTAGTACAATTTAATTAAAGTACGCTGTACTCTAGTTAAAACAGCTAAGACTATAGGTCTCTAGAGACGCAAGATTAAGGTCTAATTAACTATAAAATAACTAGTTCTCCCTAGTAACAAGAGCAGATAGGACTAGATAAGGCCTGTAAGGCAGCAAGAGGCGTAGTGTAAGGGGTATTAATTAGGAAGCACAGGTTACAGAGAGGGAATGCAGGATAGGGGGTAACAAGAGTAAACCTTAGGGTTAGAGGTAGAGGTACAGAGGCCGAGGAGCCTATATACCCCGTGCCAAGCCTAGAGTACTTAGGGGTTGGATAGCTGTAACATAACTGTGTATACAAACTTCCTAAAAGGGTAATACAATCTGTACTACGTACTGTACCTAGGGCATCATTAAACGTACGGTACGGCTCACGAACTCGGTATGTTCGTACTGAACACGTGACCGTTACGGTTCACTTTGTACGGACCGTAGTACGGCCCGTTGGAAGCCCTGTCCTCAGCAGGCGCCTTGCAAATTCTATCGAGCCTGAACTAATCCCAGAGAAGCCTTAAGAAATCAACAAGTCAGCAGTAGACTATTGACTGCACTCAATGACTACTCATATTCTATTGGCTCCATTATTAGAGAATCTCTGATCTCTTACTTCGAGGATAGGCCTATTTACGCAGTACTTAACTTTGCCGTCGCTATTCAAAAGTTTATTCAACACATAGGGCGATACTCCTCTCGGCAGGTCCAGTGAGCAAGCCACTACTTACATACTACTTTAAGCTCTCTCTTATCAGTGGCCCCTTACTACGACTAGTCTAAAAATCTTGGTTCGTAACTATTCTGAACTTCATTATCAAGGCTTAACCAACTTAATCCAACTCATCCATCCCACCAAGGAGGTCAAAGATCTTTAGGAAGTTCCTAACCAGGCGAGAGAGAAACTCCAATTTTTTCCGATATCCGAGGGCTTCGACCTCACATCCTCAAGTGGCTGTTGAAAGTCTCGTCGAACCGGTCAAGGGGAGGGAACTCTAGAAATTGTTTAGCAAGGCTTGCGGTCGGATACGCTGAATCCAGTGATGCCTGGTCGGCGAAATCGCAGTAATAAAAGCATATTATGGACTTCAGTTCTTTGGGTGGTGGCCTTAGATCGTCGATTAAACTCGTTACTAAAACAGACATTCTTGATTCGGGATTTTATAGGAGTACAAGAAATTAGAAGCGGGAGATGAAACTAAAGTTTGAAGGCAGTTTGTCAATTTGATTTCGTAGCACCGTACAGCTTCTATGATATATGCAGGGTCAACCTATTCTTGATCCTTTTCTGGCGCAATCGAAAGCTGGATTAGTAACCATCGAAGTTGTGAAGCTAGGAGGAGCACCAGAGGCATGAGGAACTGGATTGATTGCTAGAGGAGTGTACCTAGGGTCTATATATATGTAAGAAAAGGGGTAAGTTTTGGCAACATGAGATCATCGTGTGAGCAGGTGACTATCCTGTGAGCCATGCGTGAGAGCCATGTGTGACTACGGCATACAGAAAGGCTTCTGTATTCATATACGAGCAATTGATTCAGGCACTAACATTCATAAGTACAGGGTTCATTGCCTAATTTCGAAATCATCTAACCTAGAGTCATCCTGGCTCGAACAAGCAAGTCCTTTGCTTGATAACAGGATTTTAAATGTCGAGGCAATGATCAGAAAATGCTTGGAGAAGCGGTTCATAATTGCGGAAATGGCTTTGGTGGATACAAAACTGAGGTAATGTGTTTGCAGTAGTCACGCATGGTTCACACTATAGTCACATGCGTCGTCACCATGGTCGTATTCATCTCACGATGGTCTCATGTTACCAGGACTTACCCACTTATTTCGCATATATATAGACTCCTACGAGCACTCCTCTAGAAATCAATGCAGTTCAGTTTCTCTCATCTCTGTACCCCCACAAGCTTCACAGTTATGCGCCCGTCAACCGCTTGCTAGTCAATCGAGCTGTTTTCAAACCTATACCAGGGGGAGAGCTCCTTTGACATCCTACGTACGATTGTGACCTCTTTGTCACGCCCGAACACCTCAAAGTCGCTCTTTTGCAGCACTTTAGGTATCTTTCAAGACCAATCGGTCACCAATCTTGACCTCGTGGTCCAGAGAGGCGACTCAGTCTCTACTTTATCAGTCGCATCAATCGCAACCTCTACAATCTCCTGGGTGCGCTACCAGAGCTCTCAGTCGAGTACCTCAAGGACAAACCTGCCCACCACAAGGACAAACTCGTCCACCATTTGCAGTTAATTACGACTATCCATAGACATAATTGTGACAACCGTCGACGAATCATGCCATCAACATGACAGATTCTACCGACTTGCTAGTCTCAAAGACTACGATTATACTCAATACAACTAATAACTAGTTCAACTAGTTCGTCTCCTAGTCTCTTCACCTCAGCTATTGTGAGGTCTAGATTGCAGTATTCCCAGACAAACAGATGCTCCGCGGTCAACTTCTAGAGGTAGATCCAGTTGTCCCAGTCATTAGTTGACTTGAGTATAGTCGTAGTCTTTGAGACTAGCAAATTGGTAGAATCTGTCATGTTGATGACGTGATTGGTCGACGGTTGTGACAATTATGCCTATGGATAGTCGTAATTGACTGCAAATGGTGGACGAGTTTGTCCTTGTGGTGGGGAGGTTTGTCCTTGAGATGCATACGACCATGGTGACGACGCATGCGACTATCGTGTGAGCCATGCGTGACTACTGAAAACATAATGCGTCTCCGGCGAACTTGTCCACAAGTTTTTTTCGAGACTTTCATAATTCGCTTACAATCTTGCAGAGAAATTCGCAGCAATATGTCTGGAAGAAAAGCACCTCAGAAGTAGCACCTCATACAGGAGTTCTAGGTGAGAGGACTCTCTGGACTGCTATATCAATAGGATTCGCCTTTATGGAAGATGACCTGAATGCTTCCCTAGACTAGACACATTATCAGCCCATAGGCGTTCGAAAAACACATATAGCGCTTTCCCCGTACTCTCCAATTCTATTTACCAGGGAAGAGATCTTTTCCTGCATTGCAAATGTTTGGCTACCTTGAGCTTGCTTTTCTGAGTCGCACTCGCATCAGAGAATAGGCTTTCTAGCGTTGCACCTTCAAATTCCCGTGCCCCTTTCTGATGATAGACCCTCAAGGAACTTGTTCCCCGCGGCCTCCTAAGGCTGGGCTGGAAATGGTAGTCTCGTTCAAATCGCGCTCATCCCGGTGGATTTAAAAACATACTGGTATCAGGAGAAGCATTTAGTTTTCCACAGGAAGGTGAAGAGCAACCTTCACAGGTCGCTGATAGTTACGAGGAAGCGATCTGATTATCTAGCAAGAAAGAGTACGTTGTTAAGTCCACCTTATGGGCATCCCTCATAAGGCCGAGATTATTGCCTCAGTTTGCAATATCATGTGCAAGCCTCATAAATCCTTTACTAAAAGTGAACCTAGCAGTAAACACAACCACCTAGATGCTCGCATGCAGATCTACAATCTTTAATAGCTAGGTCACTCTTGTAGAATTTGATACCAGTATGCACCAGCGACAGGGCCTCAGGGCTTTATGTGCTTTGTGAACTCAGCCCTGATTTGATTCCACTCTGTCTCATTCTCACTCTGTTTTGCCCACTGGCGCACTTTATCAATGCCAGCCAGATCCTCCCCCATATGCTGAGTGGATGTCGTCCCATTTAACACTACGATATCAAGATCCATAACCAGAGCGTAGAGTGCAATAGCTTTATTAACTTTCGCCGACTCCCCTAGGGTGTTCACAGGCTGCGATCTCAGTAGCTTCGGATTTCCCGTCAAGGTCCAGAATGACTGATACATGATGTCATGCTCCAAGCAGAAGGAGCGAAGCGGTACGTCATATGAAGTAGCCTGATAGAACCTGTTTTGCACTACAGAGGGCTTGACATTGGAGTGTTCGTAAATGGCTTCGAGAATGGGTAATGTGACGTTGGATACTCCAAGAGCCCCTACCTTGTTGGGAACATAGGCTTCGAGGGTCTTCCAAGCCTGAAGGGTTTCCTCTATCGTAGGAAGAGGGGAGTGGAGGAGAAGACAGTTGATGAAGGAGTCTTCTTCCGAGCCCTCCTTGTGGCGTAAATTATTGAGCGATGAAGTAACGGAAGCCCTGATTTGGGTTTCCAATGGGTCTAGAGGGCAATATGGCATGTTGTTTACATCCTGGCCCATGGGGGCGGTATATTTAGTTTGCACCTGTCGCCTATTAATCGTATAACAAGGCAAAATTCGGTTAGATTTACATATATATCCTCTCTCTTAACAATCCCCTCCTCATAAGCTTCGCGTAGCGCCTGCCCAACCAGATTCTCCTGATAATGTCTCGGCTGGGCTGCAGTATCAACACTTCGGAAACCGGCAACGAGGGCCTGCTTCACTAGTCTCGTAGTGTGATCCTTCTTCCAAGCTGTCCCATAGATGAACAAAGACTTCGTATGTTTAGAAATCAGCCTTGAGGATGCCGCGGTTGAAGACGCCATTGTTCGATTGGTTGATAATTAGGAGCCAATGCACCATGCACGACGTATAGTAGCCAGCGGGAGCTCGCTAGGGGAACTCGACCCGGAAGAAGCACAAAGGTTCTGCCAGGGGTATCCCTATGCATGAGCTTCATCAAAAGTGCAGTGACAGCGTGAATTGCATGATGATCTGTGCCTGTGCAGGTTGACAAAGTAGTGACGTCTGGCAGAAAACGGGGCCGCTTAATAATAACTACTGTTCACCGCCTCTGCCCCACTAACCAGATGAGCACGAGCTTCCGCCGGAATTCCGACCCTACCTTGGAAAGTGCTGGAAGTCATGGAAGCCTAACTCGAAGTGCAACACCAAAGTTATCATCGCTAATACAAGAGCGCATCCATCCGCGGAACTCCCCCAGACGCCTCGTCCAACTTCCCCAGAATGGCCCGCCCCAATGGACCCCGCGATCCAATTGCCGGCCCTGATACCCCGCAATCACCGTTTCCGCTTAAGTTACGAGGGCCAGTCATTAAAGGTTTTGGAAGAGGAAGCAAAGAGGTATGAAACTTCAAGTTACGTACATCCTTGTGTCGTCTATTCAAGAACACATGGCATTCTCTTATCTTCCTTGCTATTCTGAAATGCCAGACTACGTGTCAATTCACCGCCATTGGTGCCCGCAAAACCCAGCTTTCCTCCCATGCTGCATTTGCATTCTTGATACACGATGCAATAGCTGACGTCCAATACGCCTAGTAGCTCGGCATTCCAACTGCCAACATACCCATCACGGGTCTTAACATAGGTGGCCATGAAAACCTCTCCTCTGGGATCTACTACGGCTTCGCCTCGCTTGACAAATCCACTATTACGCAGAACACGTCCGCTTCAACCGACACTTCACTTCCCACACGCTCCTCCAACCATGCAGTCGCAGACCTCGAACCCCCTTCCTCTACCCCCTCCAGTGCCGCTCCATCCCGGCCTCTAACCCCCTCCCAGGACGCGGTCCAAAAGCCCCCGAGAGTCTACCCAACCGTGTTAAGCATAGGCTACAATCCCTACTACAAAAACACGCACAGATCCATAGAAATACACCTCTTGCATACCTTCAGCGCCGACTTCTACGGCGCCACACTCTCGCTGGTAATCCTCGGCTTCATTAGACCGGAATACGACTATGTGAGTAAAGACGCATTAGTCGAGGACATTCGACAGGACATCCGGGTTGCTCGGCGAAGTTTAGAAAGGCCTGCGTATGAAACATGGAGGGAGGATACGTGGTTATTAGGCGGTGAAGCCGGGGGTGAGGAGGCTAGGTCGAATGGAGACGTCACGGGCATGAGCACGGGCGGGGCAAAGGCGAAAGAGGTTGGACAGACGGATGGAGTGGGGAAGTGCGAGATGGAATGAATTTTTGCGTGAATTAAATCATTGTGCGTGAATTCTTTGTGGTAAAGTGTTCAGGGGCTGTTGGCGCGAAGGAAGCTGAAGGTTGAGGCGGAGGGCGGCACAATCCGACGGTCGGGAGAATTCGGAAGGAGCTGAACGACGAGGCTGAGGCACACCCCCCAATAGCCATGATCACAAACACAATGTTGGAACGCACATACGATCTCCCTTGAGTGTCACCTTCCACGTGAAACGCAAGATGGGTAGACTTAACATCACGTGCAATGGATCAACCTACTAAGACAAACTTCAAGATTCAGATGCAATAAACATATTGTGACTAGTCGCATAAATCCTTATGTTCGCCAGACCATCCCATTACACCCCAAACACCCACCCCATTACCCCATTACCCCAAAATAAGCCATTCAATCGGTATGCTATCGTCTGTAAAGTACTCTGTAGCCATAGGTGCTTCTGATGTAGAAAGAAATCCTAGAGTATGCCTATCATCCATCCACGATCACTCTAGGATATGGTTAAGCTCAATCACAGCGTACAAGTACAACTGCTTGCCGCTCTCCTATTTTCCATCACCGCGCTGAGAAGTAAAAGGAGAAATGAAAGCAACCAGATGCCGCCTAGGTGCTGCCTTGCTGCAGTCTTGGAAGAAAGAAAAGAAACGACGAAATCAAATAAAACCCATATATGCAAATGCAAATGATCCAACCACTGAAAAGAAAATTTTTATGCGTTTCCAACGTCAGCTCATCTCTGCAGTCTCATGGTGTAAATCTTCGTTCAACCGAGATCCGTTTAAATAAATGCAATGCACAATCGTAGGAAATAAAGATGACAGAAAATTGGGTGTCCGAGATAGGACAGGGAGAGTTCGAGGGGATTCATAGGCCGAGGTAGAAAGTGGCTGTGGCCGTTAGAGGTGTTTAGCGGCCTGACGTCTCATGCGAGAACAGGAAGAATCTAGACATGTGAATAAACAAGACGTGAAGCTGCGGCGACAGATGGTACCTACATTCATAACCACCAGCATCGGCATATCAAAATTGTCCCTTTTAATATGCCAACAAATCATGCAATCCACCATACCATCCCTCGCCCCAAGCATCCCAATTCCAGCTTCAGCATGGATTGCGTTCTCCATTTTAACTTGTGGCTCAGGCTGGCTAGGCTTGCCATTCGCAACCGCATTCGCCTTGATCTCTTCAAGCTTAGCCATATCCTCTTTGGTGCGATACTTGAGCATCTTTACTCGGCGAGTCGTAGTTCCTCGTGAATTATCGTAGGCTAGCTCTGAGAAATCTTCAAACCACTGAACGACGGAGTCTTCATCCATGAGATCGACAATTGAGACAGGGTGTGGGCCGGTATCTGGCTCTTGGCCCGTCATCATGGGCGTGGTGCTGGTTCGAGAGGAGAGACCACTGTCACTTGAGGGGTCGCGCGTTGAGGGAATGTTAACGTTCATGTTTGTCTCTTTACCAAGAAGAATATCGCGCTTCCAACCGGTCAGAATGCTAAACTCCTTGCCAGACAAAACGACTTCTCCAGAACGCCGGCACACCAGGACTGGAGTGCCGGTTTCCGCAATCATGTCTTCGAGTGTGAGCAGTGAACGTTGGAGGTTCTTCTCTTGGTGTATGAGGTCGGGCGTATCCAGCTCTGTGGCAGATTTCAAAAGAACCGGTCTGAACTTGCTGAGATAGTATCGGACCTTCCTTGCCTTCTCAGCGGGATACCGTCTCTGGACAGAGAGGGCGAGGCGGTGGAATGCTATTGAATGATCGTATGGCTTTGTGATCCCTTCGTAAATGTAGCTCGTATCTCGGCGACGTTTTCGAATCGCATTCGACTGAATGGGTTGAAGTGCAGTGTTTGCGAGAGCTCGATTTTCAAGCTGCAAGCGACTTACCGTTGGTGAATGTTGGGCCTGGGGTGGATGTGCATTTGCAAAGAAAGCTGCAGCAGACATTGGGTTTTCGTTGTCGTACCCTGAATCAATGCCAGTCGATGCGGGACTGGCGCTCGAGAGGCTGCTGGGGCCCTGACCGATAGCATAGGCATGAGGACCATTCAGGCTATCGTTCCGGTGTCCATTGTGATCTATGGTAGTAGTAATCGGAGTGTTGTGAGGGGTCTGGATCTGAAGGCTCCCATGTCGCGAGTGGGCACCTGCATTTTGCCATTCGGCGCTAGGTAAGCCGTCCGGTCCAAAGGACATGTTCGGAGGTATGGCGGACGGGTCGCTGTAATGCCCAGAAGGCATCTGAGGGTTGAACACGTTAGCAGCTTGGTTCAGAGGATTCAGCAAGCTACTGTCGCTCGGTGGTGTGTCAGCGGCACCAGAAGACATGTGACCAAGTATTCCCATCTCTAGCGCACCGTAATGATTGCCAAAGTTCAAGCTCGAGATATCGAAGTTGAACAAGGCGGGGTCGCTAGGGTCAAAGAGAGGCCCGCCAAATTGATGCATTTGTGACGGACCTGCTTGCGACACCGTGCTTGGAACATTCGAGATCGAGGCCGGGTTCGTTTGACTGTAAGGAGGCGAAATAGGTGCTTGTTGGTTGTTGAACGCATTCATGACAGGGGCTTCTTGGACTGTAGGGGGAATTTGGGCTTGGGTTGAATTCTGCGCGTAGTAGGTTGTCGAGGGAGCCTGGGTATAAAAGCCACCTTGTTGGGACATAGAAACAGCACCAGAATCCTGAGTAGGAAGACTCGTGGCGTGGCCTCCATTCAGATGAGAGTAATTACCACCCACTCCAGGCATAAGTGCGCCGTCAGGAGCGTCATGAAGATATTTGGCCTTCTTGCGGACGCCATCCATGCAATGATCTTGAAGACCGCGCTTGATACATCTGTGGCAGGGCCGTTCGTCGCCTATATTTCTCAAGTTAAATATGTTCCAAGCGGCAGCGTTATGAAGTCTCCACGTGAGTTTCCCCCCGTAAAAGCTTGTAGGAACGAATTGTATACTCACCACATGTAAGGTGCGCCCGCTGACAAGCAAAGCACGCTCTCCTCGCCTTTTTTCTCCGCGGTCTTAGCGGGTCTTTGGCGCTTGAAGCGGGTTTCTGGCCGTTTCCATTCCGCTGTGAGGGTGAAGCATCGTCCTGAGACTGCTCAACCTTCCGTTCGGCCATGTCGCTATCGCCGCTGTAGTCCGGCGAGGGAGCAGCATCGTTGGCGTCTGGGGTGGTCATAATATCCCTTCTGCGATACACACGCACAGTACCGCAAAGCACGGATCCTATTACTAGCTATGGTACGGCTGCTGTAGACGCACGTTTATTCTGCGTGCAGCCTTCAATGTTTCCTTGGACACTCTCCCAACGCAGTGGCTCAACCAATGTGAGTAGAGCACCGGCTAGCAACGTCCCAGCTGCGTGTTTCGAGAGTGCGATCACGCGTGCGCTGGCTGCTCGAACGGGCGCTGTTGTGGGACAGTGACAGCTCCAATGGCGGTCGGTGATGCGCGAGCCCAATGGATAGTGGCGCCTTGACCTGCTTTCAATCCGGCGCGCAGGAATGGATCAATGCAGTTGTGATACAGGGCCGGAGTCCATGCAATCGAGGGAGCATTCCAGGAGCGCGCACACTCATCATTGTAGACGCAATGAAGGCCCTAGCATTCGGTGCTTCCCATGCTGCCGGAGGCGAGCTGTAGGTGCAAGGCGGCGAGGGGGCAGCCGAGACACGGCTACTATCAGAGAAGGCACGAAGGCACGTCGGGGAGCTCTTGCAGCAGAGAGCAGGTAGGGCAGGGCCGACGAGTGAGCGAGGTAAGAGCGGGCAGGCAGGCTCTAGCAAGCTCTGGCAGGCGCTCTCTCGTAAGGCAGGCGCGAGGAGCTAGAGGGGGGGGGAGGGGAGGGCGAGAGCCGGAGACGCAGAGCCTGATGCTGTGGTACGGTGCTGCTGAGGGCTGCGTGTCTCTTCTGTGTGTAGAGGAGAGGCCGAGGAAATGGGCCGGGCGAAATCTAAGCGCACAGCGGAGATGCTGCAGCGGGACCGCACTGTTTGATAGCCGCAGGGTTTGCTGCCGAGATGGGGGAGATTTGCACGTACACGATGAGCCTCGCTCGATGTGTCTGTGGTGGTGAGTGCGCGCAGCTCCTGGCGTAGCCCCGCAATTGATGGTGATGCTTGTGCGAAAAGTTGGAGCCAGACCTTCGCACGGTGGATGTCTACGCCTGCAACTGCTCCCTCGGTCAGCGCAACCCTGATTGGTTCCCAGGGCCGATTTACCGAGGCGCTCCGACCAGCGATCTAGCCAGCGCGCCATTTGCCCTGCACCCCTGTCCTATCACAGCCCCTGCACCCTTTCACTGCTGCCGTCCCTCCACACTCGCTCCGAACCGATCACTTTCTGTCTCCAGGGCCCACTTCGCGTTCGCATTTTGCAGGACCAAAAAGCAAACATCGTCACAGAGACAATATCTCTGGGCTTGCATGCAATATGTGATCAGAAACGCTTGGCAACCCTCTTTTAGCTCTCCTAACCCCTCGCTTTACCTGTCCTATTGTCTATCATCATTAATCTCTTCGACCTCTCCATCAGCGCCGCCTGTAAGCTTTGTGTTTGTCTGGCTGTCCGGCCACGTTCCCTCACGCCGGCGCTGCCTACCCAGCCAACGGTATCATCCGCAACCACTTCCATCTTGTGCCTCCTGTATCCCTCGAGCTGGCGTGGCTTTCCTCGTGGCGTTCTAGCCTGGTCGTACAGAAGGATTGACCAGTGTGCTTCAGGTGGTATCACGTGTGGAAAAAAAAAAAAACTTGGATTCAATAAACATGATAGAATGCAAATGCTGTGCAACCACCCTCTAAACTTAGCCTCTTCCACTCGAATCCGCCACAAACTGCCCTTCTGTCTCGTTTCTAATTCACGCTGACGCAAAACGACTGTTACCCCTGAGTCTTTTGCCGTATCGATAGAAGAGAATTGGAAACCTGTCGTTCCGCCCCGGTTAGTGACTATCACGACCAAACTTCTGGGACCATCTTACGGGGCCATGACTAGTGCTAGAAATGCTAGTAATGTTGATGCCCACTGGTAACCCAGATCTATCATCATCATCATCATTATCAGTGACCGCCTTTTTAATATGACATGCGGTTTTAACGCACTGTTGTACATCTGTACACCAAATAGCGGGAAGGCCGCTGCAAAGTAGCTCCTGGCAAAAGAATTGGCTGCCAAGGCTGAAGCCGCATACAGGGGGTACTAAAGCCAGAGTCAGAGCCAACTATTCACTTATCCAGGAGGGCCGATCTCGGAGTACTCACACAATCAACGAGAAACGTGAAGACGCCGCTATAGGTCCAGATTATGCTACGTCAGAGATAGTGGTCAGCTGGCTGTGAGTTTTACGGCACCTCCGCACCAAGAAGGGGCATACCCAATGCCAAAGATAGTCGAGAAGATTATTGGAACTGCGGTACCAGGTGATCAGCTATTATTACCAATTGATTATATGCGGGTTTGCTGCCGTACCTATCCAATGCACCTACAAGGACCAGGTTAGATCAAATCTGAATCAGCCATCTTGTAAGATCCATATCTCACATGGGAGTACGTAGTCCATCCAAATCCTGCAGGGATTATGGTAAGAAGCATGCCAGCCGTCAATTCCTGTAAAGACTTACCAAACAGTGCAATTGGAACGAGGAAGGCGCCAAAAATCGTTGGTGGGAGCCGAAACTCCGGTTCAGTGCCACCAGGTTCCCCCCCTTGCACCTCCCGTTGCTGCACAAGCCTGTTGTAATTCATCTTCCATAGCGGGTCGCTTGAGATCCCTAGGAGCATGCCAACAAATAATCCTAGAAAAGCAAGCCCGACCTGGGAAATGGTAAAGCCATGATTGTTCTGGAACACTAGAGGGAACGCACCAAAAAATAAGTACAGAATGCCTAAAAGAATTGCAGACAGTATGCATAGGTTGAGACACTAGCGCCGATCAGTTAGTCCGCCAATCATTCGAACCGTTCAAGGAGGTCTTGCCATTGGCTCCCAGAAGAGGAGTTGGAAAGGGCGGATGCATGACCACAGGACCGTCTTCGTAATCGATCTCGATAACTTCTCAATTGGCGCTATCCACCTTGGATTGCTCGTTTCCTTTCGTAGCCATCTTGCTTTGTTGCGTAGAAGGACAGGATGATACGTCTCGGGGACGAATAGGACGATCAGGGCCAATTGGACCCCAGACCAGATCAAGAGGACGTAGAAACACCTATCAGACATGAGCTTCTCAGGGGAAGAGTGAGATCTTGCATCTCGGTACTAACCATCTCCAGCTTGTATTCTGCACGATGAAACCACCAACGAGCGGTCCGATCTCAGGTCTTTGGCTATTAGCTCCTGAATGTGTATTGGGAACGCTTGCAGGACAGTACCCAATGAAAGGACTCGCCGTGTAGACCATCATCGGTGCGGAGAGCTCCTTCGATCACGTCAAGAGTTGAATATGAGTTTTAGCTGCATTACTAACGTGCTTGGCGAACATATCGCCCACTGTGCCTCCAGCCTGCGAACGGTTACGGTTAGCAGTTGCGCACAGTTGTTGTCTTAGTTGGCTTCGGGAGTTTCTCACGTACCACACTCAAAAATGCGCTTCCAGCGAGGCCATCGAGGAAGCGTGACACAAGCATAGTGGTAGTGTTGCGGGCAACTGCGCATGGGATAAGCCAGATAAGAAAAAACGAATACGAATAAATATAGACCGGTCTGCGTCCGTAGAACTTGTATACGTTAATGATGTCATTCAGAGGCTGAATGAGATTTTGCTTATCTCCATTTGCTTACCTCTGAAAGAGGACTGAGAACCATTGGGCCAGTCCCAAGCCCAGCAACAAATAGGGATAAACCAAGTGTGCAAATCAAGCGTGAGGTATGGAATTCAGGTATCAGCTGACTATAGACACTGGTGTAAAGCGATGAGGTGCATGTTCTGGTCCCAATCTGTCAGCCTCTGTCATGTGGGTTTTTATCTAGTACACTCACACACAGAGGGAGCTAGCAGAGACGATTACTAGTAACGTCAGCCCATACATTCAAGAGTTCTTAACCGGCCTACTCACGAACTATCGCCCAGCGTCTAGCCATTCCCATAGATCGAGGATTTTCTGGGTCGCAGTCCCCATCCCATGTCACTAGGAACTCCCCATCTGCATCACCAGCAGTGTCAACGGGGATGTTCGGTCGTTCGTCATTGTCACTGAAGCAAGTATACCCGTCTCCTCCAGCATATGAGCGGTGGCTGTGGAGTGAGCGCAAGCTTTTTGAGTGCGGCAACGTGCCATTGTTTGAGTGCGTTCGACGGGCAATTGTGTTTTTGAGTTCCAAGTATTCAGCACCGTCGAGCCCTAAGACTTTCTCTTCATCCAGGTCCGTGGCGAGCGCCTCTCTTTTCTCGAAATCTGCAGAGTCAACCTCTTGTGCTACGTCATGACTCGTGCTGGAACTCCTTCTTGCTAAGTTATTCATCTCGAAGTTGTTTTGAAGCCTTTTCCAGATAGTTTCTGTTCAAGCAGTAGTGTGCTTTTATATAGAGGAGTGACTGCCTTCATAAACTCTAAACTTCTTTAGCTCACTTTAATCGTTCGAAATTTTCAGAAGTCTCCACACGGACTTAGCCAGCTAGGGCCGCAGATGGCGAATATTCGATGACAAACGATATCGGGGTTGACCCTTGAGTCGATCGAAGTTCCTAAATCGTACGCGGATATTTTTTCCGGAGACGCACCACTCCCAATCTCACTAAATCGAAATGAGAGCAAGGAACTGAAAGACATGGCGCGCGAACAATGGATTTCGTAGCATGCGGCGAAAATTTCCAAGTAGGTAAAGAATGCGGCAAGTCTGGCGGATGAAATCTTATCATACGCCCATCATCGGCAACCTCATTTGGTCTCACGCGGCTCAATTCCGTCAACACCGGTCCCATCCGACATCTCCATGCTCTTATCCGAAAAACATCCTCTTCCCACCTCCACCGCACAATACTGTGATATTTCTCATGCTCACATAACCTGCGCCTAAGCCATCGCTTCGGGTTAAGGAGAGTGAGAGTGCCTTAGTACCGTCTTCGCGGCGGGGAACCAATCAGGGTATCATGCCACGCCGAATTGCGGCCTCTTTCGAGCAGACCCCGGCCATCACTAGAGAGCTAGATCGTCAAGTGGACTATTAAATGACGAAAAACAGCTTAGTTGAGAGTAGGTTCTCCGATCAGCTTCCCTTTACCCCCTTTGTTGGGACTCTCCTCCATGCGATTCTGTCTTGTTCTGATATACGTCGACCGAAGACTCCTTTTCATTTCCCCCGAAGCCAAAATTGCTCCCTTTGTGTGTTTTGAGGACGTTGGGATGACTGGTAGTACGAACGGCGGGACGCGGCGCCTTTCCACGTGGATATTTGACTTTAGCTAGCGATTCGGCAGCCGCTCATTGCTTCTTCGACGTTTCACTTGGCGATTACGCTTGCGCTAGACTATCTCACAAGGCTCGGACCGTTTGCAATGCGGATGCATGGCTTTCTCCATTCGTGGGTGCGGATCGTTGGACCAACGACTATGGTAGCCGACTTCGCGCAAGCGATCGCGCATACCTGGCGCTACAAGTAGTATTGGACAACAATTTAAGCTCATTCGCAAGCTTACAGCCAGGTTTGGGTCAAATTTCATCACCATTACCACGTTACTTCAGCAATCGGTGCCAACTTCTAGCCGAAACCCTTTTTTTAACCCAGGCAATTCCATCCAGTCTCCAATCCGCACTTCCCCGACACCTAGCTCCTCACGTTGCAGATTAACAGTCGATTATTGAAACCCTCTCTCTACCGCAATAGCATCTCTCCCACAGTTTGGCTTTTACTTATTTCACTGACTTGCTACATTCAATAGCCGATCTTGCATGCTATTATGTTCATGATTAGCGGCATGTCTCCTTCACTTTGTCTCCTTCCCAAAAGCCTCAACTGGCGATTTCTGCCCTGGTAATTCGGCTAAGCATTCTGTACCCCCGGCTTCCAAATAAAACGCATGGCGATAGGGACGACGAAAGTATTCATCTCTACTCTCATCAGTGACTGTTCGCTGGCCCACGCTCTTCCTTAATCGTCGTTTTCTAAGCCTCCACAACACGAAACCCAACGTGACGGTAAGGAAGACAGAGAGACCGGTACTAAGTCCTATGATCAGATTCTTTCGTGTTGGCTGTCCATGATCTAAAGGGAGTTGTGGCGGGATAGTAACAACACCTGTCTCCTTTGTTGATGGTTCGGTTTGTGGTGGTAAGTTCAATGGTTGTAAGGTTAATGACGTCGACATCACCCTCGTTTCCGGTGTCGTTAAGTAGCTTGTTTGTACAAAAAGCTGCGCAAATGTATACACAACCGGTTCCTCAGCCTCAAATTCCAGGTTGCTGATATTACAACAAGTCGTATTTATTCTGTGCTCTGGATAAAACTGCGGGTTGCCGGTCGCACAACACCACTTTCGCCGTCCCGGACACTGGAATATAAGATGATTTGGTTGTGCGGAATCGTCTGCCTCTATTACTCTCATTATTCCCTGTCTTTTTTTTCCCGCCCTTTCAACCTAGGACTATTAACTTACCAACATCTGCGCAATACTTAGGGCAAGTAGTGTCCTGAAAAGTTCGATCTGTACATCCTACCCGCCACCACTCATTGACGCCAGACATATCTCCCCCATACTGACACATGCCATTTGTTAAGCATTTATCGCCCGGTGCACAACATGCGGAATTCTGGCCTTGCATCACCGCCGTCCAGTTACAAGGGATGTACGTGAGAGGGTCATATGGCGAGAGCAGGCCTTTAAGAGAATAACAAGAGGAATTCATTGTTCAAGAAAAGAGATGAGAGTCATAAATCTGCACAAACAGGAAGATAAATAGGATCCAAGGGATTTAGATCTTCATCGCTTTGTGTATTCCTCATTCCTTTGCCGCCGTCCGGATATCGATCGTTGTCCGCACATCGGAGCCGCATCCCTTTCGCATTACATTCGACCCGCTTTAACGTTCGGAGATATTGATGCTGTGACACTGTCAGCATTGTTTGTGGAACTCTCCCTTTTCCCTTACTGGCGAGTATGGTGTTTCTGACACGAAGGATTGCGATGCGAACGACCCCTAACCCCCATGCGGAGATCTATCTAGCCACACCAAACGAATCCTTTCCGCTGGCGAAACTTTAAAAGGAATTCTAAGATCGCGAAGACACGCGATAGATCATGCGAGATTGGTATTTGACACCTGGCAAGATGGATGGTTTCGCTGATTACCTATTCACTAAACGCGGGTTCAGCAAATCTATCAACGCATTGACTTCTACCATCAATTCTCTTCGCCTGAGAGCAAAACCACGACAAGGACCCCTTTATACTTCCGGGACCCCCCAGTCTCACTTATTGCAACCTGATGAAGATCCTACGGCTCGGGCCGCCGAGAAGGATCTATAGCCGTCTGTAGTCTACGTCCTCGTCATCTAGCGTCTCAATGAATCTGCACCAGAATCCTCTCACTATCAAGCCTGCTACATTGGAGATGGCTGTATGGTGACCTGTGTAGCTTCTTGGCAACCTTGGAATGTATCATGTATCCATCGCTTTCCTGGGAGGATTGCCAAAGAGCACTCCCCTGAGACTTTGATTTTAATTTTGGATTTGGAAACAATTCTCTTACCATGTCTCTACTACTATGAACTAGCAACTTCAGCGTCAATAAGCCGCCGAGAGCGAGAGTGATTTTAGAAGCAAACCACGATTGCTTTTCTTTTAAAAACGAAGCAGGAAGACAACTAGTTAGGATCAGACCCAAAGTAGAAATCTAGTTACTCCATCGTCTGATGCTCGTTTCAAGGAAAACGCATATCCCATTTCTAGAACTATTTTAACTATTCATTGTGCAGACAGTCTCGTCACCCAAGAACAGTGGATCCGACTACGAAATCTATAAAATCTCTACCTCGAATTAACAACTGAAGTGAACAATTCGGTCTTTGATGTGTGTATAGGCAACCTAAACTCCATATAGCCATTAATCTCGATGCTGTCCGCCATCCACTTTGTCCTGATCGACCTAAGTATAACAGAGGTCTTGACATAACCCTATATTCCCAAAACGCCTTGAAGGGTATGATCTAAAAAAAAAAAGAAAGGAAAAAGTGAAAACAACGATTTGCACCGAGTACATTTGCGCGCATTCGCTCGGTACCGAAAGCGAGCCCTAAAACAATGAACGCCTGAATATATGTGGTATAAACCGAATATCATTTAGCCATCCTATTCTCCGGTTCCTCTTCTTCTACGTCCAGTCTTTCGCCACCATTTTCTTCTTCCGCCCACCCCCACTTAGGCTCGTATCACACTTTTAAACCCGTTACGCCATTCCACTTTCCCCACTATTTCCCCCTCCTCCCCGTCCATTTCCCCTCTCATATTTCCCGTCATAGTAATCCGAGCTCGGTGCTGAAATCGCACCCCTCCTCCCACGACCTAGGTTGTAGGTCCCATAGATCTGGCCGGTGGCGTTCAAATATGCGATAGGGGAGATATCTTGGCCAAGAAGCGCCGAATAAAGATTCGTGGAGCGAAGAGAATGGATGGATGATGTGGTTGTGGATACCGAGTTTTGTGATGATGTTGATGAAGAGGAGGAAGACAGGGTTGAGGTTGTGAACGAAGGACGTCTGGACGCTGAAGATTGTGCAGAAATCGAATTTCCAGGTCTAGAGGCCGCGTCGCTGCCTTGACGGGATGTATGGGTCGAAGTCGGAGTGTTCTGATTCGTCGATGACCGACAGTTTTCCAACCCCGTGATCGAGTGTAGGGGTGATGATGGTGAGTGCATGGGAGACGGTGGTGGCGTTGGCAATCCTTCCGCTTGGTCTTGATTTGCTTCTGGTCTAGATTTCTTGCCCATGTTTCAGATCTGGAGTTTGCTGTAACTTCGTTGATCTGGGGTTTTGGGACAGTAGGCTGTTGGCACTTTTAACCGAAAAAGGAAAAAAAGCCCAAATGCTGCAGATGACCTCCCCAAGCGCGTATCGCGGAGCTTAAATAAGTTTTGTTGTCCTCCTATCCATGTACTGGTAAGGCCAGGATATTCAGCCGTGGCGTAAGGTGAGTTGTGCCTCAGACCTAGGTTGTGGTGGCTTGTTGGTTGGACAACGTCAACGAATAATCTCCCAGACGTGGACGACTGCTAAATAGGCGACTCAGAGTTGGGTTACACCTTGCGTGGGTGATTGTACGACAGCTGTGAAGTAGCAAACACGCGGTTCATATAGTTCCCAGAAGGCTGGATGGATCGGGAAGGTGAAGGGGGCTGTGAGATCGAGCAAGTTAGCCAGGTGCACATGGAAGGTATGAGTATGTTCGAGTTAGATGGTGAAGTGGATCTTATACACGGGTTTTTTTTAGACTGGCGAGACGAGGGTCGAAGAATATGCAGATTGTTTTAGAAGCAGAACGGAAGGCTGGGCTGAGCTAAGAGTGATTGAGAGATGACTGGCTCTGAGACAGGCAGCTGCGAGGGTCGTGCGCTGGTGCCTGGTGCATAGCTCGGATAGGACTGAGCGCTGAGCCAAGGTCTATGTACACAAGAGTACACGAATAATTAGTCGTTTTTATTCACATGTTACGAGTGTTGAAAAATTTATGGTGCAGAAGAGAAGTATTCCTTCTCCCTGAGTACGCTAACACGATAGAAGAAAAAGAGCAACAATACGGCAATCCTACACCTCAAAGCTAGCTAACCAAATAATACTAAAACCGCGCATGCACTCGGAAGGTAGTTAACACTCACCGCGAGGCACTTCCCAAAAGTGACTCTCTAGTACGGCTTCTCTCCCGCATACCTCGCACCCGTCACGCAGCACTCGGTGAAAGTCACCATGCTGTCTGAAGCAATACAGACACAACGGATGATCCTTCCAATCCTCGCCATGCCTGTTCATGTAGATTGACTTCTCTTCGTCGACGAGATGAAGGGGTCTTAGCCAGCTTGGTGTTGTGATGGAGCTTTGAGATGGACTCGTGAAATTACGAGCAGATGTTGCAGAGGGGGGCGTGCCTGGCGGGATCGAAAGACTGGATGTAGAGGGTAAAGTGACAGAAGGCACAGTGAGAGGAATGTTAGACGCTGGAGACGACTTCTGAGTGGGCCCGAGAGAACATAGCTTTGAAGAAGAGAAGGGAGGAAGCCTGTCGGTAGAGATGGGGAAACATGGCGAGGGCGAAGTGCTTTCAAAACTATTAGACTTAGGGATGGCAGGTACGGAGTCCGAATAAGAGGACCTAAAGTGTCTACTGGTGAAACCGGAAAACCTTTCGAGACAGGGTCGTTTAGAGATCTGTTCGGGAGACAGCGGTGGGCTGTGGACACTCTTGCCGACTAGAAGTTGACTCTATTAGATTCCCGTCAAGACACTTGTTCAGTTCTTGATGTGGACGCACGGCTGATTTCATCTGAATCTACAGAATGTGGAGAACTAGGCTTGGCGCTTGAGGATGGACCAAGCTCCTCGCTAAGGACTGGTGCAGGGCCTGGCGCTCTCCAGATACTGCATCGACGAGTAGCATGTTGGAGGCCGGTCTGTGTAGAGTGTCGCCGAAGCAATAATTGTGCAGGAGCTTCATCTCGCTTGCTAGAGCTGCTCCTTCGAGACCTGTTCTTCAAGCGGGCTTCATCTGCAGCTCGCAGATTATCCCGGGCATCTTCATCTATAGAACCCCCTGCCACCCAGACAGAGCTGGAACGAGACCGTGGATGAGGCAGGTTTTGAGAAGTCGGCTGAGGGCGTCGGCTAGTTGGGGCTATATCCAAATCATGAGAAGCGGACTCTGTACCATTGATTTCCTCAAGGAGCTGCTGCAGGACAGACTGAGACGGGCCGCGGTGGGTAGGGTGAAGCTCGTTGCGCCTCGGGGGGGTATTCATGCTGCTATTGAATGCAGAATGTAATGCAGAATGTAATGCACAAACGAAGATGCTCGGTAGGCAATGCAAGTAAAACGATGCAGAGAAACAACCTGTGATCTAGTGCATCGGTGAGGTGAGAGGTGGGGGGATTGAACATAGCGAACATGGCTCAAGGCCTTGAAGCTCGAGTGTTCAGTGGAGGAAAGCGCGACTGTACGGAGGAAGAAGGAAAGGAAGGGAGCTGTAAAGATCGGGGCCAATGGCTGAAGAAATTGCGAGAGCACGAACACGTGAGAGAAAACACGAGAACATGAACGGGAAGGTAGGATGTGGATGTGGAGAGCGGCGGACGTGGGCCCATGGGTGAAATTCTGTTCCAAAAATGCTATGAGAATCTCACCTAAAACGGTATGCTACAGGCCGCTTGACCGGTCTACGCCAACGCCTTTGCCACCCGTAAGATACAAGTTCTATCACCTGTGATCATCATTCAGTCATTTCCGTATCCTCGGCCTTGGCCAGGCCGTGCTCTTTCAACAGAGCATCAATCTCATCAGCTCCCCAGAGGTGGTGGTAGATGGCGCCTGACTTCGTCTTTCCCACCGTTGCAAACTCAACTAGGGCAATGTTAGCTAGCCCAAGCGGCTGGATTTCAAGGCGGAGCATACTCTTCTCGCTGCTCAGCTTTGTCGAATCCATGGTCTTGCTCAGCACCTTCACGGCAAGCCCGCAAGCCTCTTTGAGATCGCACTCTTCCTTGTAGTCCTGCTTCAGCAGACTCTGCGCCGAAGCGTTGTTGGCACCGACACTCGTTGCTTTCCAGCCACCGTAGTTCCCGCTCGGGTTGCTCTGGTACAGCTGGAACTGTCGCTGAGGATCCCACCCCGCGTAAATGAAGGAGACGCCGAAGGGACGGAGACCCCCATGTTGCGTGTAGCCTTGCTTGAGGTCGCACAGACGGCGCACAAGCTGTTCGCAGGGGATGTCTTCGTTGTAGGTGAGGAGGTAGCGCTGCGCGGCTTGGCGGGCGTAGTTGATGAGGATGTTGGCGTCGGCTGTCATTCCTGCTACGGCACAAATCATGTTGCTGAAAGCAAGGGATTAATTTTCAGCTGGTACGATGGAGGGAGATAGATATTGAGGCATACTCGTTCAGAATGTAGAGCTTCTCCGCCGACGTGTCCTGCTCCAGCAGTTTGCTAGTTACCTTCCTCTCTGCCGCAAGCACGATGCCATCCTGCGCAAGGATGCCTAATGCAGTTCCTGCATGTGAGATGGCTTCCAGGGCATATTCGACCTGGTAGAGACGTCCTTCCGGGGAGAAAATGGTCGTCTAAGAGCCGGGTTAGCTGCAGTCTTCTCTGAGGTTTGAAGGTGTGGGTGACCCTAGAATCGTATCTCCGAGACATGGCTGCGAGCTGCTTGAGGTATAGCAGGAGGTTGCAGGGTAAGGGAAGGGTAAAATTTGGGAGTGGCAGTGGGTTGCGGAGTTGGAGATGAGCCGGAGGTGAACTGGAGGTGAACGCAAGGTAGAATTGGTGTTGATCAAAGCTCCAGGCACAAGCTTCATACGCGTCGGCGAAAGTCAGTGCCAAGCCCGACTAACTTTTGCCATGGACAGAGCCGCAACACCAACAGGACATCACCACTCTACTTCGCCCAGCAACAGCGTGCTGCACCCCGGGCCGGGTCGAGCTGAGATGGCCGATTTACCAGCACGACCAACCCCAGGGCTTCCGCCTCTAGCTCCAGGTTGGACGGAGCACAAAGCACCTTCAGGTAGAGAGCTCAAGCCCGCAGCTTCCAGCCGAACTTTGCTAAGGTGCACCATAGGTCATATGTACTATTACAACAGGGAAACTGGAAAGTCTACCTACATGCGCCCGATCCTCGAAATAAATTCCTTCAACAACCTACTCGCCGCACCAGCTGTTCCTCTCGGTCCCCCAGGCACGTTTGCAAATTACCATCCCTTCGATCCCCTTGCTGCGCCGACCCAATTCAATCCAGATCCACAGCAACAATTTTTCCAACATGGTGGACATCAACAACACAATTTCCCCCGCGGCGGGTCACATCACCGAGGCGGGCACCGAGGAGCCCACGCCAACTTCCCAGACAGGCGGCGGCAACCAGACGATCGACCAAAGCACCGCCAAGACATCCCAAAGTGTGCGCCTTGGGTTCTCGTAAAGACGAAGCTTGGTAGGAGATTTGTATGGAACAGGGACACCAACGAGAGCTTCTGGAAATTTCCACCGGACGTCATGAAAGCCGTGGTAGATTTCGATCGCATAGAGCGGGAAAAGAAGGAACGGAGGGCGCGTGGAGAACCAAGTGATGACGAGGATTCCACAATGGTGGAGGCGGAGGCCGAGATTGCTGCTGCTGAGAGAGATATTGAGGTGGAAATGGCTGACGCTGAGGGTGATGCGAACATGGAAGGCGATGACGAGTATGAAGAAGTGGAAGTCACCGATAATGAGGGAGACCATGTGGAAAGTCCTTCCAAACGACAGCGAACCGAAGAACCACCCGAGGACCACCCCTTAGAGATGGGCGAGGATGACATGGCTTGGCAATTAGCCGCAATGGAAGGTGACTATGAGGATTACGATGAGGAAGAAGAGGGACTGCCTTTGACAGAAGATGACTGCAAGGCGTTGTTCATGGAATTGCTAGACGACGTGCACATCAACCCCTACACCCCATGGGACAAGATTCTTGATGATGGTATACTATACGACGACGAACGCTACAAGGCCCTGCCCAACATGAAGGCCCGCAAAGAATGCTTTGGCGAGTGGGCCAAACAAAAAATGCAAATCCTCAAGGAACAAAAGGCAAAGCAGCAAAAACAAGACCCAAGGATACCGTACCTGGCATTTCTGCATCAACTTGCCAACCCAAAACTCTACTGGCAAGAGTTCCGTCGAAAGTATAAGAAAGAGCCGGAGATGAAAGATCCCAAGTTTTCAGACAAGGATAGGGAGAAGTTGTATCGAGATCATATCAAGAGGCTCGGCCTTACGCAGCAGGAATTGAAGTCAGACCTCTCTGCCATGCTGAAGGCGCAGCCACTTGCTGCACTCAACCGTTCTACCACGCTCGCTTCTCTCCCACCATCAGTTCTAACAGATCTTCGATTCATCTCTCTCCCAGCATCCACTCGTGACCCTCTTGTAGAGACATATATCTCGATGCTACCGCCCGCTCCCGAAGGAGCTGCAGAATCTGCCGAAGAGGAAGCGGAGGTTGCGAAGAAACGAGCCGAAAGGGAGAGGCGAGAGAAAGCTCTCGCGGAGCGCGAAAGGAGAGTTAGGGAGGAAAAAAGAAAGCAAGAGCGCGAGCTGGCGTTTGGTAAGGGTCGACTGCGAGAAGAAGAGATAGAGATAGAGCGAGCAATGAGGGTGGGGAAAGACGGGCTTAGAGGGCAGCTAGATTCATTCGAGGACGATAGACAAGAACGATAAAAATGCAAGGCTCAGCGAGACTGAATCACGATTGTCTCGCTGAGTCTTCAACCTAACAGGTGAAAAATCTCCAATACCCGCATAGGCACAGCATCCATGATTCTCTCTAAGCTCTATGTTTCCACTACAGTCTTCTTTAAAGTCCCTGTGTCTCATACTAACAGCATCAAACTATCGAGCACCCTAGGACATGTGTCACTCTTCGCTTATCTCGGAACAATGATGTATGCTGCAATGTCAACTTCTTCGCATTTCATCAAGACGTTAATTGCCAGCCATGCTTTCAGCCACCTTGGGATCGATATTCGCTAGAGTGCTCATCACTGCGGCACTAGCAGCGGCTCTTCTCGGCAGGGAGTCAGACAAAGAAGCTATCGTCTAAGATATAAAAAGGAAACATTTCTCCCACTTCACTGTCGCTTGCGAGCCCAGCGCTTCCAACGAGCCGTAGTACTGTATGATCAGGCGATTTTGATGCCTGTGCGCGTGAGATTTTGTGTACGTTCGTACCGCAGGGAGGATGAGAGGTAGGTGTATGTAATGTAACTGTTACGGATCACGTGATTTGTACAAATAGTACAATTTACATAAAGTACGCCATACTCTGGTAAAAACAGCTTAGATACTTACAGGCCTAATCTAATTAATTAGGTATCTCTGTTGTCTGCTTTGCGCAGTCTCTTACCCTGGCTGCAGAAGTTAAGAGCCCTCTATACTGCGTCTCTTGCCTCGTCATGTGGTAGTACGTTGTCTATAGCTGAGGACTAATCGCAGCAGGGGAAGGTAATCCACCTCTAACCCTACTCGCTAGAGCCCTCCTACTCCCCTAGAATCGCTCTACATCCCTCCTAAGAAGGTAATATGATCCGTACTACGTACTGTACCTGGGGCATCATTGAACGTACTGTGCGGCTCACAAACTGGGTATGTTCGTACTGAACACGTGACCGGTACGGCTCACTTTGTACGAACAGTAGTACGCCCCGTTAGAAGCCCTGTAGGAAGCCGCCCAAAGGCAAGGCCGATAATGTCTATTTCCCTTAGACATTGTCGTCCAAATGAAGACCAAATGCATCAGGGGGCTCGCACAAAAAGAGGAGCCTGAAGAATGGGTTACGGGATTGTTCGATGGTGTCATGAATGAGAAGCTGCTCTCCAGTTGTCGAGGTGGAGTTCGAGAGTTCCTCCTTTAAAACACATGAGCGACAGGCTAGTCAGGAAGACAGAATTTGGTTATTCTACCCCGTACACAGACGCCTCCAGGTAAGCGTTGCTGTAAGAAGTTAGGCAAATATTCAATCCTCCAGGAATCCTCCAGGAATCCTCGCTTAGATACTGCCCAACGTCATCTAGGTTACTAATTTCAACTCCCGGGTTCTCTTCCTGGTAGTGCTGACCGTGCGAGCATCTTGGCACCCTTGTTATAGGCTGGTTTGTACAACCTAAATCTCACATCAATATTTGTGAGTTCGGACCTCGCTTCCAGCTCATGCCATTCTACGAGCAGTTTCCCGTGCCCCGCTGCGGCGAAGGAATTGAAGAAAATTCAAGTAGGTATAAAAATTCGACTATTCCTTCCTGCAGTTTCAGAGGTCTTATCACTATTAGCCAGACGAGTCCTTAGCTTTTAATCCTCAATCCTAGCTATTTCTCTGTTATTCCTCTCCCCTCAATACAAACATGCATTGTTGCCAAGCCACTATAATTAGCGTATTTTTAGCATGGCTCCTCCCAACTTCTGCCTTTGCAGACAACTCCCTAACCCTCGATCCTACATACTTTAAACCTGCGGATGTCATAACTCGCGACGTTGCTATCATAGGTGGCGGATCCTCCGGCATATATTCTGCCATCAGCCTCAAAGACAAAGGGAAAAGCATCATCGTAGTTGAGAAAAAGGGCAGGATTGGCGGGCATACTGAAACTTACATCGACTCGACCACTGGTACTCCTATTGATATCGGCGTCCAGACCTGGCAGAATATTTCTCTCGTCCGGAATTATTTCGCTCGCCTCAACATTCCAGTTATCAAATTCGGGTCTGATGCTGATCCCAATTCGCCCGCGCAGTTATCCGCGAACTATGATTTGAGGTCTGGGAAGGAAGTCAATGTGACAGCGCCGAGTGCACAACAGGTGTATACTGCATTTGCTGCGTATGCCGAACAGTTGAAAAAGTACCCGAGATTAAACGATGGCATGTTTCTCCCGAACCCCGTTCCAGAGGACTTGTACATGCCATTTGGAGACTTCGTCAAGAAATACAAGATCGAGGATGCGCTAGTAACGATGTTTAATTACAATCCTGGCTTGGGGGATGTGCTGACGGTTCCGACGGTCGAGCAGATGAGGGCGTTCGGACAGAATTTAGTGGAACAGCTTTCAACGGGATTTCTAACTACAAGACATCATAATAACAGCGAGTTATACACCAACGCTGAGAAGGAATTACTTTCCTCTTCAAGTCTACTTCTAAATTCCGAAGTTATCCAGGCAGAGCGTAATGACGGAAACGCTAAGTCCGAATCTGGCCGCATCAAACTCCTAGTCCGCACACCCAACGGCACAAAGCTCATCCGCGCGAAAAAACTCCTGATCACCATTCCCCCGCGCCTAGACTTCCTGGCCCCATTTTCCCTTAGCCAAAAAGAAAAGACCGTTTTCGGAAAACTGATCGACGCGGGATACTACACCAGCATTGTCAAAAACACCGGAATCCCAGATAATCTCAGCATAACCAACATGCTGCAATCCTCGCCCTACAATCTCCCCGTCTTACCAGGGGTCTACAGCATTGGGACAACACAGGTCAAAGGACTCCATATTGCCTTCTATGGCACGCCGAGGAGTTCGAAGACGTTCCCGCTGTCAGATGAAGATGTTAAGGCCGATATCATTGCCTCTATCAAACGCCTGCAACGCGCCAATCCGGACAAGTTTAATCAGACGGAACCCGAATTCGTGGTTTATAGTTCGCATGCACCTTTTTATTTGCAAGCGAGACCAGAGGATACAAAAGACGGATTTTATAGGGAATTATATGCGTTGCAGGGAGGGAGGAATACGTATTGGACCGGAGCGGGGTTTAGGTCGCAGGATAGTAGTAATGTTTGGAGGTTTTCAGAGGATGTGGTTTTGCCTGAGTTAGTTAAGGGGTTGTGATTAGTGTGGGATATTATGAAATAAGATGAGACTTCCCTCGTTTTTACTTAGCTGCTGCTAGCAATGAGGAGGTGGAGGTATAGGGTTGGACAATAAATGGTGAATCAAACATGTCAGATTTTGTATGACTGAAAAATACAGGAAACCGATCTCTTCATGGGTATACGTAAACACTAATAGCTCAGAATACTAGCACAGCTAACGATGCTGCCTCTATTCCCGTTTCCGCTAGCTCAATCCTTAGCGCGAAGAACGGTGAACGACTAGTTGCGGCTTTACAGTCAAACCTGAGGTTTGAATATTATACCTGCACTACATACGAAGTTCTGGTTTCTGTACAGAACGTTGTGTTCCGCTACGAATATGTGAAAGCCCTCACGTGCCTTTGTGAGCTTCTTTGGAACATTTTTGGAACAAAAATTAGGAAGGAAATCTAGCCTGGGCAGTGTGTGATACCAGAATCATTTTTAGTCAGAGGAGCTCGAACATAGTAGTTTAATGTAGGTACATTTGGAGTAGCTACTACAGTATAATCGTATCAAGCTCTTTAACTGATGAGTTCCAGGGCCTTTGACAGTAGTGAGGACAAGAAGACTGAAGATGGAAGAATCAAATAAGTTACAACGGGAAGTGGAGTTGGGGTCAGTGGGTGCACTAGCGTAAGTTTGACAATAAGAGGCTCGTGTACGCGGATTCCAGGAGCCTCTTTTGTCTCACAAACATGCACAACACAGGGTTGTGCCATATATGAGACTTGGCTTGCGCCTTTCTCTAGATCAAATGCTGGAAGCCAACGTAACCCGACGCTCTGGGTGGCATTCCATCTAGTGTGGCCTGCAGTACGCGACTTCCGCTCAGAGTGCTATCCTTTTTGGCTGAATACATGATGCTTGTGACCAATCATCAATAGCTCCAACATCGGGTTACGATTTTGTCAAACCCTTCGTTACTACTTAGGGTTCCAAGGAAAGGATCGGCATAGTACCACCCTTTGAAACGCCTCGAAGTAAACACCTTAGGCTAAGTCCACAGCTCCGAGGCCCCATTCTGAAACAGTTCCTTGGGGGGCAAAGTAAAATCTGTCACTACGAAGCCATGCGAAGGAAGCAGGAACTTCTTAACATAATATGACATGAAAAGTCGGACTTTTGAGTGGATAATCTACTCTGTTCTCCCTCTAATCGACAACTGCATATTTAACTCAGAACAGAGGGAAGTATATTAGAAACTACAAACTAGAAACTATAATCCATTTACGAACGTTGCGAGTGCGTAATTCTGGTATATCCACCCACACCCCTTCCAAAAATAATCAAACATTTCTTGAATCAGTTATTCTACAAAAAGATGGCCATCATAGCAGCAACGCCCCCCAGGGCACCAGTAACCTTCAAGCTCGTCGCCCCACCAGTAAAATAAGCTACCGCGCTCGGCTTGACGCTTGTCGGTACAAGATTGATCGAAACGCTCGAGGGCTTGCCGGAAATGCTCGAGGGCTTGCCGGAAACGCTCGAGGGCTTGCCGGAAACGCTCGAGGGCTTGCCGGAAACGCTCGAGGGCTTACCGGAAACGCTTGAGGGCTTGCCGGTGACGCTCGAGGGTTTGCCGGAGATGCTTGATGGCTTGCCAGAAACACTGGAAGGCTTTCCGGAAACACTTGGTAACTTGGCGGGCACAGAACCAGTGGCAGTGCTGTGTGGAACCGTAGAATCACCCTTACCAGACGGCGCAGTGGTGAATGTAGCAGGCTTCCCTGAGGAGGGAGCTCGAAGGACCGACACTGTCACAGTGCGGCATGAAGCCGAGGTAAAAGCAACAGGATTGCCTGTTGCGGGGACTCCGTGAACGGACACTGTCACAATCTTTGTGACGGTGCTGGTGACTTTTAAGGTAGCGGGAAGAATGTATGACACATCAAGCTTGTCATACGCATCAATGGGATCTAGGGGATCAACGGGGCCGGGAGCGTGGGCGGTTGGGTGGGAAGCACCGGTGGCGGTGCTGCTGCGAGTGGTGTTGTATATGCTGTACAACGGAGAAGCATGGTAGGTAGGCGGGCTAGGGCCAGTCGGCTTATGTGTGAAAACGGTAACGGGGATTGTGACGGTTACGGTGGTAGGGTAAGCGCCGCAACCAGACGCGCAGTATTTCGCAGTCACCGTGAAGCCTGGCGGGCAGGAAGCGGCGGGAGTGGTAAGAGGTTTGCCGGGAGTGGGCAGTGGCTTCCCAGAAGAAGACGCTGCGTGGCTGGTCGGCAGGGGATAGGTTACGGTAAGGGTTGTTGAAATTGTGGTATAGCCCGTGGAACAGACGTCGACATAATGGGTCGTGATTGTCGTCGTTTTATAGGGGTCAGTGGCAGAGGATGGGTGAGAAGCGCTGGCTTGCGTGGTCGCGGTTGTCTTAGACGAGTGGAGAGAATATTTAATCGTATATTTCCCGTTACCATAAGCATGAATGGGAGTTGGCGAGGCCTTGGACTTGGTGCAAGGGGTACTCGTGGCATTCTTGAACCCATACGGTGCTGCAGACGAACCATAGGCGCCAGCAGAAGAGGAGGGGCCGGGGTAGTAGGCGGAAGGATCTGCATAGTAGGCATCCGCAGTCATGGAGCTAACGGGCGTGGAGACAGAGGCAAGCACGGTGGATGAAAGAGCGCACAGAACGGCACCCGCCTTTAGAAAGAGTGATGAGGAAGGCATCCTGAATAAATGAAATGAGTGACTGGAAAGGAAGTAATGAGTGTACGTAGAATGATCTACAATGTGATGAACAATCTAAAAGGTCGTTGAAGGAAGATTGCAAGAGACGGGGACTGCCCTTGGGTATATTCATGAACCCCTAATTCTGCATTGTTCGTTCCTAGCTTAATTCCAGGGCTGCACATGAGCCGCCGACGGCGTTGACTATGTTTACGCACGCCCAAGCTCAAGATCCGAGTGGGATAAGGCCTTTTAGGGACGAATCACTGGGGTTTTTGATATTGGTCTAGACTTCCCATGGAGAATTTCTTCGCGTGGGTCTTACTCAATACCTATTTGACAGACTTATGCTTATCCTAATTTGGATGGTACGGAATTAAGCGGCCGATGTCCTGAGGACTTCCTGAATATTGGAGGTTATTTGGCGAGACAAATGTGCCTAAGCATCATGTGTTAGTGCAATGAAATCTTGGATCTACGCTATGAAAGCGTTTACGCCTGTTTGGACGTCAAAAAGCATTCATGGCGTGCTGCAAGGGGCGAACGGCGCCTCGAGCAAGTAAGGGAACAGAGATGCGTAGATTGTGTGGAGCCTGACTTGGATGTCATTGAACGAGAGACATTGGAGGAGACTATTGGTTTAGCTTGCCGCGGAGATACGATGGGGAAACCTCGGTTCGATGCTACGCCTCTGTTGCCTTAGCAGAGTGTTAGCGAACGACTACGCGACTGAAGAGAGATTGGCTCTCCAGGTGGTTTGGATGATGTTGCGGATGCGAGTAGATAAATAAGGAGTGAGCGATGGAGGCTGATGACAGTCGGTGGTCTCAACCTACCTTTAAGCTGAAGCGTGCCTGTATCGTATCAGGAACCAACAGTCCTAAAAAGACTCAAGCAACACAGGTCTCGAGAGCAAGCAGTCGGGTTTGTCGTGGAGGAGGGATCGCAGTTGTGCAAGATGTCACTCGACTTGCTAATTTCCACTGTGGCTGTTGAGGTAGCGAAGTGGGACCCTGCGTGAACGAGAAGTCTAGCGGACATTACCTATCTGGGTAGGAGCAATTAGAAGGGAATCGAGCATCGTAGAAAATCTACCTGGCAGCTGTTCTTCACAACTGTCAAGCTGGAGAAACTTTCCAGTCATCCGTCGAATCTCTTCTCGGGTAGAAAAGGATATTTTTGCCCCTAGGATCACGGACATTACTGTCTTTTTCAACTGAACGAACAAGCGTTGGAAAATAAATTCTAGAGCACAATTTTCTATGGCTTCGGTGAGCAAATCACCCCGTTAGCCAACTTAAAAGTTTGTGGAACACTGCTGGACATTTTTTGGCAGCCAGAAACCGTCGAAATGGGTTATACAATTTCAGCACAACCACTTCAACGCTCCCGTACTAGTGAAGACAACTGTATGACTGATGCCTTGTACATCTCTATAGAGCTTACCAATCATGTAACACTTCTCCTATCAATTCCTTTAATTTCGGACCTGAAGGAGTCGCTCTCAGCGTGTAGAGAGCAGTACAGCCTCCAAATGCAACAGGTGCACGACTGCTAATGAGCTGTCAATTCAACATGGTAACTATTTCGGATCTCCTACACAGTCAGGAAAGTTTAGAGAGACCACTCGTCCGTCGAGTCGTCCACACCTTCAACCATCAAACCGCCGAGACTGCCTAGGTATGATCAAATTCAGAGCTTCGGCGCCCCCACCAATATCGCAATCTCCCGCTTCATACACCTCACCATGATAACAATCATCCAATCACCCAAACAGCCCCTTTCCCCTTCTGGCAGGTTTGCAAAAAAAAGCATCGATCGCAGCGATGACGCATAGAAAAGCTTTCATTCGCTCACTTCAAGCCCCCACCCACGCTAGACTTCCTGTTTAGGCAACTTCCGAAATCCATCGAACACAGCGCACGTTTTTCATATCCCTAGGTGCTCTTATTGGTTTTGGTAATCTACTGTTTCAGGCAGGTTTTGAGCGATGCCTCCAGAAAACGAGGGGAGGGGGGGGCATTCAGCTCTTGACTTCATCGAGCATGTCCTTGCGAAAAGCGCCAATCGCCGGAGCAGCTCGAGGCTCCAGGATTCCCTACCCAATCGAGCAAATAAGGAAGGCTGTTGAACGCAGAATGCATCAGGGCATTCGGTGTCGTGTCTACCCTCATTCCCTCAAACTTCCTCATGAAGAAATTCTCGAAAACTATCGAAAATAGTAGGATTCATACAACTCCCTCAATAATGGCATAACAAACTTGTTCATCGCTAGGTATCCTAGATATCCGTGTTGTGGGACGAAGAAGGAGGTTTTCCGAGAGAGTTTGGCTATTATTTGCGGGTCCGACGTATTGCGCAGGGACTGCTATGGGGCTGTGATGAGGGCTTTGGAGGGGGATTCACCGATGTGAGATTGGCTTATTGAAAGTGTTATTGATGGCCTTGTGTTGTGCTCGTGTCTGGTGAAGGGGAAGGGGCAAGATGGATTGTGAAATGTTTGATCGAGGTGCGGTTGTCGTGATTTGATGCGACCCACGATACAGCAACATGCAATGAGCAACGAATTCCTGCACAATCTCTCTACCCTAGATGGTCACAGGGCAAAATTTAGCGATGATAGAAGAAAGATTTGAATTAGAGGATCTTTGTATTGAAGAAGGGTTCCACAAGAAGGCTCAGTGCGGCTTCATGGAGGTACAGAAAAAACCTCTCCTATAATTCGCGGAGCTGGCAACAAAAGTCGCAGCGCCGTTTCGCAGGTAATCTCTCCAAGCCATTCATCCATATCTAGTAACCATCCACATCCCATCCAAAATTTTCGACCTGGGTATCAAGGCTGAACAAAGCGAGCGACCGCAGAAGAAGAACAAGAAGACGAAGTAAGCCGAAGCAATGAGCCTTTCAAAGGTTCCTCCATCCCCGCAAACACCATGGCTGACGCACTCCCAAAACCGGAAGGTGGTCCAAGATCATAACGAAACCACCGGCCGTATTGACAGTTCTAGTCGTCGTCCATCCTCAATCTTCCCTCGTGAAACTTGAAACAAGTGGGCCCAAAGACAAGCCGATGTGCGCCGCAACCCACAGTCCCTCAAATCGGTGTCCATCGGTGTCGCCCTCTCTCTACCCACTTCCTTTTGCAAAAGATGAAACAAGAACAGAATCCAAGAACTATTGGACGTACAAAGCCAAGCGCTGCAACTACCGTTCCTTCTAGCCATCGACCACCGCCCACATCCATCTCCACCCCACTGCCTCAGTACCAAATGCTCACACCCATAGAACACGAACTTCAAGTACAGCAGGCAAGGTAGGCATGACAGGGCATAGAGAAAACAGTTTGGGAGGACTAACCGTAAGAATTTTGCTCGACCCCGGCTGTACTCTTCTTCATTAAGTGCTCTTGAAAAACGACCATATCCGTTCGTGCTGGGGGCACATCGTCCAATATCGCCTTCAAATTCCTCAGGATCTCCTCTGAAACGTTGCCTGTAAACTGGGTAAGAAGTTGGACTACGGTCGGCGCATCAATGTGTGGGCCTAAGATTTCCACGGCCTTAGGAATCGCATGGTGTGGAGACACGTTGGGCATGGGGGCTTGAGGAGGAAAGCCGTTGTTGCCTTGAGTCGGAGGGTACGGGCTTCCATAGTTGGGGCCTGAGGGGAAAGATGAACCGACAGGCGAGAACGCGGGACCATGTGGATTTGTTTCTGGTGGAGGAATGGGCTCGTTTTGTTGAGCCATTGGCGTTGCTGGTTGACCTGCTACAATTTCACCAGTAGGGTAGCGATTGAAATGCTGCGTCGGAGGTAGCGAGCCCATATTCTCCGGTAATTTGGCAACAAGAGCGAGCAGGATCGTATGGTTCGGACGGGGTGTTTCGATCGTGCAATATTCCAACATATCAAGGAAAGGTGGGAGATTACTGCCACCGGCCTCCACTGGAATAACATATAGATCCCGCATGGCCTCATTACCCAGCTTTTCCACTGGTACCACTCCCCACCTGTCTTTAGGATGGAAGTAATTAAAGAGGCGGTCCATTACCAAGCGCCCGTCTTCATTGAGAGGAGTGACCGATAGCACCGCAACATCATGGGTGGCACCGGCTGCCAAGCCATTTATGTAGTCATTGCCTTTCGCACTCTCAATACGTCCTTGAATGGGTAATGTAGGGGATAAAAGGTCCTTCCATGGCAAGATTTGTCCAAAGTCTCCACCGGCAACAAAGCGCGCAACAGCCTCAAAAGGCCCCAGCGACTGCATGCTGAGGGTTCCTTGCCAGGCCACAGTTGGATCCGGCATGTAGTCGGTCATTGTAATATCATTATCGTCGTCCTTCAGTAGCCGGTCAACATCGGCATCATCTCCTGGACCTTCCGGTGGCCTCTCTGGCACGACGATTGAGCTCTGACGTCGCAGGAATGCGTGCTGATCCTTTTGAGGAGACCGCACCTTGTCGAACACAGAATTGATATCAAAATTTGTTGATGGTCGGCGAATCGATGAGGACTGGGCTCCTGATGTATCAACCGCAATTGGGGCGCGTCGATCAATGTCTTCTGGAAGCTCCACAAGATTTGGGCTGCCTTCACGCTTGGGGGATGGAGGTTCGATGTTTCTCTGCTCCTCCTGGACGCTGTCGCGGTGATTGCGTTCATTTGGCACGAACTCTTGATCAAGGGCGTCCTCCTCCCCTCCCACTATCTCCTCGCCCTTGTGAGTCTTCCGTAACCGGGGCCCAGACTCTTCGGTGAGGATCATTTGCTTCTCGTTCGCCTCTCGCATAGCAGCCCATTCCCGTTGTTTCTCCTCACTGGCCATTTCTTCGGCGCTCATGGAAAAGAGCCCTTCGACCGTCAAGGAGCCGGAAAGGAGGCGATCAAGAAGAAGGGTGTTCCTCTTAATGTTGTATAAGATACTCCGAAATTTCTCGACATAGTCAGAATTGTTGTCCGTTGGTTCACCGTAACGAACAAGAGCAGCATAATCCATTTGCAATCCTAGACGGGTTGCAACTGAGGTAGGCGTATCCCCATCAGGAATGCGATAGCCTCGAGAGTCAGAAGCATTCTTGACCAAGGCGGTGATGTTCTTGATTGCCGCATCTACTGACGATTTCTGCTTCCCTGTGAGATCATTTACATCCTTAGCCATCATTGGCTCTCCTGCTGCTTTGCTGTGGTGTTGTGCACTTGATTTTCGCCGCTTAGTCATATCGCCACCATCTTTCTCGGCCATTGTGTCCCGCCGTCTCTTCTCCCCAACAGGGGACTGTGGCTGGCTCTTGGGCGCTTCCTTCTTGGGTTGCTGTAAATCCGCTTTAGCGATATTCACGCGAAGCGGGTGTCCTCTCTTGCTCACCTTTGGTTCTGTGTGGCCATTCGATACCTCTACAGGTGGCTCTTTGGCTACTGGAGCTGGAGTAGCGGGAGTAGCAGGAGCAGTAGGAGCAGGAGGAGCAACTGGTGGGGTTGCTTTAGCAGGAGTTGATGTCTTGCTCTTCTCTGGCTCAATGGCAGCGTTGAAATCACTGGGACGAGCCTTTGGTTTTGCCTGCTTCGAACCTTTCTTCCGGTTCCATGGCTTCTCTCCCCGCGCCATAGCTGCCAGTAGATCGGCATGGGCCTCCGGCTGACATTGCTCGCACAAGTATATCTTGTTCTCGTCATTCCACTCGTCTCCTTCTTGCAGACCTAAGCATTTGACATGCTGCCAAGCGTCACACTTCTCACAGCATATCATCTGCCGGCCTCGAATGTCTCGCTGGTCGCCACAGACGCATCGAATGATGGCTTCGGCCTCTGCTTCGGCTTCGGCTTCGGCTTCGGCTTCGACATCGTCCTGCTGCTCTGTCGACTGTGCTGAGAGCGAGCGCGCAGCCTGGACCTGCCCGTGCGTCAGTCCCTTCTTGTCGGGTTTGGGCTTCGGTTTGGGCTTCGCAAGAGGCTCCTCGAGCACATCCTGGTTCTTCGTGTGGTGCCCTTTGTTGGCACGGCCAGAGCGACGGACTTCGTCTGCAAATTCGCGATTAGCATGTCTGCGTAGACTCAGGGAAGTGCGGTGTGCGTCTCCAATGTGGGGGTCGGCATCCGAGACATACGCACACGAGCAGAGTCTGCTTACCAGCCATGATTGGGGGGGGGAACACGTGTATGGGCTTTATTTCAAGGTCAAATGAAGGCGCTCAATATGTTCACTGGCTCTCTATGGAAGCTTCAAGTCGGAAAGGCTGGGCTACAGCAACACAATATGCGGGCTGCACTGAAATATAGCTAGAAACCAGGCGCGCCCTGTCAACCGCTGCCAGTAGCCACCTGTCTGCAACGGGTGGCGCGACAAAGTCGAGCGACTGCCGGGGCTAGGCCGAAGCTTCCTTCGCGCGACAGAACCTTCTCCAAGACTGAGGCCCGCCGCGACGACGACGTGCGGGGGGCGAAAAGAAGCTGTAGTGAGCAGTGGCGCGCAGCAAAGCGCACCTCAGGACAAGCGTTGATCCGCCGGAGAAAGCTGGGATGTCGCGCAAGGTGTCGGTGATGTCGAAGGGGAGAGAGTGTCGTGTGGTGTTGACGGAATGGATGGCGAGAAGAGGAGGTGCGCGGCTTTAGTTTCTTAGCGCCTTGGCGGGACTACATGACGGCAACTCCAGCCCACCAGCCCTCTAGCCCCTCCAAGCCTAGCGCAGTCCCCAGCGATGAAGACAGCAGCCGCGAAGTGAGCGGCGCCTGCCAACACTCTTTGCTATTCACACTGCAACATCCCCCCGCGTGCCTTCGCTCTTTCCTTGCCTCCACCCTCTGATTAGGCACCTCACTAGGCCGCACCTGTGCCGTCTCACCACTATGGCAGACGTGCGGTCGATGCTTCGCCAGGAGCGAGCAGCCCGACAGCAGACCGGACGTCTACAGAAGCAATCGGCAGCACCCGCAGCCGCGCCCACATCGAGGAAGAGAAAAGCAACGGGTGATTCTGGGGAAGAGAGAAAGCGTACAAGGACAGAGCAAGCAAAGGGGGTGCCAACGGAGTCCCTGGACTCTCTGAACGACCCGCCAGTCACGCAAGCGAGCACTCCCAATGCCGCAGACGTCGCGCAAACAAGCGTCGCGGAAGCTGGGCAGCCGCCTATACCTGAAGAGCTTACATACAACCCTCCACAACCACAACTTACGACCGCCGATGAGGACGACCTAGACGCATTCATCAAAGAAATGGAAGAAGCGCCACTGCCACAGCATACATTACCGGGGTATTCTGGCGCGGTCATCGAAGGCGCCCCCATGACAGCTGCAGAACTTGCTGCGCAAGCACGAGAAGAGCAGAGCGCACAGCGTGGCAGGAGGGAGGAGGAATTGGAGGCCGAGAAGGAAGATGCAGCGCGGCAGCTGGAAGTCGAATTCGAGGACATGGACGAGCTGGAGGAAAGGGTTAGGAAGTTGCGCGAGAAGAGGGAAGCACTGCGGAATGCGCAAGCACAGACGGACATGGAGGGCGTGGTAATAGTTGTGCCGGAGCCCGTGAATATGGAAGACGAGAGCGACTCGGACGACGAGGATTGGGATGATTGGAGATTCCGCTTGGCTTGAGGGCATAGTCTTGCAGGAACTCTCTCCTCATAGTTCGGCTAGATGCTCTTTCATAAGTATGTACTATTACAATCATGTACCATTACCACGACCTAGATACCAAGGTCACTCGGCCTTTTCGATACCCATCAAATCGACCGATATTGGATACTGACGCCTGCATCACGTGGGCGTTTACTAAATATGGAAATTTGCAGTGTTTTTGAAATGCTTTTGACGATTTCGCAGCCTGTTTTCAAACCTAAAGCTTGATCAGACGACAATGATGGCTGAGATTCAAGATTCCCGCAGTTCGGCCAATCAATGTGGTTTTGGGGAGCTATTCTGACGGTGCCAAGACTTTGGGCCCTCCCACCTGCCTGTGACACCCAAACCAGCGTCGAGATTCACGGCACATCCCACCTTACCCTGTCTTGCACCCCCTCCTAATCTACTGGCGGCCTCGCCTTCTCACGGACCTAATATCTCTCTCTCCCCTTCCAACATGTCGCGGCGACCCAATCCCGCCGCTGATCGAGCCGAACAGAATCGCCAAACTCTCAAGAGCCTGGTGAAACTCGAAGCCAACAAGAGCTGTGCGGACTGCAAGAGGAATAAACGTATGAATTCTCCATTAATGCCCGCTCCAGATTCATCCACAACTACTGACCCTCGTGCGCAGACCCGCGATGGGCTAGTTGGAATCTAGGCATTTTCGTCTGCATACGGTACGCCGACTTTATCGCCCCTCTGTACTCACACCTCCATACGCTGACTGCTTCTCCAGATGTTCGGGTATTCACCGTGGTATGGGAACACATATCAGTCGAGTCAAGTCCGTTGACCTTGACTCCTGGACCGACGAGCAGCTTCAGAGTATGCTGAAGTGGGGCAACGCGAGGGCCAACAAGTCAGTGTCTGCCCCCTACTTGCCGCTCAGTGTCTAACAGGCACAGGTACTGGGAAGCCAAACTGGCCCCTGGACACACACCATCCGAAGCGTATGCTCTCCTAGGGTATTTGCAAGTCGCGCGCAATGCTAACACCGATGCAGGAAGATCGAGAACTTTATACGTACCAAGTATGAATCGAAGCGATGGGTCATGGACGGCGGCATACCAGATCCTTCAACCCTGGATGTTTCAGACGACGATATGGTTTGTAGCACTGCCTCTTGCTGTCGGAAAGTTGGCTCTGACAGATCCTCATAGCCCCTGAAGAAGGTCCAAGAGAAAGTGCAAATTGAGCGGTCCGCTTCACAGCGCCTCGGATCTGTCTCCAGACAGCCTCCGCCGGTACAGGCCAGGGCGCAGCCAGCGATTGACCTATTCGGCGATGATCCCACCCCGGCACCCCCACGACCGAGTACAGGCCCTCCACTTGCGAGAGCAGTCCCCCCGAAATCGGATCCGGCGCCTCCAAAGCAAACAAGGGCTGGAGACTCGCTGTTGGGATTGGATTTCTTGGGGGGCGGTTCGTCTACCCAGCCAGCGAGACCCTCCAGCACGGGGCCAGCGGCCGCCGCCTCGTCGCGGCCAGATTTGAAGCAGTCGATCTTGTCACTGTATGCATCAGCCCCGAAACCACCTCCGCAACCGCAGATACAGCATGGCCGGCAAGAGTCTTTTGGTGGTCTTACGTCGCCAGGCGCCTCCCAGTCACAGCAATCTCCTCAGCAGTCTAGTTTTGGTGGACTGAACGATGCATTCAGCAGCTTGTCATTTAGCTCACAACCCGCGCCTCCGCAACCGAAGCCCTCTCCGTTTTCTGGCCTAGATAGTTTCTCGAGTACGCGATCGCCACCGCCAGCTTCGTCATCATCCATGTTCGGCGGTGGAGGAAGTTTCTTTGATTCTACTCCCAGGTCACCACCGGCTCCCCAATCTCAGGGTCAAAAACGGGCTACTAGCACATCAGGCTTTGGAGACTTCTCAGCCTTTACCTCACCAGCGCCATCCGCACCGGCAAAGCCTGCAGCTTCTTCGGGCATGAACGACCTTCTTGACCTTTCTATGCCCGCTCCTGCCCCGCCCGCTCCCAGCAACCCCATCTCTTCCCCTCCAATTTCATCCCCACCCATCAACTCGGCGTTTAATTTGTCATCACCAGCCGCACCAGCCGCACCAAAGCCTGCGCCAGCTGCAGCACCTCCTGCAGCAATAAACTTTTCCGGTTTCTCGAACATGGACGCGTGGGGTAGTACAGACGCTTGGGCATCCTCCGCACCAAGTCAACCTGCTGCTCCGACCACCACCTCACAAACCCAGCCGAAGAGCCCTGGTGGTTGGGGGTCGCATACTAGCCCTCATATAACACAAGACGATGACTTTGGCGGCTGGAGTAGTGCTCCTCCTCCTGTGCCTAGTGCTACGACTCTTCCGCAGACTCATACTCATGCACACATGCCGGGTTCTACGCCGAGTGCGAGTAAGCCGGCCGGTGGATTTGGGGGCGGCGATGATTTGTTCTCAAATGTTTGGGAATAAGACGAAGTCTAACGAGGGAAAGTGGCTTGTTTGAGCGTGCTTGGGCATTGCGTAGATTTACGAACCTTGGGAGGGCAGGAAACGCACCGGAAGTTCCGAAACGGAGTCTGCGGTGTACGGATTCGCGTGCAAGCAGGTGCACAGATGAGAGAATGAAATGATGATAAACGATGAGTAGGCATTTCCTGTAGAGAAGGACGACACAGTGCAGCAGATCTCGAGATATAGACATGTAGACGATGAAGAAGATAAAACGCTCAGTTTGCTCCAAACGCCATATACCCTCCTCCGGGATGACCCCAATGCACCCGAACTATGCAAGTCTCTAGACCCTTTACTTCCCACATAAAAGAATTATACACGCGCCTTATCAGAAGTCTCAATCCTCTCAGATCACACCTTCCGGCAGCGCATGTAGCCACTCCGATCGGATATCCCTCGTTCGCAATCTCATCCATAGTCCCCCACCTCGTGTACGAACAGCCTCAGGCTCTCTAATTCTATTCTGTCGTTCCCGTGGGTGTGCTTTGTGTGACATGGCAGCGCCCCTCCCAACCCTTAGAACATCAAGTGCCAGAGCCAATACAAGATAAGTATGGCCGCAACAATCATCCCCGCAAGCTTGAATATCGCGACTTTATTTCCAGACTGTGCCATTCTACCTAGGCGGGTTGCGCTACCTTTTAGGGTCGTTGTGAAGGTCGAGAAGGTCTCAGACTAGAGGTATTGCATGTTAGCAGATGGGGAGTAAAAAGTTGCGGAAGTTGTGCGGGACTCGCAGTATGGGTAATGAGCAGAGGTAGACGTACGGTGGAGTCGATAACATGCTGGTCTCGCGCGTTGTCGTAGATGTCTATTGTTACGCCACGGAGGGCGGTGACTTTGGAGGCTAGTTCATCGAGGCGGGAATCGTTCTGTCTAAAAGAAAAGGTGTCAGTGAGGGATTAAATAATTAGCGAGGGACAAGACTAAAGACAGAGTGAAAAGCAGAGCCTTGGAGAAGGCGGAGAGGAGGAAAACCGTACCGCTCGCGCTCGTAGGCTTCCGACATTGTGGCAGTTGTGTAAGAAAAATAGGAGATGCACTAGGGGTTCTCGGTGGGGGTGAGCGACTTCCCGTGTTAAATAGGGCCAGAAGAGCTACTCTGAGGAGGTTTGGAAGGTTGTGTGAAGGAAGGGTGGGTATTTATCGCAAGTCGTTCCTGGAGGTTAAAGTATGGGTGACGAAGGCAGCTGCGACTGCCAAGATTGGCTACTCTGTGACTGGCGGAGCCCCCCTGTGAGGCTGAGTGTCGATTTTGCGGGGAGGGAGAGGCCACCAAGACACCTCCGGGACCCTTTCAAAACCTCGGGATCTAATTCTCCACCCGGGCATTCCAACATCGCTCACCGGGCACGTGTAATTCTTAGCACCCAGTTGAGTTTCTTCTTTCCTTGACTTCATGAAACTCACATAAAGACATTGAAGTAGTGACTTGTTCATTCATTACCTCGACGACTTCATCGTCGGTTCTTTCCATTGGTCAGGAAATTTATCCCGAGAGGCTCCAAGGTCTACCATGAAAACACCAAAAACGCCTTGCTTGCCTGATATTTCCCCAATGTTCTCGAGCGACTCTACTAACTCCAAACCAGAGGATGCACTGAAAAGAAATGAAATGTCAGTCTCGACAAGCTCCTCACTAACGACTACCACAACGTGTAGCCGCCGTCAATGATGATATTCGAACCTGTCATAAAGGTTGAAGCGTCTGAGGCCAGCATAACGGCCAGGTTGTTGAGCTCGTCAACATCCCCGAGACGCCCCTGTGGAGTCCGGTCCGTCCACATCTTCTTCTGGGCATCGAGCTCCGGGACACGGTTCAGTGCGGTATCCATGTATCCTGGAGATATCGCGTTAACCCGGATGCCGTATTTGGCCCACTCGGCTGCGAGGGATTTCGTCATCATTATGACTGCCGCTTTTGAAGCGTTGTAGCAGTTCTGCTCTTGCGGATAATTCACCACGCTGCCGGACATCGATGCAATGTTGATGATGGATCCGTGGGTTTTGGTCCTGATCATTTCTCGAGCAACTGCTTGCGCCACCGCAAAGTTGCCTACTAGGTTGATGTTGATGAGGTTCTTGAACTTGCTAAGATCGTAAGTCTCTGCTGGCATATTTGAACTAGTGAGTGTTAGACAAGGTCCTTTGGAGTGGGGTGAAACAGGGACGTACTCGGCAATACCGGCTGAGTTGATCAAGATGTCGAGACGGCCATAATGATTTACTATATCCTGGACTGTTCTCTGCACGGCGACATCGTTGGTGATGTCGACAGGGTAGAAGCGGACATCGACGCCTGTTTGCTCGGAAAGCTCACGAGCGGCTTGCTCGCCATCATCTTTGAGCAAGTCTAGAATCGCGACGCCTTTGATGCCCGCCTCAGCGAGACCTTGGGCCATATTGTAGCCCAATCCACGACCACCACTGTCGTATCCTTAGCTTGTCGCTCGGGTTTGGGATCAAAGTGAACTTACCCAGTGACGATTGCAACGCGATCAGTCAAAGTGAACTTCTTCAATGTTGGAGTTAAATGCTCTCGGATCGCAGGATCAAGTGGCTGCGCAACCTTCTTGACATCTGCTCCCGGCGGTGTGACCACCGGTGCATTTGTCATTGGGACCCTGGTAGTCTCCATTGACGGTAGCAAGACACTAGCATTGTCGCGCTTTAGAGCATTGGTGAAGCTCCGTGCACCGGCGACTGTGCCTGGTAAGACTGCCCGTCGGGCCACGACCCTCGGAACAGTTCTCGTGAGCATTACGATGATCAAGTGTTGGTGCTTGTTGAGTAAGGAGTCGGGATATATGGTTTCGAAGTGGTGAGTTGTAATGAGTTGGAGGTATTGAGGATGTTGGTGGTAAACTTAGACTCGGGCAAGCTTGAAGTGGCAGTTGTCTTCGCTTGTTGCTGAGAGCCAATTGTGGTGCTTCGGTGGTGAAACTAGATGATGGTTTGTTGGTGAGGCTTGGCTTCGATCGCAGAGGGTATTTGGATGTCAAAGATGTCTCTCAATGAGTTGATGTTCCCAGAAGGGGGTCCGCAAGCTCTTATAAAGGCCCCGGTAAGGCGTCAAGTATTTCTGGATACAAGACCTGGTCAGCGGATCAGAAAATGAGGGCTTTGACGATAACGCTATCTGTCATTTGGGAGACGAACAGATTTTTGATTTGCAGGATCCTGTACGATTCAATAGTCCCGATGATAATGTCCATGCTCAGATGTTCACGTTCTTGGTGAAGGTCCCACGCGCCAAAATAACCAGGTTCACTCCCTACTCCACTCCACCATAGAATTTGCTCTGTATTTCACCCACACATCTTTCAATGCCATATTCAATACTTCTTGCATCGGAACCAATTTTCGATGTTGTTATTGCACCCCTTTCCAATTATTTTGCCGACGATGAGGGCGGACGATTCAGCAAATGAATGAGCATTGTGGCTGAGGAGGTGAATCGTGCGTGGAAATTTTGCAGCTTTCCGATCAGATGACAAAGACATCCCACTGGAGTCACGGCCCCAACACCACATCACACATTCTAGAATTGCCACCATGCGGGTATCTCCTCTCTCCGATGCAAAGCCGGTGAGAGCTCTTCTGCCTCGATGATGCCTGCACAGTCGCGAAAGCTGGCAGCCCGTCAGACCTAGGACACTTTTTGCGAGCCAGATGAAGATAAAACCCCTATCCCAACAGCTTCCATTCACAAGCTCGACCTCTCTAACATCTTGTCGCATCTTCCAGAATTCATCCCAGCCATTCGGTGCCTCAGCCTCAAAATACCATCAGGCAGGAGCACCTGGAGCCCGATGCAGTGCACAGACCATCTTCACGATACTTGCCCCTGACATCGCCTGTTCCCGTCTAAGCGACCTGCGTGCTTCTCCCACACCTCAACACCTTATTTCAACGAGCCTTCACCCCTGGACCGTAGGTTCTCCCCTCGACCCAAAAAGTGACCCTAACGACACGAAACGAATATCGAGGTAAAAAGCGCCGTCGTTTCTGCCCACCATTTCCCCTTTTACGTATTTTTGGTAAGGGTCACGGGATGTGGGAATCAGGCCATCTGGTAGAGTATTCATTGCGGCGCTGCCACGACGCTGGGTAATCGGCGGAAGTGGATGGATCGTGGTGCGAAGCTCACCGCTGGATTCTGTGAACGCTTTGTTGGAGGTGGCTGTCGTCGGTGAGCCTTTCCTGTCCTTCGTGTAAATAGTGCTTACTCTATGGGAGGCAAGGTGGTCGGTACACATGCAACAGAGACATGTTCTATTGGCTTTGGTCAGTGTTTGTGTTGCATTCTTGGACACGAGGTGAGTACAACGACGGCTTTTGGCGGCGTCGGCCAAATTTCTGCATTTTCTACCTAACTCCAAACCTCACCAAGTCCACATGGCTTCGCAGTTGATCCTCAGTCTTAAGCTCCGTGTATCCCCACCCCACCATACTCTAGACCAAAGTTGCGACCCTTCCATTTCTTGCAGATGAAACGGGCCAATGAGCGAATGAATCAAAGGATTGTCATTCAACGTGCTCATCAGTATTCGCTCCAGCATCCAACGAGGGCACTCATTCGCTTCATTCAAAGACCCCAAACTCATGGTAATGGCACAGCCTTCCAGCACTGTATCCTACAGACTCACGATCAAGATCGGCAAGCTGTTATAGCCACAACCAGCCGACAGAAGTCTACCTCGAAGTGGGCTTTGAGTTTGGGGCATTGTGCCGTACGCAACAGGAATCTGCTCTTGTCGATGGTGTAGAACATGTAGAAATTTTGATCAGCACACCAATTTATCCTTTCAACCACTCATCTTCCTCCTCTCCCTCTTTCCCACTCGTATTCAAAATATCGGTTCTAAGATAAATGAGCTCTCTGGCTTCCCTTCAGATGGTGTTCATCCCACCCAAGGGCTATAAAACTAACCGTCGCCCTCATCCTCCTCTCCCTTCTCGCCCACGCCCAAATCCCGAATTACTTTACTCAAATCTTCCGCTAGACCAACTGCACCGAAGACTGTCCGGCAAAATCTGTCCCCATCCTCCCATACGGCTCCAAGAGCCGCAACGAAATGCTGACCGATAACATACGTTGCCCCTAAAAGACGCAATCTCTATTCTACTGTCCCGTATTAGCCATCCTGCCCGCGTGTCTCTAGTACGGCCATTGAACTCGGGTGCATGCTTTCTTAGATGTGAGGCTAAAGACACCAAAGCCGGGGCAATTTCAGGGGGTGCTTGCTGCATGGTGGATGATGCGGTCGTGCTATATCTAGGCACAAGTAGCATAGCACATCACCGGCATGCTCTAAGGGGGATCAGAGCAATATGCCGATGCATGTTGATTGCAGCAAAGGGTATCCAAATTTCATTATAGCGTCGAATTATAGATATGGAGGCGCAGAGGCGTAATTCTGGTATATAATACTCCATTCTGAGTTTCCCCAGAAGTTCGGACGTCCAGCTTAGTCTTAATGTGCTGGGGCTAGGTGCGAAGAGTTTTTGCTGCCGTGATCCCTATTCTAACACATTTAGGAATTGTGATTAGTATCACTATGAGAGGCGACTATCCAAAGAGAAGGCGCGGGGGCCGTCTTGGTCTCAGGGGGCATCGAATTGTTGATATAGTAAGGGGATTGTGAGAAGGGGGATATGTCGGATTGTTGCAATAGAGAGCCGCTGATCTAATTAACACTATCACGAATTCTTCTTAGAAGAAGACTCAGATTCAAATCTTGGACGTGGGAAGGCGCGCGCATAACTGTGACTTCAGAGGTACAAGCAAATATAGTTGGCTAGAGAGTTTAGGGACCGTATTGCTAAGGCTCCTTCTAATGAGAATCATTGGGTTAGATCTTCTTTACAGAGAGTGCTGGACATTATGAAGTATCCGGAAATATCTCTATGGACGACTTTTAGGGAGTGCTGCGGAAAGTAACAACAGCCACTTGAAACGCGGCAATGAACTATAAGTAAAAGGGCTTTTTTATTGCAGAAGAGAGCAATCATGGATGCAGTTGATACGCCGTACCGGATGAACCAAGGAGCACCAGTAAAATTACAGAGGCCAGAGCATTCATAATCGCACCAAACACACTCGACCCTTACGCTTCAAGCCTCGAGCTTAGCCACTCTTCCCACCACCGGCTTTCGGTGCACTGCCCCCGCCGCTCGGTTTCGTCCTTGGACTTCCCTGTGCCCCACCCTCCGTATCGCCTCTCGGCTTGCTAACTTCGGGGTTCGCAGGGCTCACTTCGAGTGGATTTCCGTCACCCTCCTTGCCAGCCGTGCTCTTCTCGTGCTCAGGACTCGTCTTGTTGGGGTTGAAGGCAGCATCTTCGCTTGCAGCTGCAGCATCATCGGAGCCAGATTTGGAGTACTCGGTAGACGTCGGATTGAGTGAGTCTTTGTCTTGAGTATCTTTTCGGGCGTAGAGGTGGGGAGGACTGGAGGAGAGGAAGCGCGATGTTAGAGGGAGCGAGGACGGGTGGCTGGCATGCGCTTTGTAGGATGTTGCGCGGAGGAGATGTCGGCGGGAGGTTTGACGCCGAAACAGGGCCATTATAGTTGCTTCTGGTCTGGAGTACTTGACCAAGGCGCTCGGACAATGGATTAGATGCGCGCGGTGTGCTTCGTTGAGGGGTGAACGAAAATTATGATATGGAAGACTTTCGAGAGGACGAAATTCAGAGCGCGACTGAAAGAAGAGTAGAATTAAAAGCACAATTGCACAATGAGTGAGGGAAAGAGAAGAGGTTGAGGTGTAGGTGGTGTTGATGTTATGAAGGGAAGACTGTATGTGGGTAGAGTGATGTTATAGCGTCGGTAAGTTGAGTTGAGGCTTGGAGGTCTATCGTGGATGAGTTTTCTGATGGTAAGTTAATTTTGATGGTATCTCTATTGTGTTAAGTATGTAATAAGAATGGGAGAGGTTGTTGTAGACTTTGAATATTCGTCTATAAATGCTGGTTTAAGTTTAAAGTTCTTTCTGCTTTTTGTGGGGATTAAGTACTATACCATGATAGATAGGCGCATTCTCAACACTGGGTAACCATATGATAGTCGGTCAACTCTTTTAATTAAGGCTTGCGATTAAGAGATATGCGGGGTTTGGGCGGTTTCCAGAGAGTTCACGCAAAAGATTCGGCCTGGTTCGAAAACGATGGTGGTGTCTGACTTATCCGAGCCAATTCCGACCTTCCTTTCGATCATCGAGCGCATCGAGGATGGGTGTGCCATCTTTTACGCTGCGCCCGAAGTATCGCAGTATCCACCACGCATTCTGCTTCCCTGAGGATCGGAGGAGAGCACTCTTAAATCGGCTTGGAAATCTGGTCCAGCTTCCGTACTTTTTTTGAGGCACCAAAGTTCTACCGAAGGCAAATAGTAAAGATGTGCTACTGACAACGTCCACTTACTCTTCCTTCAGGGCTTCGTTAAAATTCTTCATCATTCTATCCTAAGTCTAGACCTATATTGTCATAAAGGTCTATCTCAATGCACCTCTTTCAAGATATGCACACACACCAAAAGTAGGGCCGGATTAAACCTTCAGTCTTATTTGGATCATTCCTTGGTATCGTGCAGAATTATCCATCCGTATCCCCTCTGAGCTTAGGCCAGACTCTCCAGTCCATGGCATCGACATGGCCATCAACGATATCTTCTCCCCGCCACCACTGCCCTGCCCGGACTCCCTCAAAAGTCCGCCTCCGTTCAAACCCCATCCACTCCGCCAACTCCGCACTGGTAGAATCCAACCCGCCTTCAACGTCCCTGAACTCACCTCCGCAATCTACAAGGTCCCACTCCATGGCCCCCAAGAAATCACCAAATCCGGCATCCCCACCGACGAACAGGCCTTCATTCCCCATGGCACCACCGACAGAGCTCTTCTCCACTACAGCTCCTCTCACTATCCTCTCTGGAAGTCCGAATTGCCGCAATCCGCACACCTTTTCAATGCCGGCGCATTCGGCGAAAACCTCGTCAGCGATGGGCTAGATGAGAAAGCCGTATGCATCGGTGATAAGGTATCTATCGAGGAAGTTCTCCTTCAAGTCGCGGAACTGCGCGAACCATGCTACAAGTTAAACCACCGATTCGAGGTCAAAGACATGGCGAAGAGGACACAGACGCTTTTCCGTACAGGGTGGTTATACCGCGTTTTGAAAACCGGGCTTGTGGCTCCTGGAGATACGATCACTTTAGTTGAAAGGCTGCACCCAGAATGGACTGTTGCCAGGGTCCAGTATTATCTTTATCACGAGAGGGATAATGTGGAGAGGATGAGGGAGATTCTGGAGGTAAAAGAGTTGAGTGGAGCTATCAAGAACGTATTTCGGAAGAGAGTTGGGAAGGGAAGACAGGAGGATCAAGACCAGAGGATGCTTGGGGATGCAGGCTTGGCCATGAATAAGTGGAACGGGTATCGCATTGCGGAGAAGAGGAAGGAGACTAGCAGAGGGGATGCGAATGATGATCCAATTGTCGAGCCTGGGAGCCATGTGCGGCTGAAACTGGGCGGAAAGCTAGTACGGGCATACTCCGTCATTGGGGGCACGACGAAACGTTTTGAGATCGGCGTTGCGTTGGAAGCTAAAAGCCACGGAGGCTCTAAGTTCCTCCACGAAGAGGCGAAGGTTGGAGATGTCCTGACAATTAGTCGCATTACCCCGAGTTTCCCACTTGCGAAAGACGCAGCCAAGCATATTATCATAGCGGGAGGTATTGGTATCACAGCATTTCTGGCAGCTCTAAGATATCTGAGGGAATCGAGACTAAGCTACGAGCTTCACTTTGCAGTCGCAGGAGAAGTTCCACTCGAGCGATACATCGCTTCTTCCCCTGAGCAGGTAAAAATTTACAGCAAGTCGCAAGGACAGGGGTTGGATTCATCCAAAATCATAGCCCGCGCCGACCCCAAGACGCATATCTATTGTTGTGGACCACAACGCCTTATGGACGGCGTTCGAGACACAAGCAAGGAATTCGACGTCCCCGAGTCTTCTGTTCACTTCGAGACATTCGCGATCATGACTGGAGGCGACCCATTTACAACTAAGCTTCGAGAGAGCAAGAAGACCGTCGAGGTTGAAAGCTCCCAGACGCTGTTAGATGCGCTGAGAGAAGTGGGTATGGACATCAACAGCTCGTGTGAGGCTGGAAACTGCGGGACTTGTAGGGTTAGTGTATGTAGTGGGAGAGTTGAGCATAGAGGAACGGGATTGCTGGAAAGGGAGAAGCAATCGGTGATGCTGAGTTGCGTATCCAGGAGCATAGGACCCATTGTGTTAAATTTGTAGACAGAAAGACCATAGTGGAAGGTCAAACGGCGATGCGGAGAATGAGACAAGTGACGAACAGGTATAGAAACTCATAAGACATAACTGCTTAGGATTCCGGACTCTAAATTCGGTATGGTTCCATAACTACTGTGAAGGAGGTGGGTTTGTGGCCTACACTGTCAAATTCGAAAATTTTTGCAGGTTTTCGCGAGTGCACTAGACCTTCCCCATCGGTGTCAGGTCGCAAAACGCTGTCGGACTTTAGAGCCTTCACTGCACTCGAGGTGCTACTGTAGCCGAAGCCTATGAAACAAATTTTATATTCTCTCGATTGGTCCTGCAAGACAGAATTTGTTGGGTGTGCATTCTGAGAATGGCTTGCGCCGGCCGCATCTTCTAGGCGTATTGAAAAAGGCCACGCTGTGTTTAGTTACGTTGTAAAGATGCGTTTCGGAAGTCCATCACGGCAACCATAGTGAAGGGTTCAACCACAACAGATCAAAGGCTCGATAGTGGTAAGGCATTTCGAACAAAGTGGTGATTGCATAGAGATAAGCCTCTGCTTGGCGGCTGGCTCATTGAACTCTCCGCGTGAAGATGGTGTGTTGGGCCGTTGAGGCTCTCCAATTGACTGGTCTTGAACTAAATGGGCTAGATTATTAATGAAGAGACTGGAACTGTTCGATCTCAAATCTATAGCCTCGATCGACAGGGCGAGATATCACCGGGGCCAGACATCTTGGTTCCGGAGTATAGTCCTGACACTTTCGGATGAAGTCAAACCGGCTTTCTAGAAAGGGCCCCTTGAATGATAAAGCTGCAATGTGTGCGGGGCCGAAGTGCAATTGGCAAAAAGGCTAATCTGGATTGAAGGACTGCGTTTGGTGCATAGAGAAGACAGTACATAAGAGACGAGGCGATTGAATCCAGGTTCGGGAGCGATCCTCATCTTGGAAATAGGAATGCCAAGCAGCATGCACTGATTGTGTGGTCCCTCAAATGGCCTCCTTAGGCATTGTGGGAAAAAGACACCAGCGGCTCTTTCAGGCCCAGTGAAGCATTGTTTGGCGATTACCGAATCGTCTTTCGCAGTTCCAGAGTGTTGGCCTGAGCTTGGCATGGATATAGCGGTTTATGCAGAGAATGGCTTTGGTGAGGCCACAAGAACAATGCGAACTTACGGCAGTAGTGGAAGCAGGGGTAGGTGTGCACATCATCAGGAGTGCCAGTTGGGATGGCCTTGCTCTCACAATCAATTAAGGAAAAAGTCATATTAGCTGGGTGTGATTGACGGGCGTCTTTCCAACAACGTAACGCCACAGTAGGCCCGAATCTGGAGATAATTGCTCAACCTCCAAAGAGGAAAGGTAGCCATGCGTGATGTGTGGCTACACGATAACAGCGCGTGAGCAAACGACGCGCAGTCTTGAAAGAATCTGCGGCTGAAATTGATTGGAGCGATCGAGGCCTTTGGTGTGATAGCATCGCCTAGAAGGCGTATGCTTGGTAGCATGCGAGGCGTTGCCGGATGGAGTGACAGCGAAGAAGGTTGACATAGGTAGTTAGGTAGTTAGGAGGTGTGTGATGGTCTTGTCCAAAGGGGGCCAAATGTTTCGGAGGATTTTCAAGTCCCGTTCGTGGGGCACTAGCCGAATGTGGGGTAGCCAAGAGCCCATGTGAGATCGCCTGCAGCCAGGCCTCATCTCTCCACACACTCCAGTCCTTCAGTCCATCAGAACCACCCCTTCCTCATCCATTACAACGTGTCTTAAGGATCCACTATCAACTGCCGCGGATTCACTGCAGATTCCGTGCACCATTTCTCACTTCCCTTTCAGGCGATTGAATAATTCATCAACTTGTCCAAAAGATTCAGATTCACACCTTGAACATCGAGGACCCCCAAATTAGCCCCTGTCGTCTGACATGTTTATTATTTATCGCAAACCCACGGGAGATGCTCTTCCGCTGCACGTTGGGCTCTGCATCTACATGCTCACTTCCACGGGTGAGTTTCTGAACGTCGACTTCACGTGAAACAATTTTGGGCTCAATGTCCACACGGGTCAGTGGGGTCACAAAATTTTCTTCCATTTTAGTCTATTTTTCTCCCATAGCGGTCAACGTCTTAACTTTCTAGTATCGCCTCTGTGCACATAGCTGCAAATCATCTCCTGTCAATTAATTTCACCCTCCAGGTCTGGCCGTAAGCGAAGTGGAGCCTTTCATTCAAGATTCTTCCTGCGACATGATTTAGGCGGTTGAAAGGAAATCCACTACCCAGGTTGTCGGGGCACGCTTAATCAACGATTTCCCCGAAAGCTTAGCCACGGCCCGCATATCATGCCAATGCCGAAATCTAGCTGCCGACCGTTTCCCTACAAGGCAGGCCAGCCTCCTGATAGAACTAACCACCCTTTCCACCCAATCAGTATGCCTTCAAAAAGCCACCAAAATTTATAGCAAGCTAACTCCTTGCTTTGAAGACTAAGGTGGACAGTTTTCCAAGAATGCCATGGAGCTTGGAGAGATAAGATCCTGCACTAGCTGATCCAACACATCCCTCCTCCTATCCGACAGCAATATCATGGAAAGGAGCTGATCACATTGCATGCTTGCGTCACAAGCAATTGTTTTTCATTTCATTGCCACGGCGGATTGCGCTGGCTCGAGCATCATGTTGCAACTGTCGAAGACACCCACAGCGGGCGCGTATAGCGCTAAGGTAGAGTGTATATAAGAACAACCTCATGCTGTTCGTATTGTGAAGCCCAAGCGACCCTTTTTTTTTTTTCCTATTCTCTCTATCATGGAGTCGTCATCTGTGGACTTGCCTAAATTGAGCGAGAAACCTAAGATTGCGTACATTGAGACGATCGAAAGAATTGAGACGGCTGATACACGATGCCGAGGACCAAATACGTTTCTCTCACAGGATTTGAAGGTCTCCGCCAATGAGCCAACCGAAGAATATGAAGGTCGGCACCGTTACGATCCAAACTTCCATTGGGAAGCTCTGGAAGAGAAAAAGATTGTGCGAAAGGTATGTGGAGTTTCTGAGTAGGTGGTAATATGTAATTGTTGACATATCTGTAGCTTGACAAAAGGGTTTGCGTATGGACCTGCCTCGCTTTCTTCTGCCTTCTTCTCGACCGCAGCAACACAAGCCAGGCCATTGCGGACAACCTACTAGACGACTTGAAGATGAACACGAATGACTATAATTTCGGTTCAACGCTCTTTAATATCACCTTTCTCATCGCAGAGATTCCAATGCAGTTGCTCGCTAAGAAAATCGGGCCCGACCGATGGCTACCAGTCCAAATGGTGGCGTGGAGCATCGTCGCCAGCTGTCAAGCATTCCTAAAAAATCGGACTGGTTACTTGATCTGTCGCTCTCTACTCGGTATCACAGAAGGTATTTCATACCTGAGTAGCCTGAGGTCCTGGTAGTCAGTGCTAATAGGCCATAGCTGGGTTTATTCCAGAAAATGTATTGTATTTGAGTTACTTTTATACCGGCGCTGAAATGGCGTACCGCATGACGTTTTTCTGGATTGCATTTCAAGCCTCCCAGGTCATTTCCGCTTTAATGGCCTTCGGTATTCTCCACTTGAGGGGTGTGGCTGGCCTTCCCGGATGGCGATGGCTCTTTGGCCTCGAAGGTTGCATCACTGGAATAATCGGCGTGATTGCAATCTTCTTCTATCCAACTTCTCCCACACAGCCATCCATATACGCTAAGCTACGAGGTCCAAAGTCCTGGTTTACTGAAAATGAAGAGAAGGTTATGGTCAACCGGATACTCCGCGATGATCCAGCCAAAGGAGCTATGCATAACCGAGAACATATCTCATTTAAAATGATGTGGAAAGCCACCACAGACTGGCACATGGTTCCAATGTACATCCTATCCCTTACATGGACGGTACCTTTCTTGCCAATGACCATGTACATGACGCTAACCTTGCGCGGCCTTGGCTTCACAACCTTCCAGACCAGCCTAATGTCCATCCCTGGTGCCACTCTTGTCGGCCTGCAACTTTTCTTCTGGGCTTGGGTATCACGGAAAACAGGCCAAACTCTCCTCCTCGGCGTCATTGGTCAGCTGTGGGCAATTCCATTCCTTCTTACGCTGCTCTTCCTGCCACGACATCCTAATCCTTGGGTCAAGTGGGTCATATGTTTGCTTCTCGTCGGTTACCCTAATATCCTGGGTATCATGGTGTCGCTTGTGAGTCGGAATGCTGGATCCGTACGTACGAGGGCTTTGGCAGCTACAGTGTTTAACATGGGTGTTCACGGAGCGTCGATTATTGGATTTAATGTAAGCCCGGTCTGTATCTGGCTCCTCGCCGATTTTGACGCTGACATATCTATGAAGATTTACCGGAATGATGACAAGCCAGCTTACCACCGGTGAGTGCTTTATACAGGCCTTTCCTAGTACATATGCTGACCCAATCCTACAGAGGCAACAAAGTACTCCTTGGCTTCGTGTGCTTAAATATTCTCATGTTCATTAGCGCTAAGATGTTGTACAAGTGGGAGAACGCGTGAGTCTCTTCCCCTCACGTCATCTGAGACGTTATGCTAAATGCTTATGCAGCCGCCGCGACAAGATATGGAATGCGATGACCGATGACGAGAAGATTGAATACCTGACCAATACGACTGATGAGGGGAACAAGAGGTACGTTTCTCCACCATCCATCAAGAGCTGAGCTACTAAGAGTTACTGATTGGACGAAAGGCTGGACTTCCGCTTCGACCATTAGTCGCGATGAAGGCAAACCTACAGAGTCGGTTCGTTGTTTGATGTATTAGTCTTCACTTTCGCTATTGTTATCTAAAGCAGATTAGCGCTCTTTTATTGCGTATCCCCCTAGCCCCTGCACTGTGCACCACACTCTTTAGACCGCTTTTCAGACTCAGACTAGAAGTTCAATTTTGAATAAGAGGACTGGGGGCTGGCTCCTGTAATACAGTCTTTACTTATCTTATGAATCATCTTACGAATGTCCCAACGCCAAAATTTTTGTGCGAAAACAGCTAGACGCTGCTGTGATGCTTGTGATGTAATGAATCGAGATAATAAAATTAATGCTTAGGTATAGTCTGCTCTATATGACCAAATCGCCTGTATCATAGATCTGTCATTAGAGGTTCTAAATCAGGCCCAGGAAAATCATGTGTCCGTAATGACACCTCCAATGTATCTACGCTGTGAACCAAGATTACCACCCAACCATTCTAACACCGAGAGACTCGCGAGATGGAAGGTAATAGGAAGGAGAAGGTTAGGCATCATGCAGACCACAAAGTTCGACCTGCCGCTGCAAAATAAAAGCCGGCTAGTGGGTCCCGCAGTCGAGTGTTATCAAGGGAAGCTGGAGTCATCCGGCATAACAAATCCCTTCGCATCAAAATCCTGCCGTAAAAAGTCGGTCAAGGCGTCAATCTTTTTCCGTTGGATATGAAGGACGCCGGTTTTCATGTCCTTCTCTCGTTGGCTCATGCGGCTGGAGATAGACGCGGGTTTCCTCTTCTTCTCGCCGGTCTCCACTCCGGGCAACAAGGAGCGTTCTACTGACGATGGGGGTTCATCAGGCTGGTTGGAAGAAGCCTGCCCGACTTCTGCGGCGTCATTTTGTGGATACCTAGGATCGCCGTATGCTTCGGGGGTGATTTTAAACATAGTTCTTCGCGATGGAGGAACTCCACCGACAAGGACTAGGAGGAGCTTTGGTTGGATGGCGCGGATGATGATATTGTTGTGTTGGAATTCTATTGTGAGAGTCTCTAGGGGCGATGTGGTAAAGGAGTCGTCTGATCGTGCCGCATCCGCTCTCCGCTTTGCTTGCAGGTTGGCCTCGTGCTCTTTCCACGCCATTGAGATTAGGGCGGCCTGATCTCGAAGGTCCTTAATATCGACAGGCGTTGAGTAAGCCATTAAGGTGCCATTGGGAGACATTACACTAAGCATGTGAGCAGGGGGATTCAGCGGTAGGGCGCCTAAGAAATGCTTACAACATGCGCGGGTAGAGGTTAGGATCAACATTCTTGGCGAGAAACTCGCTGAGTTTTAATGCGTTGAGCATGTTGGAGTGTAGGGACTGCCTAGATCAGTATGTAGTATGGAGCAGGGAGTGTTTGCATAGCAGGGAACAGCGACAAATGATGGTAGCTGAAACATGTACCGAGGTGGGTGGAGAAAGAGTAATAATAAAGTGACTAGGAATATACGATGACGATCTGTAGACTTGAATGAAAGTGTACCCACCGAGATGCTGCAAAAGGCACGATTTCACCCAACCGCAAAGTCCGTGCTCTACTGTCAGAGGCCCGCCACGTCCGTAAAGAATCGTTGACTGTTATGATGTCAAAAGAGGCGAGCGAAGTTCTAAATCGAGTGGCATTATCGAATGCTGAAAGGGCTCATGACATGTGGGCCATGGTGTTGGAGTGCGAGATGACCGCGGCACCGTGGCCAAAGCTTATCTTGGCTAGCTCCGGAACAAGGATCAGCGCTCGCTCCAGGCCATATGCCGCATCACGTGGGGCTCACTGCCAGCCCGTCTTCCAAGGTCGGTGCATTTTACTGAGCTTACGGTATGGCGAAGGTCGAGTTGATGTTCTTGCGGACCTTGAAGATGCAAAAACAAAAGTGGAAAACTTAGAACCCGCTGTGGCACCGCAACTAACAAATACAGCTAGGGCTGTGGTTAGAATCTTGGAATTTACCCGCGATTCCGACAGTGCTCTCCCGAAGGACAGCCGAGGGGTGGGTTTCTGGAGGGTCGTGATCACCTCTTAGGTTTCTCCTCTTCAATTGCGCCATTCCATCACCACTCCTGCGGTGGATGTTCCTCTTGCTCCCGAGCTTGTCATACACTCCCAGAATTTTAACTTCTCCTATAACTTGGGCAATCAAAAATAACAAAGCCTGCCTTCGCCCCATCAGAGCACTTGCGGCCATGGCGACTGACCCTACAAAATACAAGCTCAATCATTCCATGTGGGTATTCCATCATTTCTGTCGTCTGCGCCACAATCTCACTCCAAGCTAGTGCTAATCGACTTCCTCCAGGCTCCGTGTCAAGGACCCTAAGCGGTCGGTCGAGTTCTATGAGTTCCTAGGAATGAAGCTCATCAACAAGCTCCCAAATCCCGACGCAAAGTTCGATCTATACTTCCTCGCGTTCGATAGTCCCAGGGCAGTCTCCCATGGCAATCATTGGACGGACCGGGAGGGTATCGTAGAGCTCACACATAACTACGGGACGGAGAACGACCCAGGCTACAAGATCGCAAATGGCAATACTGACCCCCGAGGATTCGGTCACCTTGCTATTTCAGTAGACAACATTCAGGCTGCGTGTCAGCGAATAGAGGATGCAGGTTACAAGTTTCAGAAGAAGCTGACGGATGGGAAGATGCGCCACATCGCCTTCGCGCTGGATCCAGATGGCTACTGGGTCGAGGTCATTGGACAGAAGCCGCTAGAGGAGACTGAAAGCGTTAAGGAGACAGACATTTCAACATATCGCATGGTAGGTCGTAAGGTGACTATGAGGGTCATGACTAACATACATAGAACCACACTATGATTCGCATAAAGGATCCCGAAGTCTCCCTCAACTTTTACAAGGATGTTATGGGCATGGGGCTGAAGCGTACGTCGGAGAGCAAGAATGGAGGCTTTAACTTATACTTCCTTGGCTACGGCCCGTCAGCTCCAGAGGCCACTGCAAACGGCGTGAACCCTGTCGCTGACCGAGAAGGATTGCTAGAGCTGACCTGGAACTATGGGACGGAGAAGGACCCGAACTTCAAGTACCACGACGGCAACGCTCAGCCGCAAGGGTTTGGCCACATCTGCATCGCTGTCGACGACTTGGACGCTGCTTGTGCGCGGTTCGAGGAGAAGAAGGTCAACTGGAAAAAAAGGCTCACAGAGGGCAGGATGAAGAACATTGCCTTTGTGTTGGGCAAGTATTCGAAGACTCGGAGGGTGTGACCTAACTTAGCTAACAAGCCAAGCAGATCCTGACGGCTACTGGATTGAAGTTGTTCAAAACGAGAAGCTCAAGCCGCGAAGCAATTGGTGATTTCGATGGCTCTCTCTTCTAGGGCCCCCGGCTTCGATGTGAGTGGCACACGGGACATATCCCAGATCTCACCATGCGAACTCTTCCAATTGAGTGGCACCGCCTTTAAACCTGCAGCGTCTTACGGCATACATCATCTCATTGAGTATTCCAATTATTGCTTTTAGCGTGGCAATATCCCGCCGCGGAAATACGACTCATTCAATATTCAACGCCTTCGAGTGTGCTCCAACTCACTGTCTGCCAATCTACTTCCTCGAACCAGCACTGAATATCTCACCATTTGTTTCAACTATTACTCTTATCTCCAGGAGTTCTAAAAGTTCTCCTGGCGTATAGCACCGCTGAAGCAGTGGTTTCCCAGTGACCATGTTGACAGGCCAGTGGCGTAATCGCGTGGGGTACGGCGGGAGCGGGGTATCCATCTAAGCCTGAAAGGGCAAGTCCGCCTCTGACGGAAAGACGCAGCTGATGAGGCATGTCCGATAGCGGCCCATCTAATTGTCCGGTCAGCTAAAAAGCACAAAGACTGACTCCTTCCTCAGTCTGGATTTCAGTTTTCATTTTGTCTTCTTTACAGCAGTTTAGTCCTTGAATTAATATGGCTATCCTAGTGCACGCACCCAAGCCGCGGGTCCTGATCCCTGAGAAGGTGTCTCCGGATGGCTTAGCTTTGTTGAAAGGCCAGTTTGAGGTAGATGAAAAGAAGGGTTTGAGCCCGGAAGAGCTGAAAAGCATCATCGGCAACTACGAGGCGCTCATTGTACGCTCAGAGACTAAAGTTACAGCAGAGCTGCTTACTGCTGCCACCAAGCTTAAAGTTGTTGCCAGGGCTGGTGTAGGTGTCGATAATGTAGATGTCCAGAGTGCTACGAAGCAAGGAATCATTGTTGTGAACTCTCCTTCCGGAAATATCAATGCTGCGGCAGAACATACCATTGCTCGTGAGTGCTCGAAGTTCTGTCTCCCGGCTGCTCTTACAGACTTCTGACTTGTAACAGTCATGATGGCGGTATCTCGCAACATCGGTGACGCAGATGCTAGTCTCAAATCTGGGAAATGGGAACGAAGTCGTCTTGTGGGCGTTGAAGCGAAAGGAAAGACGCTAGCCATTGTTGGTTTGGGCAAAGGTACCATTCAAAAGGGTCGATCCAACACGGCCAAATACTAACTAGATACAGTCGGTCTTACAGTTGCCCGAATTGCGAATGGTTTTGGCATGCGCCTAATTGCATACGATCCATATGCCAACCCAAACTTGGCCGCCGCTGCATCTGTCACTCTGAAGCCCAGTCTCCTAGATATTCTGAAGGAAGCTGATTTCTTGACGCTGCACACCCCGCTCATTGCCTCGACAAGAGGTATGATCGGAGCTGCAGAATTGGCCACGATGAAATCAACTGCCAGGATATTGAACGTAGCAAGAGGAGGCATGATCGATGAAACCGCTCTTCTTGAGGCCCTCACTGCCGGAACAATAGCTGGCGCTGGTATCGATGTCTGGACGTCGGAGCCGCCTGAACCTGAATCCCCAGCAACTCGTCTTATCGCACATCCGAAAGTCGTTTCTACACCCCATCTTGGTGCTTCGACCAAGGAGGCGCAGGAAAATGTCTCGATTGATGTTTGCGAGCAGGTCGTTTCGATCCTGTCCGGAGAGCTTCCTCGATCAGCCGTGAACGCTCCTATCATCCTTCCCGAGGAATATAGGACCCTCCAACCTTTCGTAACCCTTGTCGAGAAGATGGGCTCTCTTTATACGCAGCACTACAGCTCTCATTTTACAACATCGGGGAAAACTGCTCAGCAATTCCGTACCACATTCGACATCACATACGAGGGTTCATTAACGAATCTCAACACAACCAAGCCCCTCTTTGCAGCTCTGGTGAAGGGTCTCCTCACCCCATTCACCTCTTCAGATGGCCTCAATATCAACATTGTCAATGCTGAACTCCTTGCCAAGGAACGTGGAATTCTGATCAATGAGAGCCGAAGCCGCGAGAATATAGAAGACAAGCCGTACTCCTCCTTCGTTACGCTCCGCGCTCGGGCTTCCCGGTCTCCATCACATCAGCGTACTGGTCTCAGTCGCTCGAATTCGCCGGCTACCTCAAAATCCATTAAGCCCCAAGAGCAGGAGGATCAGGTCATTCAGGGTTTCGTGTCTGCGAACAAGTCTTACATTTCGCGGTTGGATCGATTCAAAGGCGAATTTGTTGCACGTGGTACCCTCCTCATTTGTAGAAACTTTGACTCCTGCGGGAAGATTGGCTTCGTGGGCTCGGTACTTGGCAAGGCGGGCGTGAATATCAAGTCCATGAGCGTTGCGCCGCTGCATGAGGAGGCTGAAGAGGTGGACGGAGACGTAGAAGGTAACGAGGCTCTAATGATATTAGGTGTTGATAAGCCAGTTGACGAGAGTGTCGTTAAAAGGTTGATTGGGGAGCAGGGTGTGTTAGAGGCCAACGTTGTTACTCTCTAAGTGGCGCTGGGTGTTTCTGGACGAAGGCGCTCGTGGCTCATCTGGCATTTTTGGATACCATGAAAACACGGGTTTAAAGAAGTGTTTCGACTTCAACGTCGGCGAAATAGGAATCTCTTCAGGACATGGACGTGGTGGTTGGATAGCTCGTCTAATTCTGATTGGTCAATGAGACCTGCTGACGCTAACAAAACTGCTGACGAAGCTGCACTTCGCTGAGCATTCACCTTGGCAGAGCCCTTGCTTCTCCAAGAAACGCTGCTGGATAAAATCTGTGCTGCTGCCAATATACAACCTCGCTTTTTATTGATCATAGAGCCATGAGGCGGAATTAGTAATGGGCCTCGGCATGACGAAATAAGGAAAGGGATGTCTACGGACGAAAATCATGGCCTCAGCAAGCGGCCGCATCGGCCTAGGAATTCGACCGACTCTTGGTCCACCACCCTTTATAATAGTCACTTACCTCTCGTCCTGACTTACAGTTACAGCACACCTAAATCTACAATTGCCAGTTGAGCGAACATCGTAATAATAATAATGGCAACCGCAGCTCTTGTGGGAAGCACCGGGCTTGTCGTACGTCTCCCCACGCCATATCTCTCTCCACGACCTAACAATCCAAGGGCTCGAATATCCTGTCTCAACTCCTTGCCCACCCCTCCTTCTCGTCCGTATACGCCTACACGCGTCGCGAACTTAGTAACCCCACTGCCAGCACGAAGCTCACGCCACTTTCCTCAACCGATAGCTCGACATGGCCGTCTCTCTTCCCAACTGCACCCACGCCCACCATCTTCTTCTCGGGCCTTGGGACTACGCGCGGACAGGCCGGCGGCCTCGAAAACCAGCGCAAGATCGACCTCGACCTGAACTACGACCTTGCAAAGGCTGCGAAGGAGGCCGGATGTGACACATACGTTCTAATATCTTCTGCATCTGCGAGTTCTCAATCCATGTTGGCATACTCTAAAATGAAAGGCGAGCTAGAAGACAAAGTCAAGGACCTCGGGTTCAAGCACACCGTCTTCCTGCGCCCTGGGTTGATTGTGGGCACGAGGCAAGATAGCAGAGCTCCCGAGGCTGTGATGCGGGGTTTAGCTACCGGGCTAGGAAAGCTGAGCCCAATGTTAAAGAACAGCTGGGCTCAGGATGCGGATGTGATTGCCAGGGCGGCGGTGAATGCAGGCCTGCAGTGTGTGGATGGGAAGAAGGAAGAGGGGGTTTGGGTGTTGGGGCAGAAGGAGATCATACGGTTGGGAGAGGAGAAAAAATGAGGGGCTACGGGTTACCGGGAGGGGGGTGCTGAGGAGAGGGGGAGAACTGCCAGCATCGACCTGCCGGAGCTTGGGGGATGGGATTCTGAAATGCCATAGCAAATGGGGCTGATGCGCTGGAATTACAGTACTACGATCCCCTTCATGCATACAGCTTGGCGATGGTGATACAGGGGCAGATTGAGATGGATTCCTGACTTTGGGCCTTGTTGCCCTCGAATATACCCTTTCCTACCTTTCCAACCCCAAATCATCCAATTATTTAGCAGCAGGAGTGACAACCCGAACCAAGTGCTTCTCCTTAATCACCCACAGGCGCTCTGAAACTGTGACTTGCTGATTCTGTGTGGGTCTTAAAATCATCGTCATTCACCCAAAGTGCTGCCCATCCTCCAGCTTCAGCCAATCAAATCATCCGATTTCCATCCCTCTTTCGCTCCCCCGAGGACAAGTGCACGCCACTTCCGCAGATGGGGTGTCAGTAGTCTTCATCCCTTCGACCCCGTTGCTCGCCGAATGACGGTGCTCTGGGTCAGGAGACAATGAGCTCAGCACGTGGCTGACTCATGTCATCGGCGGGTACCGAACCAGACAACTCGCGCTTTCCCTTGAACATCACACCATGGTCGAACGACACCATGCCAAGCCCCACCAACATATCACGAAATCGCATCTCAGGCGACGCTGAGTGGTCCAGAGCTATGTGAGAAGCAACTCGAAATGGGAAATTTGAGTTCGACATGTCTTCACTGCTTGGTCAGTTCCTGCGGTCCCCGAATGTCTCATGAGGAATGGGACTGCAGAACGTGACTTTCCCACTAATTCGTAAGAACCGTAACCGTCAGGCCCAGAAATGCGCTTCTTTGGGCTCAGCTCACCTGATTTTGTGTGGCCTGAGCAGACGTGTGCCAGGTTCTTCCGGAGTATTTCATGGTGGCCTTCTGCTGGTCGTATATAGCTCACCGTACCTGCGCGCAGTGCCACTTTCGTTCTCTTCCATCTCCTCTCTTATTTCCTTAAGATTTAATACGAGAAACAAAGAAACTTCCATTGGTCGGACTCTCCATTCCACAGTACATATCTCAACTCCACGGCCTCATCTCCTCTTCGAACAGATCGCGATTTGATTCAAGAAAATCATACTCTATTTTAACGAATAAAAAAGCATTTCTGCATTCGCCACTGCTAGTAAATTTGGTCCTAGTTTGGGTCTGGGTCTGATTTATTCGACGGCTTTCAACATTGGGAAACAATAAGACTGTAACGGCGGTTACGATATACAAACAAATTTGAACCGAAAATGCCTTCTCCAACACAAGCCCGTGGCTTCTTTCGCAGCGCTGCCCGCTACCTCTCCGAACCTCATCCGTTCGCACGCAATCCTGTGACTGTGGCTTCGCACTCGGTTCCGTATGGCGTTTATGGCAAGCGGTTATTAAGGAGCTCTGCTTTGTATGTCTATTCACTCATCGCATCCAGACTTTCTTCATAGTAAATGTACTAATCCTACATCAGCTATTTCCCGACCTTCGCTGTTTTCTTCGGTTGGCCTATCGCTGGCATGTACTACTTGAAGAAAACCGGCTTGTGACTAGCCAAGGGCATCGTCATCGCCGTCGACGGAATGGGTCCTTCGGATAAACACATCTCGGGTGCTTGGGAAGTTACGAATATCGATAATTTGGAGCAGATCGAGAGAGAGAGGACTCAGTCGGATGATGCGAGGGAGATCGTGGATTTAGTTCTAGGGATGGAGTGGGATGGTTGATGATGCAAGTTTGGCGGTTGGCGATGGCGGTGTCCGCAGTGGAGTCACAGAACATGAGGAAGGCTTGGGCGATGGTTGTATGTGGGACTGACTTCGATTCTGTGTATATTTGTTCTCGCTGGTGGTTTGGGGTTGACGGGATGCACAGCGAAGGGAGTCTGGAGTCTTGCCCTGGGTGGCCATTTTTCTTTTCTTTGCACAGATCGGAAAGCATACAGTACAGCTTGAACGCATTAGATTGCACCAGCTAAGTTTCCATGAATATGTGCTGTACTCATTTCGACTAGACATTCATGTACTTGCTAATCTCTCACGTGCTCGGGGGCAACTGAGCATTCAGGTATCATCATTAAGAAATCTCACGTCCGCAAAAGGGAAGAGTAAAGAAGCCTCGCCATATATACGAAATTCCACTCTACCACCTACATCTTCATCTCTCTAATGCCTCGCAAATCTCAGTACAGTTCCATTCGAAAAAGTACTCCCAATTTCCCCGCTTCTGATATTCGAGAAGACCACCTTTGCATCTGGATACTGCTTAATCAGCTCCGCCGGCCTCCCACCCGTCACTGGGCACGGGCCGCGTCCAACGCCTGGGGTCGCTGCATCAGCATCAGCGGGATATCTCTCCTGGTCTAACCACCCCATGTACGATCCCGAATCATCCCAGATCGACAGCGCGAGAACCATGCCACGACCAAGTGCATCGCCCATAGTTTTGAGGCCACCGAGTTGCGTGAAGTGGTCTGTGCCGCCGAGCACCTTTTTGTTGGAAGCACAGTACGCGTCTGTAATGGAGCCCTCGGTGGACATGCCGGCAATGCTGACTTTGGCGTTTTGAATAATCTTGCCGTTTTGGATGTAAAGTCTACGGATCTCCTTGAGAGTTCCCGTAGCGGTGTTATCGGTCGTGTAGAATTGGGTGACAACGGTAAGTTTCTTCGATGTGTCGACTGTGTAGTTTGTGCCAACACCATAGTATCTTTTGTCACCCATGCGATATGGGTTGTTGTCACAGCCATCTTTATCGCAAACACCTTTGTACCGCGAGTCACCGTTACCGCATTCGGTGCCGGAGCAGGCGAAGACCTGATTGGCGTTGCAGGGATGGGGAGTGTAGGCGGTGGCGGCATTGTTAGCCTCCCAAATGTCCATTTCGTTGCAGCAGGCGCCGTAAGTGCCGTTCAGATTGGCCTTGAACCTCAATTAGCTAGCAATTCGCCATGTTAGGTGGGCTTACTTACTCGGCCCTTGATGAAGTTCTGCGATGGGCATTGAGCATCGCAGTATCCTGTTCCGTACTTTGCACCAGCCTTGTTAAGCTCATTCGCATCTCCCTTAGCATTCATCTCCGAGAAATACAGAGCACCATTGATGCCACATGGGACTTTCGAGACATCAACATCGAACGAGAACTCGGCATTCAGAAGCTTGAAGTGGTCGAATGTCTCATCATCTGACATCAAGTATACTCTCGGGCTTGACAAACTCGTCACGTTGGTCGCTGGATCCGTCTTGTAAATATTCAGGGTCAAGGCATCGCCGCTAGTGCGAATACCATAGCTAGCATAGTCGACACCCTCGAGGGAGCAGGTCTTCGCGCATGTCTCGATGTCAGGGCAGAAGTCCTTGTTGAAGCCGGTGGTAACACAGTTGGTGTAGCCTTCCTTGTTGTGGAGCCAACGGTAGTTGGCATCAAGAACGATCCCGCTTTTTTGAGCAACACAACCCCCTGCTTTGGTGCATTTGTAGGATGTAATGGGTGGATGAACCTCAGGTGTGAGGGGGCCGGGGACTTGGGCCCAAGTAGAAGCAGCGAAGAGAGAGGCCGTGAGAATGGACCGTTGGTACATGACTGATGGAGAGGGCTGGAATAATCCGACACAATGACGATTAAGAAACAGAGATGGCGTCGCAATGGACATGAATTAAAGGATCTTGTCTTTATATGAGAACCATGGCAAGCAATTGGCTCAACCAAGCTCGATAAGGAAAGTAATGCCCTCGACTATCGCTCAATATCATCGGGTATACTGGCCCAGACCACAAACATCTTAGGCTCATCGATGATACTAGACCTAGGGAGCTCGAGATTAACAATTCTTGTCCCCTGAGGCTCTCGAGAAACGAGTGGGGTTCACTGGAGTATGTACCTGCAGTAAGCCATCCGTGCCAAAATGCCTAGAGAGTAGATCGTCTTCGCTCAATCTTCTAGAAGATTAAACTACCAATGTGTCTTAGTGGTGAAGTTCGGGCCGGCGGACCTATGGCCGCAATGGCCCACGAAACAATATCGAAATGTTCTATGCGTCTTCTGGAAACTAAACCAAAATGGCTGATCTAATCTACGGGTGGGGTCGAGCCCTCACGGTGGTTCGAATTGACTAGGTACCAGGTTTCTGATAAATTACACCCGAAAGTTGAGACAGGAAAATGTGCGATTGGCCAACAGACGCGGTATCCTCGAAATTTCTTAAAGGACTCTATGAAGACCCAAAAGTGAGCGGTTGTCTCTGTAATGCACAGAATGCGAAAAGATAAATTGATTGAATGAGAAAGTGAAATGATGGAGGGGAAAAGAAAACGCGCTAATCCAAAAGCGGACACTAGCACCATCACTCTACGACTTTGCCTGAGGATGTGCTCATTTAAAACAGCTCTCGCTCTCTCCTGCTACCCCTCAAAATCTCCAACCTAATCAACGCGGGCTATGCGATGCACCTTAAGGGTATCTCTCGAAAGCGCAAACGCTAGTTATGTGTCTTGCATCCTCAGGCAGAGTGAAATCGAGTGGTGGGCCCAAGGACACCGTCAAAGCCTGAAAATATTCCGGGTTTATTTAATCTAGTGATGTCTCTAATTTTCCAAACTTCTTTATCCAAATATTATGATGCTCTTCCCTCCGTAGTTAGCCAAGCAGTTTCTGGGTCGAGAAATAAGCCATCCAAGCTAACTTTAACGATATCGACCTCCAAGGACAAGGTTCAGGGGATGCAACGAGCGACGTCCTAGATTGCTTTATTCGGAGTAGGTATATCACGGCGAGAGCAAATCTGGATGTTTTCCGAGTTTTGTACTTACTAGAGACCTGCATTCTTTTCCCGCGCCTTGACAGATCGACTTGAATCGTGATCACCAAAATGCCTATGCGGATCCGAAAGAACTAAGTTGAGATTCAAGTAGCTATTGCTATACACAAGAGCATACGATGACACATCTAAATTCTGCTCGATCTTGAGTTCTCGGACAAGCTGGATGAGCTTCATCTCATCATTGACGAAGGTTTCTTCGTTCTTCGTCTTGCTATGAAAGACGCACTCAGGGTCGTGAATCGAGTAATAGCACACCGCTTGAGTTCACCCCCAATCCTGTACCGGAATAGAAGGAGATGGAAATGATAAGGGGGAAGCCCGCCAGTGCGAGGGCGATACGGACAAGATTGTGTTCCAGAGAATCCGTCCCAGCTGGATGCATCGACGGTTTTTAATTCCGTAGCGTGTATGACCGCCATAGTAAGTGTACGAAACTCGAAAATCGTAGCTGTGAAAATGTGTAGCTGGATTAAATCGGCTCAGGTATATATATTTGATGAGAAATCTGAATTGGGCGAGGTCTTCGGTTTCCTGAATTCATCACCAACCATCAACCATTGGTTCGCGAGGCTATGCAAGCGCATTGCGGGACAACGTAAAGGAATTATAGAGCTGAACATGCTGCTTCCCACGGAGAGCATTTTGCAACAATGGGGCGGCGTTCAGTGTGAGGACACATTAGCGAAATCCGGACTAGAGCCTGTCACGAGAGATATAGAATTATTGAATAATTACAAGAAGTTAAGACAATTAGATCCTCAAAATACCAACTCCGGCGCAAAGAGAGTGGCCATCATTCGATTGTGATGGAACTACGGGTTATCGATGCAGAGTAACGCACAGAGTCATACCGGAGAAATATACCTCCGACTCCGAATTGCGTGCTTTGCGCTAGGGACACTTTTTGTCCTCGACAACCTGCACAAGCAATTTATGAGGGAAAATGGACCAATGGCTGCCGTCTGTCGCCCACCGCATTCCAAATCAGCCCTCGGCTTGCTCTTTCTGCCGATGTCGCTTTATCAAATCAACATCTTTTTCCTTCCCTGCTCATCACTTGTCGGGTTCCCAATTGAGGCCGCAGAGAAAAGCTGACCCGAACTCCTCCCCTTCCCATCCCTACAAAGGGTCGCCCCATTGATTCCCTTGCTTGCTCCTCGTCGTTCCCTCATCTAAAATGCATTTCCAGCAAATAGAGTCCGCCGGCCCTGGTGCCGAAGCGCAAACGTTAAAGCCGCTCAAGACCTTCACGGAGAAGTCGTCCAGTCTGCCGTTCGGACATCATCTGCCCTTGGAATCGATAAGCGGGCCTACCTATCTTACGGCCCAGACGCTCGTCCAGCAAGTTGCCTACACCCTCTCCGACAAAATCTTCTCTTACTCGGCCGAGACCTTCGATTTGGACATCGCAATAAAATACTGGACTGAGCAGAAAGAGAAGAATGCGTTTGGATATCAGACAGGGGTTTCCTCTTTGGAGGCGAGGACCGGTGCAGGATCTATTGCCCTGGGGTACATGTTCTCGAGGGACTTCGACCTCAAGAAACGCCACATTCCTCAGTCCATCATAGCGTCCTCGTCAACCCTGCACTACCTTCGACCCGTGCTGGACCAGCTCTCCCTCTTGTACTCGGTTGCAAACCCGTTGATCGCCCATATTGCGGCTGTCGATTATACCGCCGATTCTTCAGCGGGGCTGGTCTCTGACTATGTCTCCTCTCTGACACTTGCCGAGGACTTGGGCATGGGTCTTGTCTGCAGTCCGTCGGTGTTTGAGGCCCAGCACATGTCGCTCTTTGCAACCTTGCTCTCGAGCGTTCTACCTACCATCCATACGTATGACGGCATTAGCGTCGGACGAGAGACTGCTAGGCTGGTAGATACGTTAGACCAGGCCAGGCTGTACAACAGCTACCAGGCGGTTATGGAGGCAGTTTCCGAAGTGGACAAGAAACATTCGGACAACGAGGGGCGTGTCGTTCGTCTGCTTCAGGCCTTCAACGACGAGTTTGGAGAGGACTACAAGCTCTTTGACTACTATGGGCACCAGGAGCCGGAGAGTGTCCTGGTCGTTTTCGGCACTGTAGAAGCCTCACTTTCTGCTCAGGTAGCCAACGCGCTTGCAAGGGATGGCGACAAGCTGGGTGTCATCAATGTCCGCGTCTATCGACCTTTCGTGGAGGAGGCCTTCCTTGAAGTCCTCCCGAAGAGTACACAGACTATCGCTGTGCTTGGCCAAGTGAAGGACGAGGCCGCCGTCTTCGATGCAGCCGAATTTTCGAGACTCTATTCCGATGTCATAGCTGCTGTTCAATTCGCCTTCGACAGGAACATGGAAGTCATTGATATCAAATACGCGCGCGAACAAGCTTGGACACCAAGCAACATCCTCGACGTCTTTCAGCAAATCTATGGCGAGAAGACTCAGTCCGAGGAAGTCCGCTCTTACGTCGATATTCTCAACACCGCAGACGTCCGCCAATACACGTTCTGGAATCTGGACAAATCACCGGCTGCCAATGCGCCTGTCGCACTTGGAAAGCTTCTCTCCTTGGACTCAGCCAAAAATGTATTTGTTCGCTCTGGGCATGACAACCTAGTCCGCGGTGGCGCTGTGCGACACGACATTCGTAATGCTGACTACACGATTGAAGCACCCTACTCAGTCGAGCAAGCTGATGTCTCTTTCGTCGGAGACGAGACCCTTCTGCACGAGTTCGATGTGCTTAACAGTGTCAAGGCCGACAGCTCCTTGATCATTAAGCTTCCTGGTGCGAAGGATGAGGATATTGAGAAACGTCTGTCGCCCGCTCTTCGAAAGACAATTCTCAGCAAAGATGTAGAGCTTTTCGTGCTCGACCCTACTCTTTCTGAAACTCTTACAGAATACCCCACCCTTGAGACATATCTCACCCAACTGGCATTCCTGAAGATTGCCCGTGAAGACCTTTTGGTGTCTAGCCTGCCTAAATTAGCTGCAATCAATGGGAGCTCCGAGATCCTCGAAAAGCTTGCTGGAGAACTCCACACCACTCTTCGTGAGATCGATGTGCCTGTTGCATGGGGCACTGTTGACGAAGACGTTCGGCCACTTCAACTCCCATCCGATATCAACATTAACAGCTTTGCTTCCTTCGACACCATCGAACCGGAGCCGCCGTCGCTGCTTAAGTCCTGGGTAATTGCTGCCAAGGGGTTGTCATTCAAGGAAGCCTATGGTACCGAAACGGTACTCCGTCCGGATCTAGGCATTAAAACATTTGTTGCCCATGTCAAGGAGCATCGCCGCCTGACCCCACTTTCGTATGACAGAAACATCTTCCACATTGAGTTCGATCTGGGAGACTCGGGGCTCAAGTACGCCATCGGTGAGGCTTTGGGCATTCACGCTGAGAATGACAAGACCGAGGTGGAGCAGTTCATCAAGTGGTACGGCCTCAATCCTGAGGAGATTGTGGAAGTACCATCTCGTGAAGATGCTAACATCCTTGTGAACCGGACCGTCTACCAATCTCTAATCCAGAACGTGGACATCTTTGGTCGGCCACCTAAACGCTTCTATGAAGCTCTGGCTGAGTTTGCCTCTGATGAGAAGGAAAAGAAAGAGTTGTTGACCCTCGGCGGCCCTGAAGGAGCAGTCGAGTTTAAGCGTCGTGCTGAAGTGGACACAATCACCTTTGCCGATATCCTGCTTGAATTCCCATCCGCGCACCCCTCCTTCCATGACATCGTTCGCATTGTTAGCCCGATGAAACGCCGAGAGTACTCAATTGCTTCGTCACAGCACGTCACGCCTAACTCTGTTTCCCTCCTTATCGTTACTGTGAACTGGGTTGACCCCCAGGGCCGCGATCGCTTCGGTCAAGCTACACGCTACCTTAACGGCCTGAATGTTGGCGCTCCAGTCACCGTCTCGGTCAAGCCATCTGTCATGAAGCTACCGCCCAAAACCACTGCCCCTATCATCATGGCAGGTCTCGGCACTGGTCTCGCCCCATTCCGTGCCTTTGTTCAGGAAAGAGCCTTCCAAAAACAGCAAGGTCACGACATTGGCGAGGTCCTTTTATATATGGGCTCTCGCCACCAACGCGAAGAGTACCTCTACGGCGAGGAATGGGAAGCTTATCAAGACGCCGGGATCATCACATTACTCGGCCGCGCCTTCTCGCGTGATCAGCCACAGAAGATCTACATTCAAGATCGCATGCGACAAACTCTCTCAGATATCCGGAAAGCGTACTTGCGAAATGAGGGAAGCTTCTATCTCTGCGGTCCAACGTGGCCAGTGCCGGATGTTACGGAGGTGCTGCAGGAGGCGGTCGAGGTGGAGTACTTGGCAAAACATGGCAGGGGTGGTAGGAAGGTAGATAGTAGGAGGGAGATTGAGACCCTCAAGGAGGCACAGAGGTATGTGCTTGAGGTCTATTAAGTGGAGTTCCGGGCCGCGATATGCAAACACAAGATTTTAGTGTACATAGGCCTGATTTCAATATCAATCCGTGAAGTAGCCTATCAACATGATAATCAATCCTTACAAAGCTGAGTTCGTTGCCAATGCCTTGCCACCAAGGACTCTATCGTGACCAGACTTGAGCGAAGTCGGGGGAATCGTGGAGGAGTGATATGGCGAGATCGTGCCAGAAGCTTTTGTCGATTAGCGCGGTCCACCCATAGGCACTTGCATGAACGTGGAACTCGGGGCCAGGTGTTTGTTCAACTTTCATGGCAAGGCGTTTCATAGTATAGCTGTTGATTAGTGGGTTATTTAGGTCGCGTGTCTGTAGCTTTCATAGTTTGTGATCTGTTCACAGGTAGTTCTATGAGACTTCATCACCGCGAGAAGGCTTTGTGATGAAAAAGATGCTAGATAGCCTTGTTTTCTTTCAAGGTATACCTTTAGTCCTTTTCTACGTTTTGAACGCTTTCGTCAATGCCCATAGGCATTGGTGTCGCACATGACAATTCTTGGGGTCGTGCTTACCTCTATCAATGCAAGTTTCCAGCAAATAGTACCATTAACCGCCAATAAGGGATATCAACGCATTTTAGACCTTAGCCCCTCTAAGTTAGAAGTCCTTTCAGTAAGTGGGCCCACTCTGTGCGATAGACAAGCCCATTGTGATGCTGGTGTGCTCAGATCTTCCCAATGAGCCAAAATCTATCACGGATACCCCTATCACACCTCAACCATGATGCATCACACCGCCAGATCCAATTTCCCATGTCTTTCACGCCCTTCCACCGCCTTATTGTTTTGCTTAATATCCTCCGCTAAATTTTGCTCCGAAAACCTATAAGGCTGCGTCCTCCTCACCTTCCTAACTAATCCTATCCTCAACGGTGCTTAGCAATACCACTCAGGTTTGAACCAGGTGGAGTAATTCACTGTTTAAGTGACTCTGTATGGCATTGGAGGCTGATTCACCACTTGTTCTGATCACTCCCGCCGTCTACTGTGCTTCGGGCTTGGCCTACTGTATTAGGCCAGGTAGAAGGTAATATGCATATAAGGAAAACTTATGAAAGTCGCTGTTGGGATTTGTGTTCTCTTTCTTCCTCATTTTGCTGGCAATAACCGGTAGTGTTGGCATATTGCTAGTTAATAAGCTGCTGTAGGTATTTACCACCTCTATCCTCATCGCTTCGCTGATTATAATCTAATTTCGGCTTGCACTTGGCTTGAATACGAAGTCTAAGCCGCTTGCAACTTGGTCTTAGAGTCCGAGAGAAGGTGTTATGTGTTTGGATGCGGGCACCATTGTCGCCAGCGATGGACCGGCCGATCATCCAAGCTCGAGTTTCTTTTCATTCTGTCTCAAGCTTGTCTGGGTGCTCGAGGAAGAAGTCTTCATCGCTAGTAGCGGGTGAGTTGCTATCTTGTGTGGGTACCATGAAGGAGACGTTGCGCTCCGGACCTAGGGCGATGGTGTTGTGGTCGCGCTAGTCACCCGTAGTATTTTCCACTGTGGCGCTGGGTTTGTATCATAAGTTCACCCATTTCTTTTCGGATTCGTCAATCATTCGTCAATCAAATGAATTTAACGACCACAACAGCTATCCAAATCCTTCCATTCCACTTCCTCTCACCTCCCGGCAGGGCTTTCAGCATCTGTACTCCTAGATCCTCCTCGCCGGGTTTGGCTGGGTAAGCTTGGTTCCCCCGACCATCTCAAATCAGCAGCGCATTATTGTATGCTCTTCACCTTTCGTCTCTTTCGAAGCATTCTGCTGCTCGTTTCATTGAGACTCACCTATTTTTCCATAGCTATTGGGGCTTTCACGGCCATATCCGTCTCCAAATATCTAATCCCTCTCAAAATCGTCCCCCTGACGTGTCCACCCGACGGAGTGGAATTGACGCCTTTGTAGAAATTGTCTTGTTGCGTAGCGTTTGGAATGAGGTCCTTAATGTCGTCAGACTACCTGCTATTAGGTGGTGAGTAGGAATGTATCTTTTCTACCCCCGATGGATTTACTGAGGCGAGGGAGCTTTATCGGGGTATCATCTGAACGCAATTGGTATGGAATTTAAACTCTCGCGCTTTGAGCGGTTTCCGGGGTATGTATCTTAAAGAAACGACCTGAGGCTTGGTTGAACAATAGTGCGGCATGGTTACATAAGGCTGAACCCTGTTGTTAGTGACTGTCTGTATGGATTAGACGCATCCCTACCCATCAGCATTACTTTTTCTTCTCAAAGGTTCGTTTTACTAGAAATTTATGGTCGCAGGGCAAGACTCCAGCAGCTATCACGCCATGGAGGCCACCACTGGCATACGGTTCGTCACTTTAGTAGCCATCACAGAGCCGGAAATTTTAAAAACAAATCAAGTGGTTCTAGTAGGGAATGAGGGAAATAGGTGAAGAATATGAACAAGAAATACAAAACCCCAACACACGTTTTAATCTAGAGACCTATGTGCATGAAGAATGTGCCTGCGCACATGTAACCAGCAATCCCGAAAAAGCCCCAGGCCCAAGGATATGGATGAATCCAGTCTTGACAACTTTTGGCACGAAAGTCTGAAATCAAAGGAATCAACCGTCATCCCACCGGTCAGGGAGACAACGATAGAGGAAAATTATGGCTGCCGCCACTCTCACGCATGAATCCACTACACACCGTAATGGAAGCCCCCTTGGCATTCAAGAGAGCTACTCAAGGTTCATCGGGTTTCTTGCCGTACCCCTGCGCATAAGATCAGTACGTATCTTGACACTCCCGAGCAGTCATCCAACCTACATGTTCTTCATACGCTTACGTTCAAGCACCTGCAACTTCAACTCTGCCCGCTTCTCCTTCGCCTCAGCAACCTCCAGCTGCGCCTTCAGAAACTCATCGTCGTCATCTACAGGTTCACCGAAGCCCATCTTGCCGTTAGAGTAAGTATTCTGGATAGGAGGAATACCAGTCTTAATATATGTGTCTGGAGTAGGAAATTTTTGATTCACGTGGTCTTGGCTGAGAGAAGAGCTACGAAACTCGGGCTTGATGTCTAACTTTCCAGGGGGGTGTTGGACAAGTAGAAGGGGGCTTGAAGGGAGCTCATATGGAGAAGACTGGACCTGGAGACGACTCATGGAACGGGTGGATGATGATGGTGATGGTGGTGATGATGATGATGAGAGGCCGTTTTGAGGTTGTAAAGTATACGGGTACTCTTGGTGCTGCTGCTGGTGCTGCTGAGGCTGATGATATTGATGCGGAGTTGTATGGTCTCGATGAGAGGAACTGCGACGCCTCTCGCTAGAAGTATTGAAGCTCTGAGGGGGAGTGACTTGGTAGTTTCCCTGGAGATGAGCTCGACCGTATGGATTGATGTACTGCGTGGGCTGATACTGGAGTTGAGGAAGAGGCTGCTGACCCAGAGCTTGCATCTGTTGGAGGTTCGGCTGGAATGCTGACAGCTCGTGGAAACCAATCGAATCGTCATCATTGAAGGAGTCACCATCTTCAATCTTCTCGGCATCTTCGGCGTCGTCACTAGCATCAACCAGTTCTTGATCTTGACCATCACCCTCCTCCTCTAAGTCGAAAGATCGACCTCCCGTGAGGTGCTTGTAACGGACACTGAAGCTCTGTGGGATAGTCCAGCCCTTTTCGATGACATCTTCAATGACATCAAAGTCAGTGGTTACAAGTTGCGGTTTCAAGTTGCCAGTATGCTTAATGCGATATTCCACCGCTTCATTCATTAACCTCCGAAGCCTAATCTTATCGCCACACTTCTGCGCAACCATGAGTACAGCCTTGAGCACGGCTGGCTGCCAGTACTTGGGATCATTCTGGGGGTAGCGTTGAGTGTCCTTACGTTTTGGGCCAGGAGGTCGTTTTACTAGCGGACGCCGAACCTTCGGGACATATTGACGGATGAAGTTTGTTCCCCAGAACTTCTCAATTTCTCTAATCACACCTTTCTTCGCCTCTAGGTCGTTCTTTTTGATTGGAGTGTTCTTGTAGGACTTCGACCCCGGCTTTGGGCCTGGCTTCTTGCGGGCCTTCTGGACCGGTTCAACTTTCTCCAGCTTAGGGCTAGAGCAAGTGCGTCCAAGAATGTTGTCTTGAGAGCTATGCCGTAAATTATAACCACTAGAAGCTGGCGGCATGACGTTGATGTTGTTCGGGTCTCCATTTTTAAGAAGCTGGTCGGAAATGGAGGTGTCTCCGATATCACTCATATTCATCTACTGAGGTGTTAGTGGAGGCCTCCATGTGTGACTGGTGAGAAACCTCCGTATTGGGGATTGGAATGGACGAGCCCGGATCTAGTGCCAACGTTAGGCTCAGCAGAGTTGGAGCTTCGTTGATAGTCCACGTTTGATGCTCCAAGCTCTGGAGTTGGGAGGCGTTCGAGGCGTTCTGGTGAGTACCAGGCTCCTCGGCGGTTGGCAAAAGATTCCGCAATCCTGAATGTCGGAAGGTCATCAAAGCCTGCCAGGTTAGCAAGAACCAGCGTGGCATATAAATATGGTGTTTGCTGAACGAAGGTAGTGGCCAGTTGCGTTGTTGGTGAGCGCGACAGCAAAGCTTGATTCAAGGTTAAAAGTAGGTAGAGGGGCGGTGAGAGAAAATTGAAGCAATGTCTTGCACCCCGAGGCCATAGAAGTGTAGAGAGGAGACTAGGGAAAGGCTGGCGAAGTAATAGTTGAAATACTTATCGTGGCCAAATCTAGGAGGCCTGAGAGGGGGAGAACAAAACCCACGTGGTTGTAGAGAGACGGAGGGTGACAGGCAGGTGATATGGCGGGGCGAATGAGAAGTCTAGTAGCAGTAGTAACTTAGTGAATGTGTTCTGTTTTCCGAGCAACAACACTATTAGCTATGAGAACTATCGCCCTTGATTGATGAAGAATACCGCGTAGGATATTGGCATTTGGGAATTCACACTAAACAGCTCTTCATCAACAGATTACCTGGAAATCTACTGCGGCTATGTCTCGAGGCTGTCTCACCTGTGGATTGAAGCCATGCCATCACCAACTGTCCTTCTAGAGGCTTCTAGATAATTACGCCCGGAATTCCATTCGGAGAAGAATTTTCTCGGAAACCGTTTCGAAATGTTCACTTCTAATTGTGAGACTTTCAAAGACACCTGAAATTACGTTTTCTTTCGGCAGCAGAATTACTTTTATCTCAGCACTAAGAAATGTCACCCACAGAAATATATTAAGTATTCTACGTCCAAATACATTTAATTTGGCTTTGCTGTAACTCAACGTCGCGCAGGACCATATAAATACTAGTACGATAAAATCCGTTCATGCCTGGAGGAGAGTACATATACAGAACATACTGTTGACAAATACGGAGATGCGAGGAGTTGTTATAAGATATTAAAGAGGCGTAAACAACGGGAAACGAAGCACTACATCTTATGAGACAATTTGGTAAGTGCAGAACTTCACCCTAATCCTAGCTCTTGCACAATCCAAGAAGTTTCCTCTTTGATCCAGTCCGATCTTTTCCTACGGATCAGTTCTGCAGGAGCGTTCGCGAACCTAAGAACTGTTCTATTCCGTGGGAGGCGAGTGACAATAGGCGCCTTCCCAAGCCGTTCTCAGGTGTCCTTTTTGAGACACGAGCCAGGACTTTATTAGCGGGTCTCCCCGTGAGAACGAGATTGATCTTAGGCAGGAAGAACGGAGGTGGTAAAGACTCATATATTGCGGACTCTGTGAGCACAGAATCTTCTCGCCGCGGTTGTTTCATCACGTCCTTCGGGATCTTGTTGACCGCCTGTACTGCTCTTGCGACGACTGAATCATCTAGAGTTTGTTGCTGAAATCGTTCGTCTTGGACTCCCAACGTCTTCGCACTGTTCAATCAGCACTCGTATCATTTTGTACCCAGTATCAGCGTGTCAATAAAGATACTACTGAGCTTTTTTCTTTAAGGTGTGACGTTAGGAATAGGTATTCCTCATATTGGGGTGGTCGATACTAATTTCCGTGTGCATTCGAGTCGCCACGATGCGTGGCAGAGATTAGGGATTCAGTGCGGCAGATATTGCATCTTATCACCAAATGTGGAACATGACAGGGGTGCAATTCAGGACAGGAATTGGCAACCTGTTGAGTTTCTTTTGGAATCCAGCAAGAGGATTAAAAGATAAACCCGACTCTGGTCATGCTCCACGTTAGGTGTCAAGGTGTAATAAATGGAATGTGCTAAGACGGTGATCCGGGCCCAGTAGCTATTCCAAGATTACCTACAAAAACGACTAGAACGGCAGCATATCTAGGGACGGATCAGCGAATGCCGATGGATCGTGGCAGTGTGTACCTACGCTGCCGTGGCCGCATATATATCCACTTTCCTCGCATTTGTCAGTAGCCCCACGCTGCCCGCGAACATAGTCGTAAAAGCTGCAAGCAAGCCGATCATGTTGGATGGCTTCTTAACGAAGTATAAACTCGTGATGGCCCCGACAAGCAAGGCAGCAGCAAGCAGGACGCTCGTGAACGACACAATGTGCTTTATGGTAGTCTCGGGGAAGTAGTACATGCCTTCCCAGTCGAGCGGATAATCTTTGTTTGTCTTTCGGTGTCGGAAAAGGTAGCCCAGGTAGTTTTGCAAGAACATGGTCAACCGATCCTGGTCAGCCGGGGTACGGAGAGCCACGGTATCGTACTTTGCTTTTCCGTTGAACATGTCTTTGGAGTGGCCGACGAGCGGCTTGTTCAAGTCAAACCAGCCTGTCACAGCGCCTCGGACTCGCGGGTTTGGATTCTCCAGGTTCAGGAGTGTGCTCTGGCGGATCAGAGCGTCCTCTGCACATGATCAGCAATTGAGGTATGTGCTCGCAGGTTTGATGCTCAACAGACGGTACTCTGCCATGCGTTCACGAATCTCTCGGATTAGGCGCATTCGCTCGCGTTCTTTTTCCTCGCCCTGCTCCGCTTTTTCCCTGAAGATTTCCCAGCACCTGGCATTCAATTTGACCTCCATCCATCCCCCCCCGTCTTCTTCGGCATTAGCAATCTCCAAGTCCTCGGCATCGAAGTCATTTAACCTCGTCTCCAAGTCTAGGATCTCGGCCTGCAGGTACAGCAGGTTGCGCGAGGCGAGGCGGTTGAAACGGCGGTAGACCTGCAGGTCGGGGTCGGAGGCAAGAAGCGCAGAGAGGCTGGGGAATCCCTCGAGATATCGCCTTGCGGTATCTGGGGCTTGTTCAATGTCGCTGCTGCTGTTTTGGGCTAGTTTCGACACCTGCGTGAAGGGTTTTGGGAGTCGCGGCGCGGACATCTCAGGAGCACAAAGGCGCAATCAGACAGCACGTGAAAATAAGCAGGTCGGCGAGTCCCACACATTGGCAGAAGAGCAATGAATAGAGTTTTTCTACTACACCTGAAGGATGCGGGGAAGTGCTGAGGCGGAGGTCACGACTCCAAATTTAGAGGAACCCTGCCAATGGCAAGCTCCATAACCCCTGCCGGTGGTTTCAGAGTATCGCCCCGCAACCACACAGCCCGCCCGCGCCGCAGCAAATAGATAAGGTACGCTGTTGCTCTGTGTCTTCATGCTCACTTCTCACCGTCAATCCTCTGTCTGAATTTACTTTACCAAATAATGTCCTGCATCTTCAAGTCGTGCTTTGGGGGATGGCGATTCCCCAAGAGCGACGGCTATGGAGCCAGGGATAGCAAGTTAATGTCTCGACGCGTGCTCGTAAGAAATTCAATGGAAAAGGAGAACGAGTCATTCTCATGCCATCGGAGCTTTGCGAGGACCTCAACAGCTTATAGCAATGAGAAATCTGCCTTGAACGAGCATAACAGTCCTATGGACGACTGCGACGAAGATGCTGAGGAACGTTCCACGTACATATCCGAGAAGCATTTTGAAGCTGGCCCCGACGGGGCTCAGGTGGCTGAGGAAATGCTCACTCAGGAGAGACGCTTGACAAGGAAGAGTGTTCTGTTCAGACCAGGGAAGAAGAACTCTGGGAAGGGTGAGTAGCCACCACCTCGTCCTTTCCCCACCCAATCTAATACATGTAAGGCTCTCCCACTCCTCTTTCTCCACATAATACTGGCGATGAGCTCCATCGCCGAGCGCAATTTGCAATGGCAGTCAAGAGAATGGACGAAGAGAACGCAGAGCGAGCATGGGCGGCCGAACAAAAGCGACGCAACCAGTGGAAGAACGACAGGAAGAACACGAAGAAGAATTAACATGCTCATAAACATTATAACCTGGGAATGGTGTACAGGAGCTCTTGGATCGCATTTTGGATACCACAATAAACTCTCTCGTCGGCCTACAGCGGATTCTCCTCTTAGCAATGCATTCAGCTGTGTCTGTTCTCAAATAAAATTATTTTCCCTGTGTTTCCACCACTTATCTTTCTACTCAAATACCCAGATTTACTGCATCTTCTATCTATGGTGGAACATGATCAGGGGAAAGTATCAATGAAACCTCTTGCTAGAATTGGGGAGAACCTTAAAAGATTCAAATCTCTATCCTGAATTACCTCTGTCGTGTCCTACGAGGTGACAAGATACAGTGTGACTTGCACGTGACCTCACATGTATCCCCATCCTCATATGTTCGATCAAGCTTCCCACCAAGGATCACCAGAATATTCCCAGGGCCATGGGCCTTCCTCGCTTGCATTCCTCTGACTTCTTGAGATATTCGCGCAACTCTGCCTCATGGAACACCATAGGGCCTAATTTTCTCGCATTCCTCGCTCTGAGATTCGGTTCCGGCACAGCCCACTGGGTCAACGAGGGCTAGATCATTGGCCACCCCAGACAGTACACCGACGAGGCTCAATTCATTTCTCAACCAGACCAACGGCCCAATCGCATCTTCGCGGAATAGGTGTATAATTCTCGTATAGATTCGTAGGTAACGACTAACGAGGTATGAACTCCTCCAAAGCATGGTGTATAAAGTATGAAGAATTGCAGCTATATTCATGTCTTGAGCTTTCGCTAGATCAAGGCGCCCCGCCTCCTACAGCACCATGCGTTACTTAGATGCTTTCGTATCGTATCTTTCCTCCACATCTGTTCTCGTCACAAGATATCCGGATGATTGTAAATGCGTGAGTATTACACATCAGTTTTCCGTCAAGAACTAGCGCTAATACTGTTGAGACTCCTGATGCTACTTGTTGGCCTTCACCGATAGAATGGTCTGCTCTCAACACGACTCTCAATGGCCATTTGATTCAGGCTGTACCCCCTGGCTCCGTCTGCTACCCATCCCAGCCAAATTATAACGAAGCTCAATGCGAAGCCGTTCGCTCGCAATGGTTCAACTCCACATGGCATGCCGAGAATCCTATCAGTATCGACTATCCCATCTGGGCTAACAACTCGTGCAATCCAATTTACCCAAATGGTACCAGCTTGACCGGAGATGTACATGCTGGAAAGAAAGGTTGCTCTATTGGAAATTATCCTGTGTACGTCGTAAATGCTACGAGGGCTGAGTATGTGAGCAAAGCCTTCAAATGGGCAGAAGTGAAGAATGTGAGGGTTGTAGTGAAGAGCACAGGACATTCGTTCCCGGGAAGGTATATATTCATTCAGAGCTCCGCAAGCTTGTGTGCTAACAAATTCCTAGAAGCACTGGCTACGGCAGTTTATCGTAAGCATTTAACATTTTATATTTGGAGAAGAGTCGCAACTCACAAGGTCCAGTATTTGGACCCATAACTTCCGTGGCATCGAATACTTTGAGTCCTTCAAACCAACATCTTGCCCCGTCAACGGCACTCTAATGGCTGCTCGCATCGCTGCCGGCCAAACAGGAGTCGAAGTCCAAGCTGAAATGGCCAAACACAGGGCCATCGTTGTTACGGGCGCAAATCCAGACGTTGGTGTTGTTGGCTGGCTAACCGGTGGTGGTCATGGCATGCTCTCCACTACATACGGGATGGGCGCAGACAATCTCCTTGAAGTCACCATCGTGACACCAGACGGGAGAATACTTGTAGCCAATCCCTGTCAAAATCCGGAAATCTTCTTCGCTATTCGTGGCGGTGGTGGTGGAACATTTGGTGTCGTGCTTGAAGTCGTCGTGAGAGCGTACCCAACGCCAAAGACTACAGTAAATACCCTTTATGTCGGATCACTCAACCCAAATATCACAACCGAGTACTGGGACATGATTGGATTCATCCACGCTGAGATGCCAAAGCTTAAGGAGGGAGGAATGCAAGGGTACTATTTCATCGTTGGACCGCCTTCTGTCCCTACACTCTCGTTCATATGGGTCTTCTATCTTTACGATAAACCGGTTGGCACAGTGGAGAAATTGATTTCCCCGATTGACAAGTATCTCAAAGAGAGGCCTGCAATATTTGCATACCAATCAAACATTACAACAACGCCGACATACTGGGATTCCTGGAGCACAGCATTCTCGGACGAAGACGTAGCGACTGGGGGTGCGGCATTCGGCTCACGACTATTGAGTCCGAAATCGCTATCGAATCCCAGCATCACAGCGAGGGTATTCGCGCAAATCGGACCCAGTGTCGACCTTAAGAAGCCTAATGTAATTCGCCTCCACCACTTCCTTTTCTACGCTTGATAAAACTAACGAATCAGGGTGTGTTCGCCAGCCCTATCCTGCTTGGCCATATGATTGCATCGCCTAAGCCCCCTGATTACTACCCGGAGGTCATCTCCATGCATCCCGCATGGCGCAACACGCTCGTGCATCTCATCGCCGTCGAAGGCTGGCTTGATGGAATCGCGCAGTCTCGAATCAAGGCTGTCTACGACGATATTACGTACAATAAGACCGAGCCATTGCGCAAACTATCCCCGGATACAGGTGCGTATTTCAACGAATGCGATGCCTTTGAACCAGAGTGGCAGCAAGCGTTTTTTGGTGATAATTATGCGAGGTTGAGAAAGATCAAAGGGAAATATGATCCGAATGGGATTCTTTGGTGTCGACGCTGTGTAGGAAGTGAAGATTGGATTGAGCAGAGAAATGGAAGATTATGTCGTGCGGGCCATAATTATCAGCGCAGAGATGCTAATACGGAGGTTGATGGAACGGCGGGAACTTAGCAGAAGAGGAATCTCTTGGGTGACCTCGGATCTAACTAATGTCAGAGAAGATGGGTATGACGGTCAGATCGCCTACTAGCCAGCTAGCCAGAAAAGAAAGAAGCATCTTAAAAACAGTGCGTATTAAGGGGTTGAGTTAGATGAATTGTGTCGCCATATCTTCCAAAATGTCGTGTGCCCATTCTGCGGATTTTTTTTTTTGCAGTTACGGAGCTCTCAAAGCTCTAGTCATTTGTCACTACTTTCATCCTGCTACTACCTAAGCTAGAGATAGCTTTAGGTCACATGACAGGTTCACCTAGTACTATATAAACCCGTAGTTACCCCCCTTTAGCAATCAATCCAGTTCCTCATGCCTCTGGTGCTCCTCCAAGCTTCACACATTTTCTTTTATCCGACAAGATCAACTTTGATAGTCGATATCAGTTGAAGCACTTGTAACTTCACCTCTTCGCTCTGCAGCCCCTATAACATCCCCGTCCTCCTTTCGCCTCTCTTCTTTCTTTCGCTATAGTAGTGCCTTATTTAACTGCCCCTTCGGATGAAAGGACGACCTTGACTTCTGTAGCTCCGGTTCTGGAACTGGAGGCAGTGGCGTAGGAGTGCGCCCGATGAGCTGTCTGGGATATTCTGGCCTCCATGGCTGGACAGATGGCAGCCCTCCGGACTACCTGGGCACAGAAACGAGCTGTCAGGCAGGCTTGTACTTGGGTGTCGGACTAGCTGCTCCTTCATGAAAGCTTCATACTTTTCTGCCTCTCACCGTAGTTTGCCGCGGAAGCTTTTAGTGGACCTTTTAGTCCTCTTCTTCTTTACGTCTTCTATATCTTCTTGCTCTCTCGTTGCCTTACATCTTCACGTTTTCCTCATCAGCCCATCTCTCCTTCTCTTTCTCCTGACCCAACATCCGCACACATCTAGCTTCCTCGGATTTCTTCGTAACCTCCTGACTGATCTTGTAAACTACCCGCCAGTTTTACTTGGCTTTAGCCTCCTCCAACCTCGCCAGTTCCATCTCCAATACCTTCTCTAAGGGTTTCAAATTCTTGGGCACGATCGAACCTGTATTACATGGAGCTAGTGTTTGTCTTCGGATCGAGCCTGTCGAGAGTGCTGTGCTTCCTCTTCTTCCTTCTTTTGTTGGGATTCGCGCACGCGCTACCCCCCTTCATGTTCCCAAGCGTTTCTCAATCCGGTGGTGCACTTATTCGAGCTCGCGAGAACTTCAAGACGTTCTTTTGCCCTCTTCATTTGGACAACCTTATTCATGAGTTACTTTTTTTGACCTGAATCGGGACTTCTAGTATCCAATTCCTCGTATTCGTCTGTTTTCCTACTGACGAAACGCCTTCAGCGGAACCTTCTTCTTTACAAGTACCTCCTTCTGAATCCACGGTAATTCAAGCAGATTATGTCTATTGGTTACAATCTCGCGCCCCCTCCATACCACGTTGCTGTGACATGTCTCAAACCCTCCATTTGCGCGCTACTTGATTCTTGTTGCGTTCCACATGAAATCTCGCTTGATATGCTCGTAGGATCAGAATCTTCGATATCTCCAGCCTTGCAAGTGGCATGAGTTATGGAGGAAGTGATGTATTGCGGGACGCCAAGCCTAGAGTTGATTGGGAAGGACATCGTAGAGCCCTCGGGTTTACAGTATCTCTCTGGGATATGGGCTGCAGTTACAAGGGAGGGGATGGATGACAGCTAGGGATAGTGTAGATTAGTGAGGAGAATCTAGATTGGAAGGAGAGGGGGAAAGCCCTCGGTAATCATAGAATTCTGATTACAAACGATCAGTCGATATCTACACTAACGGGGACTAAATATGTCATAAATCGGTTGAGGTCGATAATGGCACTAGGTCTCTGAACTCACATCAACAGGCACGACCTTCGGCTTCTTGGCCACCTACTCGTGAACTACGGCATCATCTTCACCACCGACCCTGGCACGCTTTCGCGGCTCATTGCTAACCCCAGATTAGAAAGCTCTTATTGGACCGATTGAGCACGTGGGTGGAACTTAGGGAGCTAGACCCTACAGAGAAGACGCAAGGGTTATTTACAAGGGCTTTGCACGTGTTTGGTTGCACCATTTGGCCACCCTTCAAATTTGGAGAGATTAGAATGCAGGGTAAGCTGGCCCATAGGGATTCCGGCCACATATAGATTCCGACTATTCCACCAAAAACGCGTACCTGCCAACCAACGCAATTTCCACCAGCAATATCCACTAAAAATGAATCCCAGGGAAACTGCTATAAAGAAAGCTGTCTATGGATATACTGGTCTTTTTACAAGCCAGAGAGCCGCAGCTAAGGCTTATGCCCTCGTCCATCTCGCTCTTATTTTCATTAGCCATTCAAAGTAGGGCTGCGTGCTTAAAATTGACACGGGGTGTTTTGAGCAGCGCCCGAAGACCTAAAGGTAAGGTTGTACCTGTACTTAGGGGATCACCAGTTGATGGATATGGCTTCATTAGTGGGCAGCCTGAGGTAAACAATGAAAGAAGTCAGGTTTCAATGAACCTTTAGATTGCCTAAATGGCCAACCGTAGATGTGCAATTCTTGAAACAGAACTGCTTATAGCTAACCTCGGGAAATAGGAAACGACAATAAAGAGAAGGGAAAAAGGTGGCGAAAGTGCATATAGCCTATTTGCTCATCCCTTTAAGGACGTGGTGTCAGAAAGACGACACTAGAATAGAAGAAATATCTGTGATGTGAGTCAGATTATCGCTCGGCCAGTCGCTCGGCCTATTGCGTGCACGGCGCCCGCGTTGAAAGCAATCCCAAAGTACCTAAACATCAGAGCAAAGAGCTGCCTATAATGTTGGAGAAGGACAGGGTACAAGCGGAGTTCCAAGCAGTCAAGGTAACTTAATGGAATAATAAAGATGTCGGAATAAAGTATGGACGCCCAATACCTGAATAGCAATTTACACTTTAAAAAAGCCTTCTTTCTGCTGCATCCGTCGAACTGCCTCTGGCGAGGCCAGCGTAATGGTCATGGAGACTCCGATGACAAAGCTCAAGAGGGCGACCAGAACAAGGTGAGCCGCTGATATCGTATTCATTGTCCTCGGGGCCTTCGGTGCATACGGTCCGACCATTTTCTTCAGTGGGGCGACCTTGTGTTTGTGCGCATACTCATAGCCTCTTTTCATTCCGGGAAGGCCGTCAATGCTGAGCTGAGATTTATATGCCCAGTACCTACCCGTCATCAGTCTGCAAATACCAGGAAAATTAGCCAGCGTTCGCTTCGTACTTATCTATACTCTCCTCCACCTTCCCATTCAGATACGCCTTCTCCTTCTTCTCGAAGAAATCATTCAACGTGTTCCTCCATCCTCTGAAGTCATAATATGGGACTGAAAATCCGCAGCTGGTAGCAACCTGATGGATATCCACAATGATGATGCTTCTGGATCCTGGAATCGTCTTGACGCTATTGAGCTTCACAAACTCGTCAAATTCCCGGGATCCATTCTCCAGCACGATTCCCCTTCCCCAAATGCGGACAATTCGGGGTGGACCGTCGAAAGCCATGAACATGACACATATACGCCCATTGCCTGGTTCATGGAGATGAGAAGTCGTTTCCACGCCCGAACCAGTCAAATCCATGAACCAGAAGGTCCGCTCATCGATGATACTAAAGTACTGGCCTCCCTTAGGTGAGATGTTGATGTGACCATCGCCTGAGAGCGGGGCTGAGCCAACCCAGAACAGCTTTTGGTCGAGAATCCATGGCTTGAGAGAACTTGGAATCGTTTCGTAGAAGACGCCCATGATAGCTGACGTGTAGCAACTTTTAGAGCTAAAAATACCAAGGGAGTAGGGAACGAGGTACAAAGGGGATGGGAGATCGATCATCGATGAGTTGAATAGATGGATAAACTCCAAAGTTTGATGTTCGGAGACTTCCTAGTCGTGATTCATTGCTTCCATTTCCGATCTAGCAGCCATGTGCACCCGAGATCGGAGCTACATAGCTCACCCCGTCTCTCGTACCTGTGAGCCAAGTCTTGAACTATTCAAGGCACACGAGCTGGGAGTTGGCAGGCACGTGATACATTCAAATGAGAACTTGAAAGCGACAGCGTTGGATTTCTCGGCGGAATGGCGCTGCAGGGCGTTTGGAGGGAGTCATTCCTCTTTACGTAGCACCATTCAGATCACACATTGAGTTGGAGGGGTATTGGGATTGGGGAACATTGTGTGTATTTGGTTTTAAACCTCCAGACAAGCGGATATAATATAACACGCCAGTAACAGAGATTTTGAAAGATTGAGTGTAGACAAAGACGCGGCGGCAATCCCAAGAGCGAGTAGTTTAAGAAGAGCGAGACTACGGTTGCCAAGCCAAGAGAATCAAGCACGTTCCCTCATATAAATCTATCAATGAAGCGCTATCTAAGTCCATATCTTATCAGAAGGGACCGTCTGTCTGGGTATGTGCATGTACAAAAAGAAACCCCAACATTGACCGCAAATGTGACCTCACATGCCGACTGCCGGTCGTGCCGTTGCCGATCGTGAACGGTCCTGAGGTGCCGCCGCCGGTGCCTCATTGCCAATCAGTCAGGTTGATTATAAAACACTAAATGAATGCCGATGCTACCGCGCAGAGTCAGGAGTGTATTTAAAGACTGTACCGCCCAGCCGCCCCTCTTTATCTTTCGCTCCAAGAGCATACCTCCCAAATGCGACCAAGGAACGCCCTGACTCCAAAGACAGACGATCGGACGGGCATACGAATAGCAACGCTAAGTATAGCCCACCCCAACCTCACCCGGAAACGAAGCCCAGAAATCCTGCGTTGCGTTCATCATCATTGCCTCCATATCGGCGTTCGAGAAATCGAAGTCAAGATCAAAGGTTTCCTCTGTCTCTAGGGTTGGGATAGAAGCTTGGAATGAGTTTGCATAACAATTCGGAGTCGAGGTTGGTGGGGATATCATCGGCCGAGGTGGCACATTTTGGGGATGCTGTTGGAGGTCAGCGATGCTCATTCGATTCGGCATGACATGACTGTCTCGAACAATTGTGGCGTCGGGCTTGGAGTCGACAGGCTTCTGGACGGGAGACGGCTGCAATGCGCCATAGTCAATCATTGCACGTCGAAGGGCCTGTCGCTCATCAGGCGAGACTGGACCATCCTCCGCATGCACGGTACGGTAATAAACCTGCATGCGCTTGATGGTCTCAAACTGTACAAAGTAAGCGATCCAGCAAAAGATGCAAGAGCAGGAACTTACCCATGTCTCTGCCATCGGCCACTGGGTCTTCATCTCTTTTAGAAAGACGCAGCCCTGAACAACGCGCTCTCGAGCCTTTTCGGCGATGCTCGGGTCGTCGTCACCGCTCGGAAAGTTGAAGCTGTAGAGCATCACGCCCACCGCCGTGTAAATGGTGAAGCCGATCCACGGCACTAGGCCGCGGAGGAAGTAGACGCCAAAGGTCCGCATCTCCTCGAGCATGTCCAGAACCATGGTCGATTCCTTAAACAGCTCCATGCGAGACGTCTTCTGCCAGCTCTTCCACATGTCCGTATGCTCATTGTACGATCGCGGTGCCTCATCGGTGCCGTTCTGCGGGCCCAGAACTGGCAGATAGGCGCGATGCATGAACATGTATGACATGAAATAGATAGAATGCATGTAGCAGTACGCTTGTCCCTGGTCAACGGCGTTGTGCGAGTGCAATGAGAACAAGTCGTACTGCAGGCGCGGGGGTAGCGACTTCTTCCACGCTTCCAGATTGTAGGTTAACTGCTGGAATTCCGACGACGGCGACCACGGAAGCTCTGTGTTGACTACGTCGGAGCAGGCCCAGCGGGCGACCTTGCCCCAGATGTTGGCGGCGCGCATGCTGTATGCGATGATGCCCAGCTCGCCGACGGGCTGTGAAAGGGGAGGCATGCGCAGGCTCCCGTCTAGGCGCTCGGTGCAGACGGGCTCTCCGAAGACGAAGCTCTCGCGCTCGCAGGGCAGCTGGATGGTCATGTCGCCGGCATCGAGCGACCGCTTTCGCCCCTTGCCGCCGCTGAGCAGCGAGTCCATGAGGAAACAGGTCCAGGCGGTGCGGCGGCGCACTTCAGCGTCGATGAACTCCTCACACGTCGGCGGCCGGCTCTGCGGCAGCTTTGGCTCCTGGCAGAGATCCATGACCTCGACCAGCCTGATCGCCATTCCCAGATAGATCCACGCCCTCCGCCCATTGCCGGCGCCCCAGTCATGTCCAGTCAACATCAACAGCGCCTGCACGCGACTGATGCTCGGGGTCTCGAGGTCTGACTGCAGGATCTGGCGCGCATGGGCGGCGAAGGCGTTGCTGGCCTCGGTCTGTGTCTTGAAGGGCGCTGGAGGTTCTTTCACGAAACGGATGGCGAGCGCCAGCATCGCCCACGCCATCCAGATCTCCAGCGTGCGGTCGCGGATGCGCAGCAGCAGCGTCGGCGTGTGGTGGAAGCTCCATTTGTACGCGCAGCGAAGGTAGCTATTCTTGACCTCGTCGGTGAGCAGCTCGAACGGGTCGAGGCCGTCGAGCAGCGATGACGTCGAGGCCGGGCTATGCGTCGGCGGGCCGTTGGGATTACTTGGAGGGCTGATGCCGTTGGGCGCATCGCTGCGACGATACTGGTGCGTAGGGCTCGCCGCAGAAATTGCAGAGGCGGAGGGAGGTGTCAAGCCCGAGTCCTGTCGCGGTCGCTTTGGTCGTCGATGGATGGCGGATGTGCCTGGCGGGGGGAATTCGCAGAGATGGGCCCTGCCCGACGCCTTGCACCGATCGCATGGCGGCGCGTCGTTGTGAAGGCATTTCTGCTTCGCGCTGCGGCACGAGACGCAGGCCACGGGGTTCCTCATCGTGCCGGCGTGCAGACATGCAGCATAGCAGCAATGATAATGAAGCCGCAGGTTTCTCTTAGCTCGTTCCAAGGGGTGCAAGGCTGTCCCTTCCGGCGCCGATCCGATCAGATAACACTGGTCAACTCCAACATCCACGCTTCAACCAACTTCACCCAACTTCATTACCAAAACACCAGTACAAATGCACCCCTCGGCGGTTCGGTGTCCCGATTTGTCAGGAGTGGTGGAATTCCACCCCAGCGGACTTCCACCGAAGCAAGCACGCAGCCGCGACCCATCCATATAACCAATACCGAGTATAAAAACATAGAAATGCATTGCCAGAAAATACATGTTGATGTTGTCTGACCTCTCTCTCTATATCCCCTTTCAGTATTCCTTTGGCCTTCAGCTTGACACTTCTTCTTCGCCAGTTGTACCTGCCCACGCAGAATGACCGTCACAGAACTCGTCTTCCCAGCTTTCAAGCCCGAATCCGCTGAAGCCGGATTCGCTGCCCTTCTGAATGCAGCGAAAACACTAGATATGATACAAGAGATCGTATTCCATGGCATTGGGCATGTACTAAGGAATACGGATGCCCAGGTAGAGAAGGAATTGAGACCGTTTGCATGTCTTGGTAGGACCTTTAACCAGTGATAAGCAAGCATCTTGGAGCGTTCTAACTTTATGGTCCCAGTTTGGGACAATACCCAAAGCTTTCATACAATTTTCCCCAATTCCTCAATCTTCAGAGAGTTTGTGGGCCCGATGAAAGTGTTTCTTGCCGCGCCACCCGCTCCGAGATTATTCGAACCTGCACCGGGGTACGGGTCCTCAGCAGAAGTCTGGAAAGAGAAGGCCTTCCACATCTTCGTTGGAGAGTTTAAGGAGAGGAAAGAGGAAGTTGGGGATATGTGGAAGAACTTTATCGATGGCTTGAGAGGGAGTGCCCAAGGAAAAGAGATGAAAGAATGGATGGGCTATGGTATTGAAGGAGAGGGTGGGAGGTGGCTGGGTATATTAGGATTAAACAGTATTGAGGGAGTAGATGAGGCTATAGTTAAAAGGCTAGGGGAGATAGAGACCTGGATTGTTAAAAATGTGGATTGCTGATGATTCGAGTGGGCCAGTACATGAAGGTCCAAAGTAAGGCTACAAGAAATGGCCCAGAGTCTCCACTCAACAACAGCATAGCTTCTTACAGTAAGCGTAGATGCTTTCTAAGCCCTCGGTATATGAATGGATTTTTGCTACAACATCTTGCCACCTAACGTGGAATATAACGGGGTATAGTGGATTAGAAATTAACATCTTACGAATGTTCTCCTTTTTTCTAACAAGAGATTCAACAGAGAGATTCTCCTGTTATGTTTCACCTTATGGAGTACGGTGCTGCAATATATATTACATACAGTGAACCAATTTTACCACTGTACACATGCACACCTACAACGCTTAGCAATGCAGCGCAGCTTGGGCAGTTGAAGTTCGTGGAGATGGAACGTGGCTGCTCTTGAGCTATAGAATAAAGGTAGATAAGATGAAGTTCTGACCGGTAGCAAAAAGTGCGGTGGTCTATAGCGGGGAAATATCTCGACATATTTCTGCAGGCTGTTGGCGTTGCCCTTGATTCCAGCTCTCGCACTGAGGCCGGTTTTAAATAGCTCCAAAACAAAACGACATCAAACTAAGTGCCACATACCCCTCGCACCTCTATCAAGCATTATCATATTATGGAGGCTCTGTCAAAAATACCATTCTAATATTCCAAGGACATCTATATTACCATTCAATTGAACTATTGTGTACCAATTGTGCAATTCTCCAACTAATTCGCACCCAATGGATGTAACCTCAGTTCGTCGCTTCTCAACTATCAGCGAAATCTTCAAAGTCCGCAATAGTACCACAAAGACAGACTGATATGGCACCATTGCGGATGCTGCAGAACATGAAGCCATGCTTGGCGAGGGCGAAGTTATTGTCTCCACGACAAAGGGCGCAGAAGCAACACTGCTGTTCTGGTACTCGGTACCGTTGAATTTGAAGTACCTGTTGCAATACAATTTATTCCCGTAACAATTCTTGTAGGGGGCCGCATTAGGACGAAGGAATTAGGGGTGGTGACCCACCATGGCTGCGAATATCATGGGTTTAGCAGATTCTGAATGGCTAGCCACGAGTTACTCTTCCACGCATTTGAAGTCGGTTTCGGGACTTAGCTGATCTCATGTAGCCTTGATACTTTGTAGACACAAGCATACGGCCCAAGCCATAAGCATCAAATTAGGATCTATTTCCAATAGAAGATTTTCTCGTGTTGCTTGCCGCCATCCCCATTGACAACACCTGGCTCTGCTCAAGCCGGATCCTGTCGGCCCTTGTTCCGGGAAATGAACTCGCATAACTTGCTGGACGGTATCTCTAGACCTTACTAGCGGGAGCACCTCTGTACGCAATTTTCGAAGCAGGGAAGATATTCACGTAGGCCTAGGGATTATTCAATGCGAGTTTATTCGTGCTTCTAATATGGTCCCTGCTAACGTCGTGCTGAATTATGTGCTGGTCTTTGTCCTGGACTGGAGATTGACAAAGAGCAGGCTCCAGGCATCTGCCCCAGAACGAGCCTCTTTGCTTGCTTTAACATTCCGACATCTCAACTCCGAGCTCAGAACATTGGGAACTTAACAGTCTGCAGCGAAGCACACTTCCCCTCTTAGGAATCCAATGCCTCCACTTTCCACTTTCAGGATTGTTCCCTTCGCCAAGTTATTCCCCAGTCATGAGTAATCCTCCACCTCGTGAATAAACCTTCATGAATCGCGGCTCCGCCGGAATACCCGCTTCGGGGAAGACGCTTAACTAGATCGATCCACGAAGGGCCAATCAGCCTTCGACGTCATCAATGCGCCCCCGCACTCCCACATTTCTAGTCCCAACGCTCAAGGTTTTCTTATTTCCGTTGCGACACGGAGAGAATGTCGACGTTAAGAGATTGGAGTGGTACGATATGGTCTGAAAAGGGGAGGTTTACCCACCAATTGCCTATCGGCAAGCCGTGTGCGAGCATTCGACGAGACAGCTCGGTTTCGAGTAGGGGATAGGATTAATGAGGGCAGTCATGAGTAAAAGCGTCAGCATCAAAATTATATATGTAGGAGCTGTGGGTGGGCGTTCGACCTTCCTTAAGTCCTTTCCCTTCCATCTCCCCTTTCTAAGGCTCTCAGCATTCATCATCGGCGTAGCGTGCTCGTCCTAACCACTGGAGTCCACCATGTTTAAAACACCACACTACGATTGGTATGGCAAAGGATTCAGACTCCGCGCGGCCATCACTATTGCTTGTCAACTGGCCTTCGTGCTATTTGGTTATGATCAGGGTGTCTTCAGTGGTATTGTGGGTAATCCAGATTTCCTGGATACCTTTGGCCATCCTTCAAGTGGCTTGGAGGGCATCATTGTTAGTATTTATAATTTGGGATGTTTTACTGGATGCATACTTGCATTTTATTTTTGCGAGAAGACGGGGAGGAGACTGGCTATGTGGATTGCCATGGTGTGGATTATTGTAAGTCGATGTCGCTATTAGGACTATTAACGACCACGGATATCACACCCTAGGAAGTGGGGACCAGCTGATGGTTCTTAGGTCGGCGCCGTCCTTCAAACCACAGCTTTCAGCGTTCCACACATAATGGTCGCGCGATTCATCACCGGAATTGGAACGGGAATAGAGACATCGACTGTTCCCATGTATCAGTCCGAGCTCTGCGAAGCTGAAAAGAGAGGACGCCTCGTATCATCCGAGCCTTTGTTCGTCGGTGTCAGCATTGTAATAGCCTATTGGTTTGATTATGGCATGAGCTTTACCACTGGCTCAATTGCGTGGAGGCTGCCAATTGCTTGTCAGATGATATTCGCATTCGTGAGTCTCGAGATTCCTCCAAATCCTTCTGAGGTTAACCACAAACGGCACAAGTAGATGGTCATAATCATCGTATTTGGTCTCCCAGAATCGCCTAGATACTTATACAAACATGGCCGTAGCGAGGAGGCGCTCCAGATTCTTTGTGATGTATACGATGGCACTCCGGAGAGCCCGAAGATTGCGAAAGAGAACCGAGATGTTCTCGAAGCGCTCAAGGTCGAGCAAGAGCATGGAGAGTACAGGTGGTCGCAGCTTCTCAAACGTGACGAAGTGCAGACAGGAAGACGTGTTTTGCTTGCCTATGGCATGCAATTCATGAATCAGATGGGTGGCATTAATCTGGTCGTGTGAGTACCCGCCTAATTGCAATTTAGCATCATTTCTGAAAACGCCTAGTTACTACATCACCTCTGTTCTTCAACTCAATGTCGGCCTCTCCCGCAACCCTTCACTACTTCTCGGTGGAGTAATAAATCTCATGTTTTTTATAGGGTCTTTGTATCCCACCTTCTTCCTTGACCGCATCGGGAGACGAAAGCCCATGATGTGGGGATCCTTCGGACTTGGTCTCTCAATGATGCTTATCTCCATCCTCCTAAGCTTCCAAAACCAAGGAGGAAAGTTAGCAAAGGATACATCGTCCGCTAGCGTGGCTTTCTTTTTTACCGTAAGTCTAACATTTGTTTCCAAAGGCGGGTGATACTGAGATTATACAGTACATGCTTATCTTCGGTGCCACCGCGAATTGCATTCCCTGGGTTTACGTCCCCGAAATCCTGCCATTGCATGTCCGCGCCAAAGGCACGGCAGTCGGAATCAGTTCGAACTGGTATGTTTTACCTAGCTGTTATCTCCAGGCTTTTGCATCACTTACAATATGATCAGGATTTGGAACTTCTTTGTTGTGATGATTACTCCGACCATTATCAACAATCTTCAATGGAAAGCTTATCTCATCTTTATGTGCCTAAATTTTGCGTTTGTTCCTTTAGTGGTAAGCCATGATTCCCGACCGTCTCAGCTCTCCCGGCTTTCTCTGAGTTTCAGACATTGACGCGCAACCAGTTCTTCTGTTACCCTGAAACATCCAACCTGACTTTGGAAGAGATCGACTGGCTGTTCCTAGAAAGAAAAGTGGTTCGTAGAAGTCGAAAAGTCGCAAAGGAAGGATGGGACCGCGAAACTGGTTGGGGGAGCTTTGCTCGACAAGGCGACCCAGGCCCACCTCCCGCCGCTCTGGAAAGTAGCAGTCTCCAGAGCCAAGAGAAGGATGCAACTGTAGAAAAGCACGAGAAGAATGGCGTATCACCATGAGACCACTGGAGGCGTTCGCACACACATCTGATGGGTTGATGTTATCTTAACGTTGACTGAATCTATTGAAAGCTCTGACCTTGGCTGAGACTTTACCTCGTGGCTTCGTCGACACTAGCTCAGTTATCGGGATAGAGGCCCGGGCTGTTGGCCACAAAAGCACTCGTTGCACTAACAATTACCGAGTGAAGGTCAAGTGTCGTGATCGCTTCCTAGGTGCTTTGATGCGCGTGGCCGAAGACTTGGAATAACAGGCGAGCGGGCCAGTATGACCGGTCTCTCATTTCGCCCCCGATGCTCCTTACATCTGCCTCCGGGTAATTGGTGAGATGTTGCGCCTCTGGGCAGTGAGGGATGTAGCATCACGTGTGGACGGGTGGCTGAAGTGTTTGTTCCGTCTTGGCTCACGGCATGAAACGCCCAAAAACGCCACTCGATGCTTCGCAACCGTCTTTCCGATGAACTCCAGCCACCAATCTAGTCTTTTTCTCCACCCGATCTCCATGACTTGCTTCGCGACCAATGCCTACCTGCCATGGCTTGTATACAGCATAGATATTGTCACGCGTTGATTCACGCTAAGCGCTCACCGTAAACGCTGACGAGAGACTCGTCGATAGCCAACTGCTGCCGTGCCCACGAGCCGTGACATAAAACCATCACACCTCCATCAGGGTCGAAGACGGCTCCTCGTCCCGTTTTCCCCTGCACGTGGGGACGAGATGTCGGGGCCATGTTCCAGAAGAGCACGTATCGAAGCACCCAAGGATTGCGGCGACAGCTGGGCATTCGCCTTGAGTCGTACGACTCAGGAACTAACGAACAAACCTGGGCAGACGAGATTGAGTGAGATCCAACATCCAAAATTAATCCCTTTAGCTATTCATTTCCAGGTTTCCCAACCACCACATTGCTGGAGATGCTGTGCCAGGAGAGGCCGCTCGCAATCTACAGCCTGCGTGTCGACTTTGGAGTTCCTTTGACCCGGGAAGTGCTGTCAGGGCGGAATCTCTGCACTCCTCTGATCTGGCTCGTATCAAACGCCTATTTCTGAGCGATATGCAGAAAGCCATCAGGCTGGCCAGCCTTGCATTGCAGGCGTCCTTGTGGCGATCTTGATCAGAGTCCGAACCTTTGACCATTGAATTTCGACAACGACGCCACAATACCAATTTACCCGGGTTTAACCATATCATCCTCTCGCTACGAAGGTTACCCCCATTGGATTTTACCCCGGTAGTCAAACGCTGAAGCTTTGATCCTTCCTCTGCATGCTGAACCGGGCGGGGATGCTTGAGAGCTTCCAGAATGAATTGGAGTATCTCTCGTGATGGGCTAGATCGTTCACGGATAAACTCCAGCATTGGCTAGACCCAAATGCGTGCACAGAGGTACTCCAGTTTAGTTTATATGAAGCCTAAACCCTCCCAGCTCGAGGGTTGTCAGCTTCGATTCAAGCCCTCGTCTGTGGTGAACGATCCTCCATCTTTACTACACCGACTTATCCTCGGTCAATCCAAGGTTCAACAAGAGCCATCATGGCTGATACTTCAGTAACGGCAGGCCACTTCAAGGTCTGCGGAAAAGAGTTCCCTCATGTCTCATGGTGGAATTTGAAAAACTTGAGGAACACATACCTCCTCCTATTCTTCGTCGTTTTGACATCCGTAAGTTTTGCACCATCGAGTGAGGATATCTGAGCCCAATTGACCATGTTATAGGCGACCAACGGCTACGATGGTTCCATGGTCAACGGTCTCCTCTCTTTGAAGCAGTTCAAGACCTGTAAGTGTAACATGGGAAACAGTGGCGAGCAGTCCACTAACGGGCTTAAAGATATGCACGACCCTTCCGGATCTATCAAAGGTCTCTTTTCTGGAATCATGTTCCTTGGTTCTCTGCTCGCTCTGCCGATTACCCCTTACATTGCTGATGGCCTTGGCCGACGATGGGGTATCTGCATTGGTTCGACCGTCATGATCTTCGCTGTGGTTCTTCAGAGTGCCTCTGTTAACTTCCAGATGTTTATTGCAGCCCGTTTCTTCCTAGGGTTCGGTGTTGCGATTGCCCATGGTTCGGCTCCTTTATTGATTACTGAGCTTTGCCACCCCCAGCATCGTGCTATCTTTACAACTATAGTAAGTTTTGAATTAGAGTGCTCACTGATTTAGAAAACCCACGATTAATAAGATTCACAGTATAATACGACATGGTACATTGGCTCCATTGTTGCCGCGTGGCTCACCTTCGGTACCAACCATATTGACTCGCAGTGGTCCTGGCGAATCCCTTCCATCATCCAGGCTTTCCCGTCTATCCTTCAAATTTCCTGCGTGTGGTTCGTACCCGAGTCCCCCCGTTGGTATATTTCCAAAGGTCAGCCTGAAAAGGCACTCCAAGTTCTCGCCCACGTCCATGCCGAAGATAATGCTGAGGATGAACTCGTGCAACTCGAGTACGAAGAAATCAAGGAAACTCTAGCCATTGAAAAAGAGGCTGAGAGCACTGGCTGGCTCGAGCTTTTCAAGACGAAAGGCAACCGCCACCGGCTCGCGATCTTGCTCTCTGCAGGCCTCTTCTCGCAATGGTCCGGTAACGGACTCGTCTCTTATTACATCACGGGAGTGCTTGACGGCATTGGAATTACAGATCCCAACACTCAACTCGTCATCAACGGCTGCTTGAACATTTGGAATTGTATTGTCGCCACAACCATGTGTAAGAGTAATCTCGAGTCCATTAATGATAGAGCAGAACACTAATATTTGCCAGGTTTCTTTGTTGATAAGGTGGGCCGTCGTCCACTCTTCCTTATCTCTACTGCGGGCATGATGATCTGCTTCGTAATTTGGACAATCTGCTCGGAACGCTACAATGCCACCAAGGTTCATGCGAACGGCAGCGCTGTGGTCGCCATGATATACCTCTACTACACCTGCTACAACACGGCCTGGTCTGGCCTTTTGGTCGGCTACACCGTGGAAATTTTGCCTTTCGGTATCCGCGCTAAAGGGATGTGCTATATGTTCGCTATGGTTGACGTTGCCCTCTTCTTCAACACATATGTCAACCCCATTGCACTCGACCATATTGGTTGGAAATATTACATAGTCTACGTGAGTCTCCGACTACCTCCTGCTTTACCAAAATCATGAGCTAACCTATACTAGTGCATCTGGCTCTGCGCCGAACTGGTCTTCGTCTTTTTCTTCTACATCGAAACACGTAACACTCCTCTTGAGGAAATCGCTCGCCACTTCGATGGTGATGCTGCTTTGCTTGGTGGTGCTGCTGCGACGGAGAAGGGCCGCATCCTCGAGCAAGAGATTCATAAGAGGGAGAAACAGATTGCGACTACTGAGGTGCATGAGGACAAAGTGGGTCTCTAAGCACTTAACTTACCTCCAAGGATGCGACGGGAACTGAGTTGAGCGGGGAAGTGGAAGGGAGATATTTGATGTTTTGTTGAAGCTTCTCTTGTTGCTAGCTGTGAAGGAGAGTGTTCGTATCTATTAAATGATGTTTCCCTAGAAGAATCCGAATGCAAAGATGATGTTCTGTTCAAGGTTAGTCACACTCTCTGCGACTACATCTCCCCCTGCTTTCGTGTAGTGTTGTGCAACAATGCGCCCCCAACCACTAACCTGTACTGCAGACCTGGCAAATATTTCTGATTCCTGTACCTCAAAATCTACGAGGTCAATTTCCTTGTCATGTTTTCTTTATTCGCTTGCCTTCTGTTAAGATTTCTCCAGCAGGGGTCTGAAGGTGTGGACGACCTGGGCAGGGATCTTTTCGAGCCGACGGGAACCCCACAAGGAGGCCCACCCTGTCGATCCGCAAGCCTGAGATGAACCTTTTCGCTATTTCTGCGCTGCGCTACCCAATGCCATTACCATACCTCGCACAAGATTACTACCTAATTGTCACCATTACTTTTTCCTGAACACCGAGTTTCGTGGCTATCAACGCAACACGATAGCGCCAAACAGGTCCCGTCCACAAAACGTACATTGTTCACCTAGCGTAGCTGCCAGGACCAGTCGGGCTCGGGATAGGGGGACAAGGATCCTTTCAGATGCGTAATATACTCGGTCCGCTCCGACCTTAGAAATGATTACCCAATCCACCCATCTACCGGGATCAGAACTCAGTATATCTGAGGTGCATTAAGTATGCAGTGAATATTAAATTCAGAAGTATGCAGACAATGTCGAGGACTACATGCAGGTGGGTTGGTTGTTGCATGATTTGGAGAAGGAAAAAGGTGGGCAACTTGGGGAAATTCCACTCCGCCGATATGCAGGTTGCCGGCAGAATTTGGAGGGATGAGGAGAGAATACAATCAGGAGTGTCATTTCTTGCTTGCTTCTAATGAGGCTTTTACATACAACCGAATGTCAAATTTCTAATCTTGCCCACGACGAAACTGAAGACGGAATATGGCAGAGATTAACCTCTGCTGAATAATGTCTCTATTTCTTGCAAGAGGTTCAAGAGATCGAGTTCACCCTCGCGATTTACCTTGGCACGCAATGAATTGTTGCATAGGAAATGAATAATTTTGTACATGCTATTTAAGTCAAAGGCAAAAATGGAAAACCCTCTTGATAACCCCGTTAATTATAGATCAACATACTCCCATCGTCTAATATTCTTACCATTTCAATCCTTCAAATATTTTCCAGCCCGCTCCGCCATACTCTCTGTTGTATATCCGAAATGTTGGTAGATATACTTTCCAGCCAACAAATGCCCATATCCCGTCATAGTCACATCTCAGTCCACCCACCGCCCCATCCAAGACTAACAGACGGTTCGAATTACTATTACAGGGATATTCTTGATCCACGCCAATACTTCTTTTTAGTGTTAAAGCGGGAGTTCGTAGAACAACCGGCCAAGGGACCTTACGACTCTCACTTTCACACCTCGGCGTTGCAACTCTTTCGTAGCATTGTCCTAGAAGCCCAACTCTGCACCTAACACACCATTTTCTTCTATCAGCACATATGCTCCATTCGCAACCCCACCTTTCACCAAGCACTTTGGGTTGTGACATCGCATGCCTACAGACAGAAATCATACTTGGCCCACCATTATATTTAATCGCATAGATTCGCGCTCTGCCACTTCCTCACAATCTCTTTGCTAGATTTATAGCATATTTGGCATATATCCATACAGTGCAGCTAATCTTACGGGTTAGTGTATAGGCCCTTCTTCACCTGCGTCGATGGAATCGTGCGTTGCAACATGTATGGCGTTCTGCTACTGTAGTGAGTCCGTGTGGACTGCTGGTGCAGTGTAGAGATAAGAAAACATGAAGAGTATTCTTGTAATAGGGGTTATGCTTCCCGGGTTACAGTCTAAGAGACCTTTGGTGGTAGGAGCCATATCCTGTTCGTGGATTCCATTGTGGATATGGCGATCTTGATAGCCTCTCGCGCCAGAGGTTGGTGCGAGATCCGATGGTTGGAAATCTCGTAGTCTTTGTCGATGAAATTGATGGATAGTGTGAGATCCGCAGTACGACCATGAATGTAAGGATTTCAGAGACCAATTCTGAGATTGCTAGATTGTTCGCTTTGAAGGATGGTGTGAGGCCTTCTGGGAAAGATGTTGGCATCATGGACTCCCGTTTCTGTGGAAGCTTCTGTTCCATGCAATCTTTGAAAGTTCCTGCCAGATCCAGGTACTATTTTGTAGACGCCTCAAGGAGTTGATTCCACCTTTTGACGTACGCATCGCCAAGTTTTAGGGGATTCATATAACTTCTTGGTTTTATCGGGTATGATGAATTTCTCTCTAAGGTCACATCCGTACGCCTTCTTCATTTCGACCACGTTGTTTTTCCCTAGTAGTATGCCTTGTGCAACCACCTTCCCAGAAACCGCAAAATTAGCCCTAATAATACTGTGAACATTAATAAAATAGCGGCTTCTAGTGTTCCCATTCTCTCCTCTTTTCAAGTGTAGCGACGATGGCGTCCAAATCGGTCATACCTTCCTCAATGTCAATGACTTCTTAGCTATAGGCTTCTATATTCCCGCTCAGTTTTTCGGCGTTTCTGAGATCAACAAACCCGCCTCAAGTGATTTGATTATTATCATAAACAACCGTCCCATTCACTCGTTTCAAGTGGCCGGAATAGCTAAACATAACATGCTAACCCTTTTTGCAAACACCCATCGCCAACAATATACCAACTACGATTATCTACGGAGGGGTATCCAAGCAGGTTAAATGTCGAGGAGATGTTTTCGAAGCCGTGGCAAGTGCAACTGCGTTCGTGATGCCTTGGCCCAAGGGACTAGTAGTGAGCTTATTGCTCTCGTGTTCAGTTTCGGGTGCCTGGGACAGAGCGAATCGGGACGCTGAGAATGATAAGGGAGGAGCTCTTTCCAGGTCATAGGATCGTAGCTGAAAAGGGGAAGATTCGTGTATTGGAAGAGACCTGCGTTTCCAAGACTATAGGAGAGATGTGAGGGAATAGAGGGAGGGGGCAGAGAGATCATTAGAAGGGACGAATCAATCCTGGTTGGAGAAGTCTAGTTAGTGTGGATCATATTTGATACCGCATTTCCAGAACTCAACACTGATGTTAGCCATCCCAATAGCGGAGCCTGGGTGCCCTGGGTTCGAACCATCGAGACTCTGTCCCCCCAGCCTTTCAAAGGCTTTGGTCGTGGTATATGGCAGCGTTATGTACCGCCCACTTCTAAATATCACGGTACGTGCCTTAGTTGGAGTTAATCTGTTACACGTGTCGTCCTAATTAGGGAGAGCGTTAAGAACAATAGGTGAGAATTTCCTCTATGCGGAAAAAGGGGGTAATGAGGGCGAAGAGATAACAAAACCAAATTCCGTACCCAGGCCGAATTGCCCACAAAGATCTGCCATTAGCCCCGCAACACACTTTGCCTATCGTCTTGGCTTGTCTTCACCGGAGTGGATGGTTTGGTTTCTTTATTCAAGATATCATTGGGTCATTGCCTCGTCATATGCCGTAAAGCCACTAACATGCCATTCTAGGATGAAGAAATCTATCTACATAGTCCAAAGTCTAAGAGATAACAGGAGATGAAAGAACCGCTCAAACTTGAAGTGAGTGGTATTAAGGAAGCAAGACGAAGAGAAGATGTATTCTACAATCGACGACTCGTAAAGCTCTTCGGAGCCACAAGTATGAGAGATATTCCGGATTACAACTTTGGGAATGACATTAGAACAATGGGTCAATGAGATCCATCCCCGCCAGTACGGAGAGGGTCAAACGCGCGGCTAGGTCTAATGTTGGGTGCTTTCGATTTCTGGTCTCGGTCCGACGTCCAGGATGTAATTCCGCAACAACCCTTTGGTTTCTTGAGGGAGCGAGGAGCAGCATTCTTAACAGTTCGTAGTACTAATGGTAGTTACAGTGAACTACGGATCACGTGTGAAGGCTGTACGTAGTGGATTTGGGTACTGTAGAGTACGTAGGAGATACCAAATTGTGTACGGGTACTACGTCTATATATTTAGTGTTAAATAAGGTTAAACCTTAGCTTTGTTAAGGTTAATCGCTAGGGAGTAGAATGCCTTATCTTCCTCGGTATTGTAATAGCCTTTTAGCGCAGTGTAACAGTGGCTCTAGAGGTGTAACAAGCAGAGTTTCCTACTTACTATTAAACCTGTTATACTTTACTATTTTGTTAGCTATTGGTATCCTTGTAGAGAGCATGATTGTAAGAAAAGTGATGTATTATAGACTAAGAGTCTAAGAGGCTAAGGAGTTTATATAGTGTGTGAAAATAATACGCCTATAGGTGAGTATCCAGCCTACTATAGAGCTCTTAGAATTACACTATTGTTAAGCAATAAGGGAATATTTTGCTCAGCGTAGTTCCTAGCGCTTTACTACCTCTTGGGCGTCTAGCAGCAGCAGCTAAGAGAAGGCGCATTTTACAACTTGTTACTTTGCTGCCTCTATAAAGTTTGCCTAAGCTTCTACAATACCTAGATTATTAACGTATTTGTTGCACAAAGAAGCCCTATTCGTTTACCTTTCACACTTATATCCTATGAGTATTTAGAGAAAAACTTAAAGAAAAACTTTGCTATTATAGAGATTAAACTTAATATCAACTAGAAGTATGTCTATTACAGAGTTCTTAACAATTAAGCTAGCTTTTAAGCTAGCTTAATAGGCTTAATATATAAGCAAGCAAGCAACGCAAGCTAAGAGAGTAAATTAGAACAAGCAATTAAGCTAAAAAAAAACTCTAGCTTATTAAACTTAGCTTATAAAAGGTATCTATAAAGCAATATAGCTTTTTTATATTCTAAATTTTTTTTTTTTTAAATTTCTTAGTATTTTAAAAAGATGCTAAGCATCTTATGTAACTTTAGTAATAGTAACTTTTTATTTGCTTATAACTACTTTACTTTTAAACTACCATTTTTTTAAACTTTCTACTATAAGTAATAATAGCCTATTATAGATTAAAACCTTTAAAATACTTATAAGCAGTGTGTTTAGCTAGTAGAGTTGTAAGACTCTAGTGTTAACATTTCTTTAAGTAAAGCACTAATGTGTAACGATTCTCATGAATCGTTCCATCTCAGGTCGCTTAGAACCTATCCGAAGGGTCCCTTTATTAGCCCTGACCATGACTTAACCCTGTTCCCCGCAGTTACCCCTATTCTCTTATGTATTTAGTTGCACTTCTCTCCTTAGCTAGCTTAGTAGTTTTCTAATATCCTTTGTACAAGGCCTATAGGTGTTAATAGCAATTCCTAGGTTCTAAGTCCCTACGCACTTCTATATGCCTTTAAGTAGATTTCTACTGCATTTAGACCTATTATTTTGCCTATGCTATTACATTATATTAAAAAACTTACTTTTACTAGTAATAGCCTTAACGTACTTCATGGGCGAGTTGCTTACACACCTAAGTTGCTTACTTTTGCTAAGACCCCACCCTAACAAACTCTATTATAGCCTATAACAACCCGCTCTAGCACTATATAGTACAGTACAGCCTAGAATATTATTTAGATACTACTTTTACTTCTTACTTACACATTTGCGCGTTATGCCTAGTCTAATTACACTATCTGCAGCGCCTTTAGAATAGCTTACCTACTTTAGCTTACACCTGCTTCTTTGCCTTCTTTCTATTACTGCGCGCTCTAAACTCTTTTAGAGCTGTTAAGTATAGGCTTTTTTAAATTATTAAGGTTTTTTCTACTTTAATTTACTTTTTTTATGTAATTTATATTATATAGCAGCCTTATTAGCTACTTAAAGCTTAGTAATTTCTTATTACACTAACACTAGCTTATGTGTAATTATTACTGCCTTTTTTAAAACTTTTTTAAATACTTTAACTATAAAAGTTAGTAAACTATTTATATACTTTTAAATTTTTATTTTTATAAGCATTAATTATAACTTAAGTTTTAAAGTATTACTTAGAGTTTACAACTACTAAAGCTTATTATATATAAGTAGTAGTAGTAATAGAGTGTGTAACTTTATATTAAGGCCTATTATAACTTATTATAAGTTAAAAGAAACTAATCTAGCACTTTAAAACTTTTTTTAGATATTACTAAAAATAATTATAGCATTATAGGCTACTTTAAAGCATAGTAAAAACTTTATTTTTATAATATAAGTAATTTAGTTATATATAAAGTTTTTAGCTTAGCGCTTATATGCTTTTTTTAAAGAAGTAAAACAATCTATATTAAGTAGCTATAAAAAGTATAATAAGTAAAAATGTATATAAATAGTAATAATTTTATTATTTTTATAGTATTACTAAAAATAAAGTAAGTTATAGCTTTTATAGCTGTTAATAACTAGCAGACAGTAGCTGCTAATAGTACACTTTTTTATATGCGCATTAAAGTGCTTTAACTAGTCTAAACTAAGCTAATTAGTAGTTTAGCTATGCTTAAAAATTATAATAACTTAATTTTAAAGTAAATTTTTTTTATACTAGTTTAAAAAGTAGTTACTACTTAAAAAGATAATAAAAAGTAGAATAGCCTACTTTTTAGCATTAATGCTCTAGATAGCTGTTGTCTACTTCTAGTTACCTAGCTAGACTACTTTTAGCTATCTTTATCTCTCTAAACTTATAATAACTACTCTAGTAAATATCTAGCCTATTATAAACTTTATCTTATTAAAGTTATATATGTTATTATTTTAGATGCTATACTTAGCTTTAATATTCTTTATAAAGTTAAACTAGCTTTAAATTACTATAAAAGTTTTATAAAAAGCTTTTTTATAGTTATACTTATACTTAAACTTTACTTTAAGCTTTAAGTAACACTTAATAAATATATTAGGCTAGTTTATGCTAATATAGCCTATATTATACTTAGTGTGTAAAAAATTAGCTATATTAGCTATAGCTGCTAGCTAGGGGGGAAATCCTTATATATCTAGCTTAAGTATGTGCTAAATAATTACTTGCTTCTTATTATTATCTAGCTTTTATAAGTTAGCTATATAATTAGCTTAAAAAGGTTGTCTAGTGCATTAGTTACTTATTATCTTTTAAAAAACCTTATAGATAGCTGCAGTGTGTTACTTAAAAAGTGTTATATTTTATTTAAAAGCTTAAAGTATAAGCTGTATCTAATGTTCCTTTAACATGTTTAAGTAGTATTATTAGAAATACATTAGTGTAGAAAAAGTAGTGTAGTAGGGTCTTAGCAAAAGTAAGTAACTTAGGTGTGTAAGCAACTTGCCTATGAAGTACGTTATTAATAATATTATATTAATTATTTATTTAACTATATTTAACTTTAAAAAGAGTTTAATTTAGTTTAAGTTATAGTTTTTATACACTATTATATTAAATTATTTAGTTATTATAAATAAAAATTTAAAAACTTTTTATTAACTAAAGCTTTTAAGTTTAAAACTTTTTATCTTTTATAATTAAAATTACTTTTAAAAAAGTTATAAAAAGTATGCTAAAGTAAAAACCTAAAGACTACTAATAACTTATTAGAATTAAAGATAACTACTAATGCCTAACTCTTAACTACTTTTAAACCTTAGTATAAAGCTTGTAACATGCTCTAGCTACAGCTAAGGCAAGATGCCTACTACTAGAGCTAAATAACTACTAACTTTAATAGCTAAAAACCTACTAGATTTAAAGTTAAACTTTAGTAATATAGCTTTTAAAAACTAAGTTACTTAATTAAGAGTATAAATTAAATAGCTAACTAAATTAAAAACTATTAGTTCTAATTAACTTTTACTAACTACTAAATTACTTTTAATAATGCCTTAAATTACTTTTACTACACTAATAGTAAAAGACTTTTTAGGCACTTTTAAGCTTTTTTAAAGCTACTTTACTAAACATATGCTTAAAATTAAGAACTTTATAAATAGCAAAAAACTAATGTTTAAATAATAGTAAGTCTTTATTATAAATAAACTTAACATTAATTTAGATTATTATTAGAGTAAGTGTGCACACATAGCGTTAGTATATAGACACACTGCTAGTATTATAAAGAAATACTTAGATCCTAGATACCTAGCTAAATTAAATAACTTTTAGTTTAAAAATATAAAAAAAATAATTAAGCTTTTATAAACTTATTTTATTACTAGTAATAAAAAAATAAAGGTGTAATAAGCTTTTTAAACTTTGAAAATAAGTATAAAAAAACGTGTTTTTAGCCTTTAAAGCTTACTTTATTAGTACTACTATTAAAGAGTTTATATTAGGGTTAGAATAGTTTTTTTACTTATAAAAAAATACTACTTAGCTTAAAAGTACTAAACTTAGGTTTTAAACACACTTAAAAGAGCTGTTTTTAGATAATAGTAGCCTACTTAATAGCTTATAATATAAAAAAAAGAAACACTTTTACTATTTTAAAGTAAACTATTAACTATACTTAATATTTTAATGTTAAACCTAGTATAAATTAATTTTAAAAAGTTTCTAGTAATACATCTAAGGCAGTATACTATTCTAGTGCACTCTAACCTACACCTATGTTAGTACTCTAGTCCACCTCTGTTACCTATAGACAACCTAGCTAGACACTTTCCTCTAATAAACAAGTAACTTCTAGTAACTATTATAATTATTGTAAACTAAAATATTTTACTAATAATTATCTTATCTCTAGAGTATAGGAAATTAAGGTAAAGTAATAAAAATATAAAATTTTTTTATAAATGTAAATAATTATAAGTTAGATCTTTTTTAAATAAGAAATAAAAATGCCTAGAAAAACTTTTTATTTTAAGCTTAAATAAGTATAATCTAGTAAATATTAACTTATTACACTTATTTAAAGGAAAACATTTTTAAGTTTTTACTATTTTATACTTAAAAGGTATTTGTCTAAATAGCAGTATTTAGATACGCGGTTAGGCGTTAGGCGACATAGTCTTGTGTCACAGTTGTACGCACAGACAG